TTTCGCCTTATCCCGCAAATATGCGCGCTCCAGAGCACTCGCAGCCACTGCGATGTTTTCTCGCAGTTAGCAGCGAAAATCGATTAATTACATCGCACCGCGCGCACTGCACACGACTATTCGCCCGCACACACATACACACGACGGCAGAAATCCATTCGCGCATATTATATACAAAACTCGAGCAGCTGTATATACAGAAAAGCTCGAGAGTATGAACGTATAGTTCCGTATAAGTATGTGGCAAATGCTCGAAAACGTATAAAGAGAGTGTGTGTAGCGTGTAACGTGTAACGCGGCGCGAAATATGGCGTGTATGCGCATTCATAATGTACATGGAAGTAGGCCGCGTGGCGCGCGCGGTATCCGCAAGCGTATACAAGTATACACATACTACGCGATAAATGAAAATTATGCCCACGTTATCGAATTATAATGTGTTCGCGTTCGCATTTTGCCTTTTTTTCTTCCTTTTTTCTTTTTTGCTGCGCTGCCCATTAAGTCGTAACCGTGTCGGTGGCTCGATCACATATTTCGATACGTGCGCATACGTGTAATAATATAATGCGCGCGTATCGTCGTTATTTCACGCCGCTATGCAAATTTTGATGAAGCGTACACAACAATTTTGTATTACGTACAATTTTCGAAGTGAAAATTTTGCCGTTCTGCGTAGTAACGTCGAACGAATGGCCTTATTATTATCGACCGTAATCGACGCAATCATCGACGACGCAACTCTGTCAAAAATATGCTCGGAAAATAATATCTTCGTGCGCGATCGGTAAATCGACTATGGCAACCAACGTCTTTTCTTTAAAAGCCGTAAAAAGGTCTAGAGCTTTCGGATATTAGATTTACTCTTTTGCAAGCTCGGAAATATGCAAACGTCGCGCGCCAACAATGAAGACGTTTTTCAGCAAAGTTTAATCGATGAGTTTTATAAAATAGAGAGAGAAAGAGGAAGGAAAAAAGGGTGAAAAGTGGGCACACCGAACGCCGAAACTAAAATGCACGAGAACACCCCTTTTAAAATTACACGACGAATTTTCTCAACAACTCGGGGGCTAAAAGCTTCATTGGATTTAGTTCCGTGCCCTGTCCGATACGCTTCTCCGCTTCGAGTTTCTTTTTTTTTTCATTCGTCGCTCTGCTAAAGAGAAGAAAAAAAAACAGAGAGCGAATTCCATTAAAAATATTTTTACCCCCCATGCTCGCGTTGTTTACGGTATATATTTGTACATTTTCATGCATTGCAGTATATTACTCGTTTCTCTCGCAAGTGTATGAACGGGATCGTAATAAAAATGTATTTTGTTAATTGTCAGTCTCTGATTGACAAGCGGTCGGTTGATTTTTATTGCGGCCGCCCACCTGAACGTCCTTTTTACGATGCACAGAGAGCGAGATCATAAATTGTTTCACGACCGTGTGATTTGCAGCACGAAACCAAAATAGCCCAGCGCGCAAAAGTTCATCGAACTTGGGCGTCCATGGAGAGGTCCGGCTGTTGCACGCCACCTCCTTCCCCTTTTCATTGGAGATGCATTATTCCTCGGTGCCAATTTTCATTATACAGGCTTTACTCGACGGGGGCTGTATAATAAGTTTTGTTTCGAAAGTTTATTGAATTTAATATTTGTATCTTCGACGCGAGTACATCTGTCGTTCGCTCTCCAATAAAAATGAATGAACTAATGAAACGGATACGAATTTTATAATCGATACACAAGTTGGCGCTAGTTTTTCCACAAAGTTTATAATTTGATTTTTTTCATTACTCTAAGTTCGTCAATGTTTAATGTCTTTATCAAGCCGAGTAATATCGATCGAATGAAATGCCAGCCGTTGAAATCCTCGTAGAATTTACAAAAACAAAGTCGCAGTGAGTTTTTACAATACATGACTTATTTAAGATCGAAATCGGTTACTCGATATAGAGCTTGCGAAGGACTTTAAAAAAAAGAAATTGAACGGCAGTGGTTGATGTAATCGCGAGTAACAGTCATAATTTAATTGAAAGGTACGAAATGTCAGTCGAGAAAGAGTGCCGGGCAGCGGCGTGTCAGAGAATAAAATTAAAACTCGAACTGACGGCCAGCTTTTAAAGGCGTTTCGCGCGATACTGACATACATTATATATAGATCATAAGATATGTCTCTGTCAAGAGAGAAAGAAAAACGAGTTGAACTTTTTCTCGATGCAGACCCCCGCTGGCTGGCAGTCAATCAGATTTGCTCTAAAAACAGTCGATAGCACCTGATATATATATAATGTTATATACATGTATCTCGGAGCTTTTTTCCCGCGATAAAACAAGCTCTAAAAATACATATATATAACTCGTCAAGATTCTCGATGGCCCCGATCGCGCGAGAAACGTTAAAGTGGCTCTTCCTCGCGTTTATAGCCCAGCTAGATATATAGTACGAACCTACGAAGAAAACTTTTTGCGCGCGCTCGTTTTACCGCGAGGGAGCTGTCAAGCTCTCTTTTGGCTGCTCGAAATTTAACATCGCGCACACCACCTTCTTCTCTCTTTCTGGCACGAAACGATATAATCCACGAGGCTGTCAATCCGCGCGCGGGATCGAATGAATTCAATGTTGGGTCTGGAATCAAAAAAATATGTACAAAGACTTTCTCCCACGAGCACATAGCGAGCTTGCGATTTCGAACGAGAGCTTTGTTGCCGTGGCTTTGAAAATCTCGCACGATACGAAAAGCTTTTGACTCTCGATCTGCAACGCAGCGCGGCGCTCTTTGTTGTGTAAATTCAAAAAGTCAACCACACGCAGATGTTTAATGATAGTCGCACGAATGAATAAAATAAAATCAAACCTCGCGTAAAAGTTGAAAAACTTGCATAGAATACGAGCGCGATATCTCGAAATTCGATCGATTTCTACCTGGCGCGCTATAAAGCAGAAGCTGAAAGGTGCTCGAGCAAAAGCCCACGATTATACCTCAGAGCTGTAAAAACACCATAGACTGCAAATAAAGAGAGAGAGAGAGAGAGAGAAAAAGAAGAGATGATGATAGGAATAGGAAGATTGCCGCGCGATGGCGATAGGTAATGGCAATGCGCACGCTGGCTCAAGCCGCATAATAATGATAATAATGATCATGGGGTAACTCTCTCTGCAGCAGGTGAAATCGTTCGCTCGCCGCACGAGCGCAGCAGGCCGTTACCCTTCTGACCCTTTAAACAAGTTGATGTATATAAAGCGTATATATATGTACCGAGAGAGTTGAGTGACACGATCGCGAGCAGCACGAGAGAGACTTGTGTGAATTAATAATACGGCTTGGTAATAAAATCCCTCGAGAGAGAGAGAGAGAGAAAGATCCGAGAAGTAAGAGAGAAATAGAAACAGCAGCAACAGTCCGCTGGCAGATACATACGTCAAGCTGAGACTTTCGAGCTTTGTGCCAGTTGGCGTGTACAATATATATATGTGTAGGTATACGGGCAGGAAAAAGGTGTATCAAGCGCCCGAGAGAGAATATATAGCATTATATAGAGATCTGTGCAACTCGATGGAGTTCGATAACCTCGAGCATATACCTCTCTACCTTACGGAGAGCTTTGTACCTACCTCTCTCCGGCTCTCTCTCGCTCTGCGGGACTGAAAATAGATTTCATTGCTATCGTATAATGTAGGATGGTCGAAAATCGCTCGGTGGCGGCGGCGGCTCGCGATTGGAAGCGATCCTACCTGCCCGACTGCCTGGGCTATAATCGTAAAATGAGCTTTATACCGCGCCGTATATACCCCCTGCCGAGCTGTGCAGCTGTATGTGTATCATATGCAGAGAGCTTGAGCGACACTCGTCTTCGCTGCGGCCCTTTAATACATACATACGCGCGTTTATTAAGTTATATAATAATATAATATATATCGAGGAGAATTCGCGCGTCTCCGCTCCGTTAATAATCGAGTTGTACGCGAGAGTCCCGGTAATACGTATGAATTTATTCAGTGTAATATGCACAGCGCATGGAGAGCGAATTATTTACGTACGCCGTATAGAGGCAAATAATCGAGATTATTATAATACGTGTATAGGAATCGAGCGGCGAAAACGTAGTACACGTTACACAGCTCGAAGACGATAAACATTTTGATAAGCGCGAGGGAAGGCACATATTATATTATGTGCGAGCGCTTGAAATTGAATACACACATGTATACTTTGCGCGCAAATTAAGAGCGCGAAAGGCCGTTGTTACACGATGCGCGATTAATGCGCCCGCTAGGATTGACTGATTAATATCGCCATGTACGTTTATTGCACTAGTATGGTAGAGAGTGCAGCCGACGTTGGCTCATCATCGTTGCGCGCTCGACTATTTTATACATCGCATTGAGCGGCTATGCGCGTCCGTGATATTACGCGGTCAGTATGCAGCAGCGCCTGATTATTATTACTGTGTACGCGTTTATTTTCGTGGCGAATTTCATGCACGATATATGCCCTTACTGAGCTGCGCACATACCTTCTTATTATGTGTAATTTCATCGAATTTTCAGTCCCAAATTATTGTATTATTATGCGAGTGGACCAAGTCGGGTGTTTTTACATGACTTGAAAATAATAATTGTAAATTTTATGATTATTCGTGAAAAATATTCATTTAAGATCTCTGAAAGACGCGGAATATTGTTAGCTTTAGTGACATTGAAAAAAATTTTTAAATAAATTTACCCGTTAACTACCGAGTATTTATAGTTTGGTTTTTGACATATATCTGTATAACGATAATGGAAGAAACGACATTATTGATTTCCTGCATAATGAATGATAAATCTCTTTATCATCTGACCAGATAAAACTCTTTATCATTTAGCCAATTTTATTCTAAAACAACTGGCGATCGAACCAGTTCGAATCGATTTTAGTTATTTTAAACTGCAAGTAATATCGAAAGGACATCAATTAAAACCTAATTTCTGCTTTTTAATCCTTTCAATTATACAGTTTTAGTCTCGCCGGACACGTGCTCATAATCAGAAGCATTTGTTTACATTAGCAAGTCAGTACTGCCCGCTGTTCCATCGTAGTGGATCGCAGACCGCAGCGACGAAGCAAAATCGTCCGAGTCCCGCTGCCTCATTTTCGTACCGCAAGATGGATTTCGACTTTTTACCCAGGGAACTCGACGACATCATGAAGCAGGCGATCGCGAGTAGCAACGAGGAGACCTGCTACATAATCGACCAGCACGAGGTGAATCCGACGCTGGGTGAAAACAACGGCTTCATCGGCGACATCGGCAAGCTCATAATCGAGTTTCGCGACATGACGTGGGAGAGGCCGCAGCAAGAGTCGTTCGAGCTCGAGAGCTGCGAGTTCCTGGTGAAAGTCCAGCCGCCAGTGCGCGAGTACGAGAGCTCGCGCTACGTCACGGATCGCGGCGTCTTCTCGTACAGGCCCGAGCTCTACAACGAGCTGCTGCCCTTCGTGACCAAGTATCATCGGAAGAAGAACAGCGAGGACTTGGCGCCCAAGTGCTACCTGGCCAATCGTCGAGTGCTGGTCCAGGAGGACCTGCTGGCCCAGGGCTTCTACGCCTGTCCCAAGGGAAGCTGGCTCGGTCTCGAGGAGCTCCGAGCCGGTTTGAGGGCGTTGGCGCGATTCCACTCGGCGGGGATGCTCGCCGACTGGCGCAACTACTCGACGCTCCGGGACAAATTCCCGAGGCTGTTGGAGCGTCGCGAGAAGAAGGCGCGCTTCATCGAGGCTCGGGTCCGCAAGGGCGTCGGCTTCATCGAGAAGCTGCTCGAGCTGAGCCCGTTGGCGGCTGTGCGCGATTTCAGCGAGGCGCTGATGAAGGTGCTCGATCGCGCCTACAACTGGGACGACGAGGACAAGGAGGCCAAGGAGGTGCTGAGCCACGGCGCCGCCTGGCCCAGCAGTCTGCTGTTCAAGCGAAAAAATCCAAAAAATCCAAAAAATCCCCAAGACAGTTCCCAAGAGTCCACGGCAGAGAAGACCGACGAGCTCGAGGCCGTCCTCACGGACTACGACGCGGTGCATTACGCCCCGAGGACTCTGGACGTGGCCCAGTTCATCTACACGGGTGTGCATCCCCGCGATCGCAAACACCTAGAGGACAGTCTGCTCTCGTGCTATCAGCAGGAGATGTTCAGGTGTCTGGGCGAGCCGGGCCTGGGCTTCGTCGGCTACGAGGCGCTCAAGCAAGAGTACGAGGAGATGAGGATCGTCGCCATGTATCTGTCCACGCGCTACCTGCCCATCTGCTGGCTAGATCGGAAGATGCTGTCCGTGTGCTGGGCCGAGCATCTCGACGACTTCTACGATCGGTTCGTCCTGACGGACGACCACGAGGCCATCCTGGAGGTGTGCGCGTGGAACGACAAGTACGCCAAGAGGGTGTTCAGACTGGTGAAGCAGCTGCTGCGGGCGTTGCTCGAGCGCGACGACCAGTTCAGGGAGAAGAACTACGAGTTGGTGCGACGCTTCGGGCTCGTCAACTGGAAGAAGGTAGTTAATAAATCGGCAGAGGTCGAGGAGTGGATGTCTGCATCTACGGCTTCGTTGGGCGAGTCGATCGCGTCGTCGACGTCATTAGCTTCGATAGATACGGTTGACGCGTGGAAGTAAGCTGCAACGTAGCGTTTACGTCGGCTGCGACATCGATACAATAGAATAAATCTAGCATTGGTATACGAAAATAAATTAATCGAATGTATCGAATGTACATTACTTTCACCACTTGAGAAATAATTATAATTACGAATTAAATGAGATTCTTTTGAACAAAAGAAAATTTCCTGATTAATCATTTTTTTCCCTACCTGCCCCCATAAAAATAAAAATATAGATAACTTATATCGTTAAAAAAAACGATAGATTCTCGCCAATATCGTCTCGTGTTTGGTTATGACAATAATTTCAATGTGTAAACAATAACAATATGCCTTGCGATCAAGTGGCTAGATTTCTAACCTCGCGCGAGCTTTCAACGAGGAGCGCCTCGTGACGTTAGAAGAAAGATCCAACGATTCATGGACATGGGTTGGAGCTTCAGTCGCGTGTCGCCGGCGAGCAACAATGCCAACAACGATAACAACAACAGCAACAATTTACCACATTAGTAAGCATCCTTTCTGTATCTCTTGCTCATGAAGAAGCAAGCATAAAAAGCAAAATGCCTCATGCACAGCTCGGGCGACGAGCTCGCCGATCCCGAGTCGACCTGCTGCCACCGGGCCACCTGGTGCGTGCCCGGCTGGCGCAAGCTCAACGTCGACGAGAGCGTGGCCGGCTGCGGCTGCTGCGACTTGACCTACGCCACGGGCTTCTGGCTCGTCACCGTCCTGGCCATCCTCGGCCTGCTCTACGCCCTGCTCTATCTGTACGTGGGCGAGGCGATGCTGCCCGGCGGGCCCTACTTCGGCCTCTACTTGGTCGTCTGCAGCTCGTACTTCGCCGGCTGGGCGCTGGCCTACGTGCCCCGCGTCCAGCTGCCCCCGGTCTTCGGCATGATTCTGGCGGGCATCCTCGTGCGCAATCTGCACTGGTAAACCAAATTCTGGACGTTGTAAAACGACGAGAGAGAAACAGCGTATAATGTGCGTATAAGTGTGGTGGGTGTTGGTTGATGAGCACAGGTACAACATCGAGGAGGCCCTGAGCATGGCCACCACGGCCAAGATACGCATGTTCACGGCGACCTTCGTGATGCTGCGCGCCGGACTGCAGCTCAACACGACCACGCTGAGGGACCATCCGCGCTTCATCGTGCTGCTGGCTCTGGTGCCCTGCACCATGGAGATGTGCGCGGTGGCCGTCTGCGCCAGATCCTTGCTCGATCTGCCCTGGGGTTGGGCCTTTCTGCTCGGGTATTTTTATCTTAGAAATATCTTATCGAGGAGGCGATTTAATCAAGTATTTAACGTCGACTCGGCCTCGCGCGAATCTCTCTTATCACGAGTGCGAGTCGTGTCGCGCGCGCAAGAAGGTGGCCCCCGAGACGCTCGTAAAAAGGCTATATCACAGTGCAGCAGAGACTCTTTCTCGCGTATGGCGCACACAGAGAGAAGGATTTGCTCTCCTCTATGCAGCAGCAGCAGCAGGCAAAGTAGGCCCTGGTGCATAATTCAAGAGCTTTTTGCTGCACGCGGGACTGATTGCGCGCACGAGGCATCGAAAGAGCTTTATCGCTCGGCCGAGCTTACCTCCTATACTTTCCTTCCTTTTTTATATTTTATTCTACGCCATTTGTCGAGTGGCATTAACTTGCAAATAGAGAGAGAGAAAGCTCGCGGAGATGCAATTTGCTGCAGCTTCTTGCCCCCGCCGTTGACAACTGAAGTTTAAAATAAAAAAACGCGCGCATACTATATGTCCGAATGATATATTGTATAATTTATTATTCCGGAACTCGCTCGTATTGTCATGCAGGAGCATCACCGCCTGCCTGTCGCCCGTCATCCCGATCAACACGATGCTGGCCCTGGCCGAGGAGGGCTACGGCGAGGACAAGCACATGGCCTCGCTGCTGCTGACCGCCGCCTCCATCGACGACGTCCACATCGTCTCGGTCTACGCCATTTGCTTCTCCTTCGTCTTCAATCATGGTACATTTCATCTCGCGTTTACATCGACATTGATCTCATTTCGATAACGAGCTGATTTGAACTTTGGTTCGCGCACAGACGAAGATCAGGGCGGCTCCTACTGGTGGTCGATCTTCCCCAACGAGATCAAGGACCTGCTGCTGGGCATAACCTTCGGTACCGCGCTGGGCATTTTCTTCGTATTTTTTCCACACAGAAAACACGTATGGAAATTGTCAGAGTCAAAAATATGGCATACAATTTAATGTCGCATTCAATGTCGCATCTATCGTCGCGTTCGATATACAGAAGTACGTCGCGTGGTACAGAATCTGCGGCCTGGTGCTGGGCTCGCTCGTCTGCGTGGCGAGCACGTACAAGGTCACCATCACCGGGAGCGGCTACCTCGCCACCATCATCATGTCGCTGATCGCCACCAGCGGCTGGCGCGTACTCAGCAGGCCGTTCGACGTGAGCTATCTATTCAAATCTGAACATTATTATTCTTACGCAATGTCGAGGACATACTTTTCGAGTCATTTTTGACATTTTTCGGCCTCTCGTAATATGGTCCGTCAGCAATCGGTAATTGACAAACGGAGCATTGCGCGACGCGCTGACGATTCGTTATTATCACAGGCTTGCGTTATTAATGCCAAAGCGCACGAAATCTGGCCTCGTTGGACCAATGGACCGTGAATCATAGACTTTATCTAATATTGGTCACCGCGCTAATTTGTCATTGCCGTCGATCGACTTTTTATTTTTATCGAGCCGCTACCTTTTCGCTCGCCATTCGATGTATCACGACGTTTTTTTGTTTTATACAGCTGCAGCCGCTGCGCCAGGCCGTGCACATAATGTGGCACCTGATGCAGCCGGTGCTGTGCGGCGTGATGGGCGCCGAGGTCGACCTGAGCGGCTGGAGCCTCGGCCGATTGGGCCTCTACGTAATCTGCCTCGCTTGCGGACTCGCGGTGAGACAGAGACATCCATCGATATTTATTTTCGTAATTTTTCCACGGCATCGTTGCAACGATAAATCGATCGCGAGCTCGACTCGACGAAATAAAAGAGCTTACGCAGCAGCTTATGCAGTCGCAATATGATTTTGAAACGATTCGCAGGTGAGGAGCGCGTTCGTGTTTCTGTCGACCTGGCGTTCTCCTTTCAACAAGAAGGAGCGCGCTTTCATCGCACTGGTCTGGCTCGCCAAGGGTGCAACCCAAGTAAAAAACCTAATAAACTCCTCCGAATGTATAGCCAGGCAATGATCGTATGGTTGTAATTACGCAGGCAGCCCTGGCCCCGATGGTCCTCGAAGAGGCCCTGAGCAGCGGCACGGCCGGCGGCGAGCAGCAGCGGCGCATGGGCTACGTGCTGGACGTGGTGCGCATGGCCGTGGTCACGGTGCTGCTCATGTCGCCCATACCCGCCGTAGCGATCATGATCGCCGGCCCACGACTGCTGCACCGCCTCGACGAGGAGGAGCGCAGCAAGCAGCGCGAGCTCAGCCTCATCAGGCTGCTGAGCTTGCAGCCCGTGCGCAAGCGAAGACATTGATCCCGACCGAGCCAGGTGGACTTGTTTTTTTTTTTTTTTTTTAATTGAATTGAGAGCGTACGTGAAGATATTGATGACGTACGGGGTGGCACACTTCGTTGCTGAGACTATTGTGTAAGCCCGAATTTGACGACGTAGGTTTTTTGTTCGAGCGAGAGAAACACAAGACGTTATTGTACAAGGGGAAAAATTTGGATGAGAAAATTAAGAAATTGTGTATCGATGTTGTTCTCGAATTCGCGGGAAACGAGTTTTGAGAATTTTCTCAATCATAATAAATAAAACGCGAATTTTTTCGCACCTCTGTTATTTCTGTTGCATTTTTTCTTTCTCCTCTCTCGTTGTCCAGGGCTACTTTTTGAAATCACTGCTTCGTAATGATAATGCCTCGAGTTGATATCGAGGACTAATTTTCTCAGCATTTCTAACTCGAATTATTCATCGCAAAAAAATTATTACGTTGGAACAAAGTTACTGCTGCATTTGTAACTCGAACGATCTTCGACTCGATAAACAAGGGAGAACATCCCTAATGAAACGGTCTTGAGTTTGCTCGAAACTAAACAGCAGCAGCCAACACAACACAAACAGATGCCAATCAATTGTTATAAAGCTAAACTTTGCTCTCCACCGCTTAAAACTTACACTTCGATCGATCCATTACATATATAATCCAAAATAATTTCATCGCATTTCGATTTCAAAAAACTTGGAGAAGCAAAGTAACTCTGAGCTAAGCCAACTGTTATGTCTCGCTGGTGGCATTATACGCTACATTCTAGCGCGTGCCATTTAAATAAATGCAAAAACAAACGCATAAGGCGTGAGGGAGAGAGAGAGAGGAAGCTTACGCGGCATTAGAGTTAGTATTATATACGCGAGCGGGCGGCACAAAGGCCCATCGTCGTTGTGTATACGGCTATAGCAGAGTACGCAGCTAGTGGTTTAGGTCGATATTTTGGCCGACCGCCAGCCAGACGCCTCTATTCCCATACCCCTCGTCCCTAGCTACCTTCCTCGTCCTGCACAGCCGCTGCTCTATATATGCACGATGCTGCAGAAGCAAATCCCTTCTGAAACGAGTATGTGTGTGCGTCTATCTCTCGCTATTTGCCGCTATCTCTAGCTGTCTCGATGTTATATATATTATTATATATTCGGCGACGCTAACGGAATAATTTACTCTCCCATCGAGCGAAACTTATACGAGCATACGTATACGGTGGTCGCTGGACCTTGAAATGTTCGCGTGGCATGCATCTGCGTATGCGTTCATTTAATGCGTTATTAGTACGATATTTTTTGTACCGATCGTTTTTGGATATCGACCGACTGATGCAGAAACTCGGCGTAAAATAGACTCGGAAGAGCTTGAATTTACTTTCATCGAGAGTTGCATCGGCAACTCTTAAATCTATAATTATTTCCAAACTTACATAGCTTTTCTAAAAACGAATCGCTCGCATTCGTTGTACATCATATTGGATCCCAATATGCAATGAAATAATATTATTTAGGTCCAATATTTTTCGTTACCCACAGATGGTGCAAGGGCATTTCCAGAATTCTGAGTACATCGATTGTTTCAAACGGGGCGTATAATTCAAAATTTCTTGCTTCGCAGCTCTTTAATCCGATACTTTTTGTGAATATGAATCTCTTTTCCAACTGAACTAGTAATACATTTTTTATTCTCAATTTTATTATTAATTAATTTTGAATAAAACGTAGCTTCAATAGAAAGTAACTAGTCTTTCATATTCACTAGAATTAATTCATACTAAATAAACCAACATGACTTGAAATAATTATATGAAAATTATTACTTCATTCGATACATTCATCTCTATCAAAATTGTATAAAATTGAAGCAATAATAATTTAAACGTTTCATTCATTAAAAATACATCATTTTCATCGAATTCAACCAGTCTATCTCAATAACTTGAGAAAAACGTCTATAAACAACAGCAAAATCTTTGTGTATCATCGACTCGACTCGATCCAAAACTTTCAATCTCTGGGCCATGTAAACATACACAGAGATTCGTTGCCATTATAGCAGCTGCTCAGTCACATCGATCTCGAGCCCAAGTTTCGTCGCGATCACCGCTCGTTCTAATATACGAATCCGTTCGTAAGCGCTTGCAGCGAGAAGCACCAGCCACGATAGCCTCGAAATCGAAAGAGTAAGAAATCGATAGAACATGGACAGCGACGAAGAGTTGACGGTCGAAGAGGACACGCCCGAGAACCTGGCCTTCTTCGATCGTCTCGAAGATCTGGTCCGCAGGGACAGGTATCTCGGGTACGCCCTGAACGAGCGAGTCCTCGGCGACATCCCGTTCGTCCACTGGGTCTTGAAGCGAGCCATCGAGCGGCACCACATGGAGATCGTGCGCCACATCGTCGACGCCGCCAGGATCCCCATCGTGCCGCTCGAGGGCGAGCACGGCCGCACCGCCATCCACCTGGCCTACGATCGGGAGTTCTATCAGGCCTGCGAGCTGATGCTGTACCGCTGCGACGACGCGACCAATCACACGGACCCGGACGGGCTGACGCACTTGCACGTGGCCTGCCACATCGGCTACGTGGACGCGGCCCGGCGCTACCTCGAGTCCGGCGTCGACCCGAATCTCCAGCTGTTTCGCTGGTCGAGGCGCGCGGCCAGATCGCCGCTGCACATAGCCGTGCTGCAGCTGCAACCGGAAATAGTGGAGCTGCTGCTGGAGAAGGGGGCCGACGTCAACCTGCTCGACGACTCGACGGGACGCACGGCCGTGCACCGGCTCTGCGCCATGATCGCCTTCGGGGCCGAGAATCGGCAGCTCTACCTCGTCAACCCGTCGATCTACGCCCGGGCCAAGGCGACCTGGCTGCGACTGCTCGAGACGCTGTGCGAGCACGAGAGCGTGGATTTGAATACGCGCGACAACGAGGGCCTGACGCCCGTAGCCACTCTCATGTTCAATTCGTCGGAGCTGAGCAAGCTGCATCACGACGCCCTGGAGCTGCTGCTGATGAACGGGGCCGATCCGAGGGGCGCCTTCAAGCCGTGCAACTTGACCGCGTTGCACGGCGCCGTCTGGGCGCATCGCGACTTCGGCGACAAGGCCAAGTACAACCGCGAGTTGTCGCACGAGCTCTGCGCCGACCTGGTGCAGATGCTCGCCATCTACGGGGCCGACGTCGAGGCCAGGGACCGATTCGGCCGCTCGGTCCTCGAGATGGCCGTGTCCGCGATCGATCTCGATACGGTGCGCGTGCTGCTGGACCGCGGCGCTCGGCCCCTGTCCAGCCAGGTCGAGTTCAAGCTCGGCTACTTCGAGGACATGTGGCACTTTCTGCCCAGCCTGGAGATGATCGAGCGACTGCTGGCCATTTTGAGACTGTTCGAGAGCTACGACCTCGAGTTCAAGACGAGTCGCGAGGCCGACCTGAGACTCCTCGAGTTTTTGTACAGAATGCAGCAGGTGTACAATCGGGACTCTTTCAGAAATATCCTCGAGTTGGGTGAGTGTCCGAGTGATACATGAATGATCCCTACATGCAAATTAAGCCTTCAAAACTGCTTTTTTATTACAGGCAACGAAAATGTGCTCTACGACGCGATAAAATTAGTGCCCAACGGTAGAGACGGCTGGGACAGGCACAGCGACGTCAGACAGTACATCAGACTGAAATCCGAGCTGGAGCTGCTGGTGAGGCATGAAAAAGCCATCAGGGTGGGCCAACTGTACCTGTCCGAGAGCACAAAATGGGCCTTGGTCTGCGCCACCGATCATCTCAAGAATCACATGAAGGAGTCCTTCGAGGGCTACGACAAGATCGTGACGAGCTATCGATCCAAGGACTGCTGGAGCGAGGAGGATCTGCTCGAGGACTTCAAGTACGCGGCCAGCCTCGAGCTCGACGACGAGACGTCGCTGCTCGACTTGATGCGCGCCTCGCCCCACCGCATGGCCCTGCGATTCCGCGATTTCGGCTTCGAGTACTTCCTGCTGTCGAAAAAGTTTGCCCTCATCGACGGACTCGTGCGCGGCTACATCTCCAAAGTTCTGGTGCGCGGATTCATGACGCGAATGGCCCGCAAGTATCTCGCCATGCTGCTGGAGCGCGGCGACATGCCCGAGGAGGTCGACGTGGCCTTCAAGTACCTCAACAACGACGATCTCATCAAGTTCATCGTCGCGGGCATGTACCTCGAGCCGCTGATGATGAGGCTCAAGGAGCAGGCGGACAGAGACAGGAGAGAACGAGAGGAGAGATCGAGGCAAGAGAGGCTGGAGGCCAGAGCCTGGAGGCGAGCGCTAAAAATTACCGAGCAAGCCAATGAAATCGCTGCTCGTGCAACTGGCCAAGCTATGAAACATCTAATTATTGGCGATGAAACGAATAAAAGCTATGGTGCCGAGAGTCAACGAGTCCACGACGAGGAAAATAAAGGAGAAAAAAATGAATGCAGTGGAGTTCATGAACCCAAACGAGAAACGAGTGACAGCCATGCTACCGATGGCCAAAGTAATGAAAATAATAAAAACGATGTAAGTAAAGGTGACAAAAGCAGAATTGATACAGACGAAAAGCTAAAGAGTAAGTCCGATGAAACTGACCACGAAGCCGAAAAAGAAATGAATAAAAGCATTGATGTCAATGGTAAAAATAAAGAAATCGAGGGCGAAAAAAATAAAAACGATAAGAATGACCCCGAAGAAGCGGAAACTAAACTATGAATTTCAGAACAAGGACAGTACCAAAAACTACATAAAAAAATGACGAACCCGAGCATCGATGTACGCTTCGTGGCAATTTCGACGGCAAAGAGTACATCTGCATCTCTTGTACAAATATAATTCGATTGTTATTGAAAATCACGCTTAAATTTTATTTCATCGACATTCCTGAAAATTTGATTTGATTATTGTTGTACCAACCTTGGCTGCAGCGAGTGCAGTTGATAAAAACGTTTGCTTACGTAGCGACGCTGCTTGTACTGTGCAGTGCACGCCACTTGTAGCAGACGACACAATTGAGCATCGAATATACATACCGTTTGACAGAAAACGTCAATCAATCGTTGTGTACATACAAACTCACTTTCTAAAATCATCGTAACTCGCTGTCAGTGTAATAGCTCTCCGCTTCGTATCTTTTTCAAGAATCATGCATTCCGATCGTCCGTAGATGCGTTGAACATAAAAATTATGAGCGACATGCTGTCCATGCATCATCCCTTGCAATTATGTAGAATGTGCGGCAAGGAGAAGCCACTTGGCACGGACTTGTTTACCGACAAAATCAAGGGCTCGGTACTTTTGTCAATAATTAACAAATATTTCGTCAAGGAGGTGAGCTGATTTTAGTAGTACCTTCATTGCAACAAAGGAGGAGACTTTTTATTCGATAAATATTTTTTACTCAGGCCTTATGTATTTCCATAACTGATCATCTTACCAAGTTCATTTGTACTGATTGCGAGCATCAGATTTGTTCCTTTGATGAATTTTGCTTAATGGTGGCAGATGTACAGAAACAGTTTCAACCGCCCTCGCTGGAGTTAGATTTTGCAGAGGTATATAGAAAACTGCTTATACTCTATGAATGATTCTAACAGGACTTGATTTTCTTTCAGGATATGCTAAATCATCTGAACAGCACTAGCATTCCTGAAAAGCCAAATGATCAACGAGTAAATTTTATACAAAAGAAAAGACAGGTTTGTCCTATCTGTTCAAAAAGTTTTCGATGTCTGTCTCATCTCAACCGGCATAAAATAATACATACTGGTTTGCGGCCTTATGTTTGTGATGTAAGATTTTAATTTGACCATTCTAATCGCATTCATTTACAACTTTTGATTTATTATCTGATTGTATTTTGTAACTTTGATTTCAACAGATATGCAATATGTCTTTCAATCAACAAGAAATAATGTTAAAACATAAACAGTCACATGATGGAAAAAAACAGTTCCAATGTGCCCATTGTCATCAAGCATTTAGATATAAAGTATCCTTAAAGTCTCATGTCATCAATTTTCATTCCATAAATGATCAAGGAATAATGAACAACCATATTGCTCCTTTGCAAGATCAAATGTTGCAATGCCCTGAATGTAATAAACAATTTGCAACCAAGTACAAATTGCAAAGGCACAGAAGATATCATACTGGAGAAAAGCCATATCACTGCAATTACTGTAATCGCTCTTTTTCTCAGTCTTGTAATCTTAAACTTCATCAGCAAAAATATCATCAGATTCTTTGTTCTATTGCACCTCAACCACCTATACAAATTCAACAGCAGCATCATCAGCAGCAACATCAACAACAATTACATTTACAACAACAGCAGCAGCAACAGCAGCAACAAATCCATCATTCCTTGACTCAACCTCCCGAACAACCCATGACTCATGCTTTAAATACCTTCCAACCCATGTTCTTGACTGAAACTGAACTTCAAGATACAATTAATGAAACTATAAATTCAACTGGTGCCGAATCATCTTACATGAATAAATCATACGAAAATCAGTTATACATTGATGATGAGATAGAAACAATGCTAGATCAAGACTTTCATCAATTAGAACGTCAGAAATATGCTGCATTATCCCAAGATAAAACTCCATTTTGTTTAAAGCAACCTGAAACTCCAGAAATATTACATAGTTTATTATATGATGATTCAGAATGTATTTAGAATATTCATAATTATGAATGTAAATAAAATAGAATACGAATTTCACATTACCACTTTATTTGAATTTTAAATATATATATTTATATATAAATATATATAAAAGCAAAAACTCGATTTGGTCTCGCAGTCACGGAACAATCAGTGTTTTTTAGTTACGGGTAATATCTCGTTGTTCATTCAAGTTAAATAGTTATGTTTGTAATAAAAGTTATTAGAAAAATTAATTTTTTAATGAATTAGGAACTCGATTATCGTGTATGTACAAAAAAACGAACAGAATTAAAGTAGGATCTTTCATTATGAAATTAGTACCATACACTTGATCGTTCCCTTACTACAAAATTTCATGTACATATATAACATCTTAGTGAATTACTTTGAATCATGTTTACCATTCAAATACGTTACATAAAATAGCTTACAGTACGACATAATGATTTAATTTATTTCTCATATAGATCTGTGGTAGAATATTATCATTTACAGACACACATTAGTTATCTATCATTTATTTCAATCACATATAATATGCCATTGATTAGCAAAAAATTAATTGTTCGAATGGCACGAAAATGAATAGCAATATAATTGATGATGCAGTGAATGCAGTCATAAATAATAATCTGATTAATTGGAGAGAACAAAAATAACTTTGGAATAATAACACATAGTTGTATCGCAATCCTATAAAATTCTAACAACTATCACAAAAGTATATTGCAGTATAATCAAAAATACTCAGATCACAATTTGATTTCAGTCTGATTAAAAAATAATGCTGAATAAAAAGAACACGGTTTTAATCATATATTTGCAAACTTAGAAACTAGTACCGTGCACTTGTTACTTTCGATCGTCTTGAGTACAGCTTTTTTTTAACAGAGATCGTTCATATTGTATCATTCTGCATTTTTATATAAAATAGATCTACAAATAGACCAGAATACGGTCTAATAATATAATCAAGTGAAAAATCGATGTAAGGCACAGCCCTGCAGTAAGTTTTGCTTTCAGTAATCATAATTCACGTAAAAGTTTACGTGAAACAAGAATTGAGGACTGGTTCATAGTATTGTAAAGTTGATGTATTAATTTATTCAATTTAAGTAGATTCAAGTCTACGTCATCTAGATTCTAAATTTTTGATATTTTAATAAATTACCGGCGCACAAACGTCTACCTTGCAATAATTCACGTGACTCAATTCTTACATGTATGTGAACACGATCAAATGATTTTCAATAACTATTTTAACGATTCAGCAGTTTTGAGATTTGTAAAGAACATACTAAGATTCTTATAATTTACGTCCATTTATCTTTTACTAAACGTCAATCTTCAAAATTATTCGATAGAAAACAAATATTTTCTGTATATTTAACGAGTTAAAAAATTGTATTTTAATTTATACAAATAGCTTACTGCAATGTTACAAAGAATTCTTTTATGATCGTCGTATTAAAAAAGTCAATTTTGCATTGCTAAGACAAAAGTTCTTTGATTACGCCATAAAAGCTAAGCAGCCAAAATTTCCATTTGAAAAATTTAATCTAGCTTAAAACAGTACATTTAACATGCCAGTATTTGTAGCGTAGACTAGCCCTTGTCCAGGTTGTGGAGCCCACCGCATGCAATTCAGACTCACATAAGTAGGCGTGTCTCGATTTTGCTGCAACTCTCTAATTAGCACCATTTTCTTCGAATCCGGTTTCATATCGCTTGTGTCGCTCGGATTATTATTCGCGGAGTTATTGCTCGACGGCCTGGAGCGCGAATTCGAATCGTTCGTACTGTCGTCCTCAGGATGATACGGCGGCGACTGGAAACGCAGAGGTCGTATCTCATCGTCCAGTCGCGGTTGTTCCTGACCCGCCGCGGGGGGTGGTACAAATGTTATGTTCGCGATTCTGCGCAACTCGTCCCTCAAACGATGCTGCGCGGTAATACGCTCCGCACCCGTGGAAAATATACGCTGCGACCTTCGAAGAGGCGAATCGTGCCTTCTTGACGACGAGTCGGAGGTCCTTCTCAAAGAGGAATCAAATGTTCTTCGGAGCGGTGGGAGTGTCGAATCTTCCGCCCGATGGGCAGATGGTTCCTCTGTTAACTTTTCTGGACTTTTTATTGTCTTGTCATCAGTCTCAAACTTGTAAATAAGTGCCATCGGAGACGCACGATTAGGAATTTGAACTCTACGAGAAGCGAGGCCAACAAGTAAATGCTGTGATGTCGGGGACATCGAAACAGAAATAACTGAGTGATCAGTTTGGGTGGAGTATACTTGTTTACCAAGAGTGTCCCATTGTAAACTATAAACACCTGAAATTGATATGACAATCGTTACTATCGTTACTAATTTAAAATACAGAAGTTACAAATAATGAATTTTTCGTAAAATGTCTTACCTATGGTGGTTATTGGGTGCATTCGTGTGGGCTGCACTAGAGTAACCAATAATGCCCCATCATTTGAAATATCGATACTAGCATCGTTGAGAATTTTACATTCCTTCACGACTATATTTTTTTGAGCTGAAGTAAAGAGAGATTAAAATAATAAGTCAAATTTAACGTTAGAATTTCAGATACGTAATATATGAGAAAAAACTCACCGTCTCGTATATCAGGAATAGATGAAAAATCCCACGCTTGAATGCGATAGCTTTGGATTTCCATACCATTGAATGTCATGTTGATCTGATGATCTGTAAAAAATGCTAAAATATTATATACAATTATAAGTTACATCAGGTTTAAATATCTAAAAAAATAATCTACCCCGTATTTCGACGTCATCGCTGTCATTCTCGGGATCTTGGCCACCGCTTGAGCCATCTCCAGTTCGCACAGGCTGAACAGGTCGCGGCACAAAACTATCTCTCCAAGCCTGTGTGAAGAACCATCTATGAATCTAAACGATAAAGAAGACGAAAAAAAAGGTACCAAAACAATTAAATACAACAAATAAATAGATGAAAGGTAATAAATTAAGTTAATCAATAAAGTGAAATAAAAAAAAATGAATCTTGTTTTGATTAAAGTTAAAGTATGCAATAAAAAGAAATCGATGAACAGCTATGAATAAATTAAATCATAATTCGTTGAATATAATTCTAACCTGACTACGAATAGTGCTAGAGTACTGGTGTTCGATAGGATCGAAGTTGGAGTTGGCCGGAGCGGCATTGCCTCGTCGTGCCTCATTATCTAATCTTGAATTTATAAAATAGGGTCTTCCCAGAGTATTACGGGGTCCTCCAAGAATATTATATATGCTACTAAGGTCGCTGACCGGTTGATTGTTGACTCTAATCAACGGTACATTCAAACCACCAGCATTAGTACTATTTGAACCTCTCGCAGTACTCGGGGCACTTGCCGGACCTCTAGCACCGAATGAACTAGATGAACTTGCTGAACCTGATACACCAGCCGAGGCAGATGAGCCAGACGGTCCAGCCACAGCAGCTGCGCCTAAGGAAGCGGCTGAAGTCGCGTTGTGATCGGATGGCGGACCAGCCGATGGCGCGGCCGTTGAGTCGGATGGACCGGCCGGGGCAGCCGCAGCTTCGTCGGCACCCACAGCAGCATCGCGTTCATAATCAGGAATATTTAGAATGGGCCCGCGAGACACTGTGATGGCGGCGAGATGACGAAGACGGTCAAGGGCGTAAACCTCTGGGTCGAACGGACCGAGGACTGGGCGCCAGCGTTCGCGCACGCTGTTCGTCTCGCCGAAGAACGGGCGCCGTCTCATCATGATATCGTAGCGGCGCTGCAGCGTCACCAGGCCGTCCAAGAGCCGTCTACGGCGATCGATGTGACGATCCAAGCGGTTACGCCGGTCGCGGGCATCTCCTCTATTGCTACTGTTGCTGCTACCAGCCACTGAGCCACGATTTTCGGGATCCTCCCGATCGTTATTGCTCGGATTGCTACCGCGCCTGTCGCTGAATCTTTCGGGTGGCACTGCCGGGGCATTACTGCTATCCCTTGGCACGTAACGGCTGCTGATTCTTTCGCGCTCGTTGGTAGTCGTAGGCGGCCTGTCGTGTGCGCTGCTGCGTTCTTCGACTAAAAAAGTGAACAAGGAACAAATGGTAAAATTTCGCTCAAACGACAACAATTGCTCGATGACATTCACTCATATGCGACTTACCGGGTGGTGTTCCATCTGCCGTTGTCCGTCCATCGTCTTCCTCTTCCATAAAGTCGTAGTATTCGAACCTAGAATTGAGTCTACGAGGTGGATAACGAGATGGATAAGATGGAGTGCTCGACGACTGCTGAGGGCCGCTTGTGCCGTTGTCGTTGTTTCTCTGAATGCGTTCTATGATACTCTGAATCTCTAAACACAAACTCTCGTTGTTATCTTGTTCGTTGCCATTGTTGTCGGCGCTGTTACTTGTAGACGGTCGGGCCGTGGTTGTTTCTTGATTCGTAGTCGTCGGTATTCGAGGCTCGTTAACACTGTCGTCAAAAGAATGTACAGTTTCTTGACCCGCCATAGACAATCGCCGCTCGTTTTCATGATTATCAGCCCTGCTGGTCGATGGACGAGCAGAGATTGTTTCTTGACTGGTCGACGCTTGTTGACTCGCATTCCCCTCGATTCGAGTTATTTCATTCATCATATTGATTACGTCCATATCAATATCTCTGGTTTCGCTGGTAGACGGACGTTCACTCGTGGTTTCTTGGCTCGCTTTTCGCTGCTCGTTGTCCTGTTCTGCTTTGCTGGTCGACGGACGAGCACCGTCGTTTGCCATCTTTGTATTCGGCATCGGTTGGGACGTCGATGGATTCGTTGCGCTGCTGTTCTTGGCATCGCCAAACATAGCTGTCAATCTTTCGATTCTTTCGATCGCGGACATCCGTTCTGGCGGTATACCGGTAGCGCTCGGCGGTGTGTTTGTGGCCACTGTCATTCAAGCAACGGAAAAAAACATTAAAAATCATTCACCAGAATGCATTGAAACATGCAATTTGTATTTAATTTCGTAATCAACGATTGCGTACCTGTCGTCGTGCTCGCAGTCGACCTGTCTGAAGAATTTTCATTGGAATTTGAGCTACTACCATCCTGATTCGTTTCATCCATTGGCTCCTCATTCACAGGCGTGGTATTGGTCCCAACGCTAGTTCTGTTTCGCTCGCCGTTGCCGGCTGCCTGTTGCGGCTGTCTCGCGGCCATGGTGGCATCGAAATCGAAATAATTGAAGTGCAGCAATTCACGCCTCGTTCGGGTGTGCTGCTCGAGCAAAAGATCGGTCAGTTCCATGCCCAGGCGCGGCAGTGTGTGCATATTGGAGATCTCCTCGCGGAACAGTCGATCGGAGAGGCTGTTGGAGTTGTTTCCCGGGCGAATTTCCTCGAAGAATCGAGTCAGACTCGCGACCATGAGGCCGTTGAGCACCTCGCGCGCCTGTATCCTGATCAATTCGCGCAGATTCTCTACCATCTCTTGACTCTCGTACTGCTCGGCGGTCATTTCCGTCGAGTCTCTGTACTCGGTCAATCGGACCATCGAGTTGAGTTGATGCAGCAGACCTTGCAGCCTAAAATATACAAAGCAAAAATTGCATTACGGTGTCTGGGGACATCGGAGAAACACGAAAAGAACTAGAAAAAAATTGGAAAAAAAAGATGTAACTAAAAAGCGTATTCTCAAAAACTGAATAAAATGATTGCTAACTTCATGAGCATAGCTGAAGTCGACTCGAGCACTCGGCTACGGCGCGCTAGATGGGTCGTACCGAAGCCGGTCGCACCTGATGACAGCATCTCGTTGCGCCGCTGATTTCTGCGTAATCGATCGTATTGACGATACAAATGAGTAAGATTTTGCACGCTGGCTGCTCGCTTCATGTGTCGTGAGCCCACATATGGCAGCCGTGGTCTACGCAAGTATGTTCTTCTACCATATCGCCACACTCTTTGATATCTAATTTAATTATTCATTTATTCATTCATTTGTGGGCGTTTACCCATGGTTTAAATACATTATCATAAAAACTATCAGTTCACTACTTAATTCATTTTACAATAAATATTTTGATTTTCGTAATAAAAAAAGGACGCAAAGTCAAAAAAAAAAAGATAAGAAAGTTCTTCCAAGCATTTCAAGTATTTGAACCAAACGAACTTATAAATGATAATTACATGGTCGTAATTGAAAAATGAAAATTATGGCGAATGAAAATTCTCACCTGGACTGTCTCTCCTGAAGACTCGAATTAGTCGGCGACTCGGACATGCTGCTCGACGCCGAACTGTCCACCTGGGACGAGGAGCTGGCCTGAGCGTCGTCGCTCGTCGCGGCCGACGTGCTCGCTCGAGGATAGCTCGGTAGAGGATTGGTGGTGGTGGTGGTGCCGCGCGACGTACTCGCTCCTTCGTTGATCGCGCCGCCGCTTCGGCCGCCGGGCTGATGCAGTCGCGCGTCGCCGCTACGCCTCGACAGATCCGAGGGCGTCGGCAGCCTGAGCGAGTCGTAAATACTGGCGGAAATGTCATTGACCAAGTTGGCTATGTTGGAGAGCTGCAGATTGGGGTCGTTCGCGGACGCCGAGCTGTTGTTTCCTTCGACGCCGGCGGACGACGACGACGACGACGCAGCCAAGCCGGAGGCCGATGGGCTCGAGTACGTGTGATCCTCGACGGAGCCTAGTATTAAGCTTTTATTAGAATATACGGACAACCATTTGTTGAACAATCGGCAGAGACCGTCAAAGCGCATTCGCTTGAGCTCTGCGTCGCTTGGTATGAGATTTGTCAGATTTATGGGCGACGCTTCCACGGATGCTGCATCGGCAGCCACTTGGTAATATATATAAAAAATTTCGTTTCTTTGAACCAATTTCTCTGGAGTTCGTCGATTATCGTATAAAAATTACGCAGAGAAACTTACGTTGTGTTTGGTCACTGCCGCTTGGCTCGCCGGCGGTGGAGGTCGACGGCTGCTGAGTACGATCGCCGCTCGTACTCGGCTCCGTGCCCTCTCGTTTGTAATGCTCGATCAATGTCTTTTTGAAGTTTCGCGCCGGCTCCGATTGCGAATCGACATTCGGAGGGAACACCCTGGACGCCTCGGCCGGTGCCTCCTGCGCTCTGTATTCATACCAATTTAGTATACCCTCATATTGTTAGTTATAGAAAAATATTTGTACAGTATTGTTTTACCTGCTAGAGGATAAGGGATCGTTGCTTTGAGGACGATCGGTTGGTCGAGTCGTCATGTACAGATGTCGGATTCGTCGTTGTAGCCTTTCCCATATCCTACGCACTGTTTGTAACTGGGCGATTTCCAAACGCACTCGGCCAAGCCGTTGTATATTCGAAATGTGACGTGCTGCAAGAACGAATTATTATTAGTTTCAATCGATTATTTAGTAATTCGCCAAAGTTAGATTTATTCTTTCATACTAGGTACGAAACGCGTACCGTACCCCAAAACTAATAGTTCTTTTTTTTTTGTTTTGAATATCGCGCCCTTTCCTGCGCTTTCTCCGGCCGACAGGCGACTCTACACGTGAATATTGGTCGACATAACCTGCACAATTTGTTTTGTAAACTAGTCACAACGACGTTCATCAACTGACAATTTTTTGTTGACACAGTGGAAATGGGTAGATCGCGAAAAAAAAAGTTAAAAGACCTCCAGAAATTTGCAAAATGGGATCGAGAAATTGCAATGGAGGACAACAAAAAAATTATTCCGATCAACAATTTACCAGATAAATATTTGATAATGCAAGTGAGTGTTCAATCGTCTCTTTAATGGTTATCAAGTGTCATTAAAATTTCTTAATTGCAATCAATTTTCAAAATATAGGTGAAATATGGTACAAAGATAAGGAAGGTATTAGAGTACGCTATAAAAAATTTCTCCAATTTCAATGACACCATTGTCTGGGAAGCAGAAGGGCAAGCAATTGGTAAAGCCATTACATGCGCTGAGATATTCAAAAGAAAAATTCCAAATATGCATCAATTGAATCATCTTTGCAATGAAACGTATGATCAATAATTACCACTATAATTTTTTTAACTTTCATCTAGATAATTTAAATCATAACAATAAAATTTGCTTTCAGGGCTGAAATTGACCAAAGTGAAAATAAAAAAGTGTCTTGCACACCTCACATTTACATTGTTTTATGCAAAAGTAATGTGCACTCTCAGAAACCTGGGTATGTTAAATTTTTTTTCAATTTACAGCGACAACTACGTTTGATCAAATTATTTACTTTGTTTTATTTTTTAATAGATATCAAGCACCAAATGATACAGGTATTTTTGATAGTTCTGAAAATGATAACTCTAAAAATCAAAATAAGGATAGTAATGTAACTGAATCAGTAGCATCAGAGGAGAAAGCAGAAATAATGAAATCAGCGGCACAAGAGTTTACTTCAATGGGGTTACAATCAGCATTAAAAAGACCTAATAAAAACCCTTGTGAAGCTAGTGCAAAAAAAAAGAAAAAGAAAAAATCTTCTGATGATAGTTAAGTTTCCAAGTCATAATTTTAAGATTGTTAAATTGTACAAAGCTATATTAAATTATTATTTTTATGTACTATAGAATGCATATATTTATATTCTCGCTATGTAAGACTATAGTTATTTCATAGATAATTAAATATGAGTTACCTAATAATCGCAATTCTCTAAATCCTTCATCTGTACTTTGACTGTCTTGATCATTATTAGAGCCAACAGTTGTGGTTGTTGTAGATTCATTTCGAGTTCTAGCAGTTGCCACATCATTTTGTTCAACGGATTCAGTATTACTAGATCTCGATTCCGTCTCTGCGCGTTCAGCAGCAGATAATAGATTTTGCAGACCTGTATTGATCCTCCGATTTACGCTTGGTGGTTGGTCGTCTACTTCCATAGGAGAAGATGTACTGGCTACAGGATCATCAGCCATACGACGATTAATCGATTCTTGAAGACTTCTGAACGGATACAGAGGTGGCTGTTCGTAACGAGTCGAACTAGCTGAAATTGGTGACAAGCGATCGGTGGGATCCGATACTCGAGATCTAAACGGTAGCCTCCAGTTATCTTCTCTGGGTGGTTGTGAAATCTAAAAATGACACATACGTCGTAACAATCATCTGAAGATCATTTCAAACGGCTTTTGACAATACGTATAAAACTATTTTACCTGCGGATTGCTATTGTTGGAGTCTAGTTGTATCCAGCGACTTGCCCTCCTACGAAAACTAGCACTCGCACTGTTATCGCCATGGCGCTCGTCGTGATTCGAATCCGAGTTGCTGTTTTCCTCGAGTAACCAGTAGCCATTCTCGGACTGCTCCCCAGCATTCTCCGTTTCGTTCGCTGTTGCTGCAGTTGTCGCCGCCGCTGCTGTTGCTGCTGCTGCTGCTGCTGCTGGAGGTGTCGGTGCCGCAGCCGTAGCAGTCATTTCAGTCATTGTGACAGAATTTAGATAGCGTTGAAACGCGTCCCAGAAAATATCGAAATTACTCTGGGATATGCGCTGAGCGCTTCTTATGATGCGCGACGTGTGTCTGGTGTTTAATTCGTCGGTCGGGTCAGCAGCGGAACTCGGGCCCGCTTCGTTATTAACCACGTTCGAAGATTCGGGTTGATCGCGAGGGTTGGCAGTGGTACTGCTACTGGGAGTAGTTGCGCCAATATTACTGCGCTGCGTGACACCAGAGCGAGTCGGTTGAAAAGCCGACCGCGATGAGACGGAAAATGAACCTCGACGAGTGGTAGGAACTCCGGCGGTGCTGTCGTCGCTCGACAACGAGCTGTACTCGGGATTATCCGGGGCAGGATAATTGACGTCGCTCTCTATTCTTCTTCGGCTCGTTCTGGGCTGTTCGTCTAGAATATCGTCCGACTCCAGTGGCCTTCGCCTCGATGCGCTCAACGTCGGTACGTACGAAGCTTCGCTGTCCTCCGACGTCGGTGGAGATTGGTTCGGAGCCTCCTGCTGCGTTTCTTCCTCGTCGCGTACGGTCAGCACAGGCTGCACTGTCACGACGTCTTCTTCGACGTTGGCGTCGGCACTACTACTAGGCACTACCTGCGGTGATACTTGGCCGTCTGGATTCGAGGCCGAGGCGGCGGTCGTCGACTCCCTGAAGCGCATCTCGTCCATGAAAGTCGCGAGCTGGTCTCTCAGCGCTTCGATACGGTAATTCGTATCGATCAGCTGACCCTCCATATTGTTGAGCTCCTGCACCTCGTCGTTTAACAGCCTGAGAAAAGTCATCAAGCGCCAGTTCGAAGCGTGGTTACGCATTCTGGACATGGAGCTGATGCGAGAACGCAGACCCTCTCGCAATTTGTACAGGTTCATCAGGCAGATGCTGTTGTTCTGAGCGGTGTCCTGCAGATCGTCGCGCATCAGGTTCATGCCCGCTCGCACGACCTGTCCGGACTCCGACATGAACAAACGTAGATTTTGCTGAAGTCGCTCGAGGCTCACGTTCGTCTCTTGTGCGCTGAAGTTCAGTATGTTCCGTAACATCTGGGCGAATGCTTCGGCGAGAAAGTAATTATTGGGCTCCTGCGAATTAGCGGCGACCGCCTCGTTTTCTGCATTCCGATCGGCTTGTTGCTGCAACACGACAATCGAGGATTATTCAGTCCGCCGCGTTTAAACATTTCAATTCGAGGGAATAAACTCACCTGTGCTTCTCTGCGTCGACGATACTCCAGCAAGGATGTCCTGTACTGATCGAAGCGCCGATGTCTCTCTCTGATCCGATTGCGATTTCGTCGCAGTCGCTCGTAAAGAGATACACGATGATCCGACTCTTCGTGTGGTTCATCCGATTGAAGGATGTCGTCCTCGTTGCTTTCCTCGTCCGACTCTATGCGTCTCAAAGTGTGCGCTACGTCGTCGGCTGCCTCGGCTACGTTTGGATTAGCTGCTGGCGGCGGCCTGTGCTGAGTACCCGAGGGTGCCGGAAAGTTGAACGACGAGGACGTCGACACAGAAGGAGAAGCGGCTGGTGATCTCGCGCTTGCTCTCCTGTTATTAATATTGCTGCCGCTTGTGGCACTGTACGTTAGCGGGTAATCTTGGGCGAATGTTGACCAAGCCGCTCTGCGGGGATGAGTTTCCGGGGTCGAGTCTCTGACGTCGAGCGGCATCATGCCACCCACTCCTGGCACGTTGTACGAGACGCGCAGGTGGTGATTCAGTGGCAGGCGAATATAATCCGAGGAGCGACTAGGAATCGATTGACTATTCGAGTTCGATCTATGTGACGTGTAGTTTCGCGCAATTGGACGACGACGCGGTCGTTCGATCATAGGATCGTCGAAATAAACTACCCTTGATCCGCCGACACCCATGTGCGCAAACGATTCTCGCGGTAACATTCTGCGCTGACTTCTGTGCAAAATGAAAATAAGTAAATTGTCTCGGACAATATTTGTCGAAACGTTATTGAGATTACTCACAAATATGATCTACGAGGCAGGATAAGTCTCTCCGGTCGTGGAGCATCTGGTGGATTGTTATCACGATTATTGTCACCATCGTTCATTTGTGGAGCATGAAGCGGAGAGCCATTCCAATGAGGATACAAATCGCCCTCATAAAACCTTTCCCTTTGAGCTCTATTACGTATATATCTTTAATATATTAATTAAGTGAATAATACCGACTATAGAATAAATAATTAATGTTCATCGCAGTTACCTAGAAATGGGTATTGTACGTATTAAATGTTCCACTGGTGGTCTATCCCATTGAGAGTTTTGAGTTGGATTTGCAATACCAGTTATAAGTTTCTGTCCCAAGTTGTCAAAAGCCACATACCTAAAAATTTTCCATTTTATAATGTACATTCACAATGATAGAATCATTGTATACCTAATAAAATAATCAACATACCTGACTTTCTCTCTATGGGAGTTGGTAGTGACATGTTTCTCTGGCTCTGGTTTATCCCAATCCCAAAAATGAACTTCATTGTACGTTGCAATAGCTAGTAATCTGTATACCGGATGAAAAGCCAAAGATGCAATTTGACTCTTTGAATTCCATATTTCACTACCCCCCTGCGAAAAAAATTGCCTGTAATTAAAATGTTCACAAAACATAAATTCTTACATAAAGCATATTTACACTCAGATCCCAAACTCGAACTTGTCCACCAAGGCATCCTGAAGCTAAAATATCGTTGCTTATAGGATGAAAGGCTATACACCATGGTGTTCGGGGGTGACCTGATAAAATTTTTAAATTTTTTCCCGTTGTTAAGTCTGTGATATAGATGTCATGGTTCCCATGAGTTGATGCCACTTTTGAGCTATTTAATAACATGAAAAAGTTGTACAGCTGGGTAAGTAACATATTAAAACTGTTTATAATTAATATTTACCCATCTGGACTAAACACCATTAAAAATGTAGTTCTAGGAACTCCAGGTAGTTCACATTTCTGAAAATGACATTAATTTTATGTAAAAAATCACTGCAAAAAATATAAGTTTCTTCAAAGAATATTTTATTTTTACTTACTAATTCTTCTAAATTTTTTATGACAAGTTTTGTTTCTGCAATGTGTTCAAATTCTCTAGTACTAGATATATTTGTCATGTGAAAGCCACTATCACGTAGCATTAAATTTCGTAATACATTTTGAGTTTGACTGTTGTGGTACAGTCTTGATTTGTTTTGGTCTTTATCCATTTATTCTGATTTTATAGGATCCAGTGCGACTCTGAAAATTTAAATAGATTTTGGTAAAACTTCACTATTCACAATAAAAAGATCAAATGTATATTTTCAAACTTGAGTTGTGCATTAGAAACTTTAATGTACTTTAGAATCAATCACAATTTACAAAATTAGTAACGTTGAATGCAAGTTTAAAATTTCTACTGTTCAAAGCTGAACTGATTAAATACAATGAATTTTCCACGACTTTTGTTATTAATATTGGGAACTTGGGAGGTACTAAAAATAAGTAATAACAAAAGAAAATAAAGTTTGGTCTGCTAACCATTGATTTCTAAACAAAAGAAATGTTCCTATTCTACGAACTATCGAAAGTCGCAGTTGTTGAAAAACGTAATAATCAAACCCAACACTATAAATAAAAAAGAGTTACAGAGAATGAAAATTCTCAACACCACCGCAAAATTGTACCGAATAAAAATATTGGATGATCGCAAATACAGATCGTAAAAAGCGGATGCTTCGTCACGAGCTAAATAAAATAAGGCCTGTGCATCGCACAAATCATCGTCCAAATTTTATGCACAACACAATGATTTACTTATAAACGTACCTAAAATCCCCATTTATACATCGTAAAATGTTAAAAAAAAATAAACTATTGGGCGGTGTGCGCGAAAAAAACACCAAACGCTGCTGCTGTGCATGCTACACAACGAAACAACAATAACAACAATCGACGAGAAGTCGCAGTAGCTGGAAGAAGCTCTAGCCGACGTCGTGAATTTCAGTCATTTTGGAAGAGATAAGAAAATTGCACGAATAAGGCGCACCACCAGAAGTGTAGCAGCAGCAGCAGCGACAGCGACAGCGTGTTATATATCTGTATGTGTTACATTGCTTTTTATGCGTATGCGTGCGCTCTCGAACATACACTAACTCTGCAATATATGTAACACATGCACGACGACGACGACGACGTCGAGGAGTAGGCGACATTTGCCGAGTTTACATTACAAAAAGCGTTTTACATTTCTCGCGCTGCAGAGGCGGCTTGTGCGCACGATGAAAAAAGCACACGAGAACTGCAGAAATGTGCTCCCGATACTGGACGCTGCAGCAGCGGCATTTCTCAACGTCAAAAGAAGCACATTATCATCGAGAAAGTATAATTACACTTCGGGAGCGATTCGTGAGCAGGGCTCCATACATACATCGCCGTTGCGCGCGCGGTGAATCACAGTGCCTATGCTGCTGCTGCTGTTTATATATCTGTATGTATGTATCGTTAATTCTGGCGTTCTCGCATTGTGGCGCGCTGTGTGTAGTGTGTGACGTGTGTGTGTGTGTGTGTGTGTGTGTGTGTAAGCTAAGCATGATCGTGCGTATACTTGTGTGCAGCAGTGTCGTTTGTATACGAGTTGCGCTTAGTTTACATGCACGCGCCGCGACTCCTGTATACGTACACACAGCATTGTATATACATTACAAACATGCCGTATGTTATATATACACGAAACAGAAGACAGAGGCTCGAAGGCACATTGTGTTGCCACCGCGCCGTGAAGTGACGTATAGGCTTATATAGGTACATACTACGAGACAACGAGAGCGGTGCGAGGCGACGACGTCGGTCGACCTCCCGAGACGATCGACGAAAACAAATGCGTGTACAAATTTATCGTAAACGGAGGAGAGCTATGTATTCTATACATGTACGATACGTTAAAGCATCTCGTATACGGAACAAGTGAAGAACTATATCACCGTATTTTATTGTATACATGGAGCTACGATGCAAGGTTGCTCCGAAAATCGCACACTACAATACGTGCGGTAAATTCATCGAGATGCACAATGTGCAACGGTGCAGTTTTCGCGCTCACCTGTTCTCGGCCCGCGCCGCTCACAGAGATATGTTTCTTGCTGCGAGAAGCTCGCGAGCACACGCGCGTGTTTTGTACGCGTCTAATATTGCACGATAAATATACCTGCGCCCGAACGCACAAACGCACGGTAAAAGGCCTGCCGTTGCTCGACGAGCTGAGTTGAGCTGATTCCGCAATCAGCTCGTAAAAACACACTCCCGTCGGCGCGGCCATGTGAACGTATATATATAAGCAGCATAATGTGCAATCCGTGTGCAGCAGCAGCAGCAACAGCAACGGCAGCTATACGTTTTATTATTATGTACACAAATGTCTCTTTCTCGCTCATTGCTGCGGGGGCAAGTGTGTATACGCGATACCGTACAACATATCTCACGTACGCGCAGGATCATCACTTTCGACATTTTATAGATATACATGCATCTACAGGCAGCTCTCACCTCAATCCCTGAGATTATGATTTTTGCAGCTCTCCCTGTCGCAGCACCAGCAGCAGCTTAGCTGTTCGCTTGCAGCCTGCATGTATATAATACAGCCGAGCTTATACACCACGGAGTGGGTTGTATACGTTGCGGGTTGCACTCACAAATTATATCTCGACGCTATATAACGGCTATATAGCTTCGCACGTACATGTATTTTTTATTCTTTGTTGCGTGTATACGACGTTTTATAATTTAAAATTATAAAACAATATATACAAGTACACGCATGCACGCACACACACACACACACACAAACACGCTGATCTTAATGTGCTGCGGGGCTCGACTGGCTGCAAAAGCGTCAGTTCCACAACACTCGCCACACGACTATCCGTGCGATATCCTTTTTTTTGTGTGTGTTCTGCTAGCTAGTTGGCAGTTGGGCCTACAGAAGCAACACTACACCGAAACACAGCGTATATACGAACACTGTGCGTTAATGTACAACACATATGTGTGCGTGCGATAATGTACTCGTCGATACGTCGTCTATCGGCACACCACAGCAGCAGCAGCACCAAGCTAACGAGTCGTTTGTCGTATCTCGCATGAGGCCAGTCAGTCACTGATCGAGCCCTTCCCTATGACGATTGACGATGGCTGATAATAATAAACACACACACACGACACTGTTGTGCGCTGTCACATGTACCTTGATAAATGCAACTCATGGATTACGAAGCTCGAGCCGAGTCTGAGCAGCAGCAGCAACAGCAGCAGCATCATTATATATTATTGTATGTTATACGTACATACATACGATATAAGCGCACGGTCACGATATGGCGAACTGCTGCTGCCAACAGCTCTCTAGTAGAGGCTAGCTGCTGCTCTCGACGCAGCGCGCGCGTTAATTACCCACGTCCGCGCGCGTCGTCTCTTTCACTATCTGTCTCGGACGCGCGACTCTATCCTATATCGTTTGCTTCGCTGTTATCGTGCGACTGATGTGCGTACGCGAAAGCTTCGAACTTGACTCGTAGTTGGGTGGGTGTATCGAACGCACAAATTGTGAATTTCAAATGCTTGCAGCGTAGAAAGCCTCTTACCATAACGGGCGCTAATTCAATGCATTTTTTTTATAATACTTTCTGGTAAAAATCATGAAAAACGGAAACTTTAGAATTGGCACGAGTCTTGTTATATTACTCTCGACGAAGAACCGACTTTAAGCTCTTTGTTTTTTAATTTAATTTGATTTTATTAATACGCTGTGTGTGTGTGCAGCTGCTGCTTCCGCGGCGCAGCCTGGCCAAGCACTGCAGCAGCAGCAGCCTCGCGATTGCTCCAACCTCTCCCGTGCGGGGGTTATAATGCGAGCTGGCTGCAGGCAGCGCAGCACGGCCCAAATGCAGCGCGCGATGACTGCTGCACTTTTTTATACCACTGCACGGCGCAGCTACTACTGTAAGCCGGTAAGGCAGTTTCGCGCTTGCCACGTGCTTTATTGCGTACTACGTGCTATTAATGAGTTTAGAGGCTCTTTAAATCGCATCGCGGTGAAGCGCGCGGAAAATCCTTTTACCAAAGGAAAACGAAGAAAAATATATTGAGCTGGAGAGATAATGCGAATGAAATTTCAAGCGCAATCGAAATTTTTTCAGATCGATCGAGGTGCTTCTCCGAGAGTAATTGAGGGCCTATTGAAAAATCGCGCGCTCGCGAAAATTTATCCAATGAATTTTTCCAATGCAGCGCGGAAACATTTTAGCAGGAAATTTTGCGCGCCCGATCCAAACTCCATGGGGTAGATTGCTCGTTTCTGCAAGAGCTGCGGTGTCCGAGTGGTTAAGGAGTCAGACTCGAAATCTGATGGGCTTTGCCCGCACAGGTTCGAATCCTGTCCGCAGCGAATCTTTTTGACGTTGGCCGACGTTATTTTTTATCGACCGTACCGAGGACTGACTGCAATTTGTACTTGAATCCGTACAAAATGCTCAATTAGCTCCGAAATTATTTTCAGCAGTTTTCTCTCTTTTGAGCAATTCCCATCTTTATTTCAATATCACAAATCTGAATTTCAAGAAAAATTTACTTATCATTGTGTATAAAAAAGTGATGGGCCCATATAGCGCGAAAAGTTTTATAGATTCTTATGGATTCTTGTAGATTAAGTTTCCATATAGGGTATGTGGGCGAGTTGCGAAACGAAACTTGCAAAATTGAAGGTTTCGAAAATTTCATAAATTTCTTCAGATCCCGTATCATGTAAGGGACTCGTGCGCATACTACCATTCAAATATATTAAAAATGAAGAGTCTCATTGTATTTATTAAAGCCACAACATTCTTTTATTATAATGAGACAATATAACATTGGAGGGGTTTGAGAATTAAAGTTTTTGAATTACACTAATACATTAAGGATAGTTAGACAAGGTTTTTGATACATTTGATAATAAAATTTATCCATTTATTATAGTACTTTACGATACTAGTGGCATAAGTAACACTTTTTGGCACGGCGTAGTTTAGGGCCCGCCTATAACGCCTGAGCGGTGCGCCATATCGATGTGGGCTCTGAGACTTCTTTTTCGTCCAAATTTCTTTCCGCATGTCTCGCATTCAAAGGCATTAACATTATGCAGCGATTTTATATGCTTGTAGAGAGCAGATAAATGCTTAAATTTTCTTCTACAAAAATTACACGTGTAAGTGGTACTCAAATGAGTCGCATCGGCATGTTTTTTAAGATTACCTTACTGTGAGTACTTCTTTCCGCAAATATCACATGCATGAGTGATTTTATGATGTACCGAATCGATGTGGCGTTTGAGAGTAATCTTATATGAGAATTTCTTTCCGCAAATATCACATTCATGAATGATTTTATTATGCAGCGCATCCAAGTGGTTTTTTAGATTACTCTTGTCTGAAAATTTCATGCCGCAAATATCACATGTATGAGTGATTTTATGATTTACCGAATTAAATCGATGTGGCGTTCGAGAGTAATTTTACATTGTTGTATCTAATACATTTTCCGATTTAACGGCATTTAAAAAAACTCGAGCTCGTAAATATGTCCATCCTGTCTTCATTTTGGGATGCATCTTTGTTTCGAAGATTGAGAGATCAGGAATTGTATAGAGCTGGAGAAGGTTGTTGCAATTAACTCGGGTATTCAATAAATAATTCAAACATCTTTCGTATAATCATTTCTTTTAATGAATACATTTCTCAACATTTTTGAATTCACTCGTTTCTCTCTTCATACACACTTTATAATGCTATAACGATATAAATTTTCAATGAAATAACAAAATTTCTTTCCTATAGTAGTAGGTATACATGATGTTTTTAAATTACGTAAATGGTGACAAAAAATTACAAACGCCGGTGCAAATTTTTACAATCATTAGTAAATTTTTTTTCGTTATTCCAGGCACTATATAGATTTATTTTTTAGTTTGAAAGTTGGTAGAATTTTCACGTGAGCGAGTACTTCTTTATGATTTCCCGGTTGTAAACTTGTAAATTATCTGTTCCACCTGTGTGTAACACCAAACGCCTCGGTGTTGAAGATGTTAGATTGAATTTGATTGAAAATTTGCTATTTAATTAAGACATTTGTGACTTTTATCACTTTTGATTTTATCAGATTGATATATCGCTACCAAGTCAGCACTACATCGAAACGATCAAACAATTAGCTATTACAAAAGCCGCTAATTTGCGCAGTTTTCGGAAAACTGCAGCTCTCATCCTTAGAAAATTCAATTCTAAAATTTTTTTCCAGAGAGTTGAATGAGTATGTGAGTGTGCTTTTGCAATTGATAACTCTTTTAATCGTCGCATACAGTTGTTATGTTGAAAGACGTACGATTAATGTTGGCTATAATATATTATGTTGCACACGCTACTTAGTAATTTTCAAATTTAGTTTTAACTTGCACACTAAGTTCTACATTATAATTAATTTAAAGTTAAAATTTAATAATAAATTTATCTAAAAACGACTTTTTACAAGTGGACGTTTGAAGCAGCTTAAAATTATACTGGTGCATAATTGATTATGGTTTCATGATGAATATCACGTAAATGGCCCTGATTTTTACAAAAAATAGTTGGCCCCCGATAATATCTGTAATATATATTTACAAGAGTAGTTATGATTTATTTAATTACTTTTTTCAAGTGAAAAGTCTTGAATAATTTACAATTGACGTGCTGAAAAATTTTGTACATTCTAAGTTTTGTAGATTTGGAGTATCAAACCAATACAGCTACGTTTGAGAAGATTTTTACTTGATTGTTGCCAGGAGTAATTTGTAGGATGTAAAACTTGATAAAATTATACTTTCTACACAATTCGATAGTAATGTTTAAAATTCATTAAAAATGTTATTTTTATTGGTTCTTTTGATAAAAATTATTCAATTTATTAGAAATAAAATGTGAATTAAAATAGTGCATTCATTCAATCAAAAAATATTCAATATTTTTTGTTAACCACAAAATAATATTCATACTTACACTAACACGTGTTAAAAAAACTATACACTGACTTACATTGAAAACGTTCACAAAAAAACGACTTGCCTAAAACGAAAGGATCAATTTTCGTGGATAGTTTACTTTTTTGATTTAGTTGGTTATCGGCTTTCGCGGATAAAATATATTCCTACTTATGTTGATGCGAAGAATTTTTCAAAATGCGTACTTCTTGAAGTTTTAAAAATGCACAAGTGTGTAAATTAACATGTTAATCAACAACTTATTTCAAGAGTTCATTTCTAAAAATGCAAAATAGCATTGGTGCCAGCAAACACAATAATTTGAATTTAATTGTAAACTCATTTTATCATTAAATTTGATTAGTTTTTTATCAAGTTTTTTTTAAGCACAAAAATATTTCATAACTATGATACAATTGTTATAGTTAATTGGCGTTACGTGTCCTTAAGATATACTTGTACGAAAGCCCCAAAAAATTTTCATCATTGGTATGTTCACTACATAGTTATTACAAATGTTACAATTGATGTATTGCATGAATTTGAGAATGAAAGATGAACATTCTGTTCAGTGTCATTATTACAAGTGTACAACACTTGTCCGAAAAAGAAAAAGAAATCTTTTTTGTATTTGTCTCGAACGCATTTCAATTCAAAATTAATTATGAATGAGGGTGATATTACATAAGCGACAAATACTTATTCGTTATAATTCATCAATTCAGTTCAATAAATGAAACAATTGGCCGAAGCGGTTTTATTTGTTTCTCAAAAGACTTTGAAAATTATTCAATGATATATAGAAGTGGAATATTTTAAAATATTAGTTCATATTGCTCGACTGACTGTGATTTTAAATCGTGTCATTCATCGATCGTGAATCACAGAATATTTTTCGTTTGATATAAATCCGTCAAGATTTTGAATTTTATGTTTTGAGAAAAAAATCGGTGAATTATCGTAGATTATAGATCGGTGTAAAAAAAAATAAGATTTAACTAGCCAAAAAATATTATTTAAATCGAATTTCTTACAATATACCGTTTAACCCTTAGAAGACCAGCATACGCCATTTGGTGTATTCAATAAATTTTTTTTTTTAAATCGATTTTCCACAGAAAAAAAGATTTAAAAATTCCCCAGATCTTGATCCTTCAACGGTTAAATAACACTGCTTTTGTAAAAGTAACAATCCACATCAAGATATACACTATGTTTATAATATCGGACAACCGGACGCAATGGGAGTTCTAGATTGTCGCAATTATAATCATCCTATTATTTTTCATATTGATATATAAAAAATAGATATACGAGCAAACGATTCTGCTAACACTTGTAATTATTTCCTCAAATCAAGTTCTGTTTAGGTAACTTGATAGTATTCGTTTATTTCGTTCATCTCAAAAATTTGTAGCATTTCTTATTTTTTACACTTTCATTGTCTATGTGAATTATTTTTTATTACAAAAAAAAGATTCGAGGAACTGCTTATAGAATTTTTCATGCACACTCAGGTGTAAAATAATTTTGCCATTGCCACATCAGAATACAAAAATAATACATTAAAAGTATTTGTAAAAAAATTCGCTAGAGCTCTACTTAGTTACTTTTTGTGCTACCCAAAAGCAAAATTCTTTAGCACATTTGTGTTGGCACTTTCTATTTTTAAAGTTGTGATCTATTAAAATATCTATCTTAATTAAAATCAATTTGGAACAGTTGAACAATTGAATTTGAACCAAATTCTTAAAACTTTCCTTTACAATTGCGAATGTTCTTATACCCAACTATTTTCATTTAAATAAAAACTTACATTAAAGAGGAATAGAATTTATTTTTATAGATGAAAAATGTATCACTAAAAATTTTATGAACCTTTTAACATAAAAATCTTTCTTAAAAATCGTGACTTCATATAATATTATCACACTTAAAATGTCTTCAGTCGTTAGTAAAATGAAAGTAAAAAAATTTTGATTTGTAAAAATCACAAAACGCGTTTGTTTCACGTGCATCTAACATGATTCAACTATGTAAAAACTCAATACTTCATAATGCATACAAGAATGTTAATTTTCATTGTATATGATCAAAAAATTCAGCCTTATTATTTATAATAATATAAATAGTCCATTTTGTCGTAAAAGAAACTAAACGTTCTACAAAATTATTAAATATTTGGTTCAAGTAAATCTCACTATTTAATGATGCTGAAACAAATGAGGGCCTCAAATTTAAATGTTAAATTTTTAAGAAATTCAGAGGCATGAAGAAATAGCATTACCTTTTTTCATGGCCTTATACAATATACTATCTCAAGAAGATAATATCAATTATAAGTTTATTTTAAGACAAAATAGCTATGCTTCGTCTGTGACCTCCTATGCATACATTATCTAAGCTAGACCATTTTTTCATACCATTCCGTAAATGCTCAGCCATTATTTTATCTTCAAAAATTCTAGACATTGCTTCAAGTTTTTGGGCTTTATCCTTGCTAAGAGGCTCGGGTGGGAATGTCAATTCGTTTGCTTCAGCCAATGTACGAAGATCGAAGTAGTATTTGGCGTATACACTTGAAGGAACATTAATATTAAACTGTAATAATTCCAAAAACTGTCTTTCCAATTCGTTCCTTGAATCAAAAACAGATTATTTTTTATTTTAATGCAATTTAAATTTTGGATTCCAGAATTTAGAATCAATTATATTAACAACTCACATATCTTCAACAGTAATATCTTTCAAAATTTGACAATAATCAACATTCCACACAGCTTGATCATCCCAAACTTTTGATGCCAGCAGAATTGCTCCTAGAACTATTCTTTTCCAGTTAGCAGGTGTGACATCTAATTCTGCATATGTTAGCAGGCGTTCAAGGTAAACTAATGTTATAATGGCACACTCAGCTGTTAATTGTGCTGCATTAAAAAGTGTTCTGATAAATTTATATATCTGCTTATGCTCTGGATTGTGTTTATCATAATCCTCTAATACACCATCACGCTGTAGGAAAAGTATCAGTAATAATTAATATCATCATCGAAAAGAAAAAATACCTAAATTAATACTTGAATATATTTTGTTACCGTTAAAGGATGTAGTTTTTCATCAAATATTTCAATTACCCTATTGGACGTTCTATTTTTTATATTATAATATACAGCTAAAGCTACACATTTAACAGTACTTTTCAAATTAGGCTGTGATACTGTACTATCATCTAAATATATTGTACTGCAACTGCTACTTTTTTTGAGAGGTCTCATTTCAGCTATTTGATACTGACTCCTTTTTCGTGTGAGTCCATCTGAAATAAAAATGAAGTAAAGATTAACTTCAAGTATCAAAAATGAAATATTAAAAGAAAATTTAAGCAATTGCTTTCATCTTACTTTCAATAGATTTTTTAGACCGCTCCATGAAAATAGTAGCAGCGCTAGGGTGTATGGAAGGATCAGAGTCCCAATCGTCAGGCTCTCTCTCGCTTATGTGTTGGAGATTATTGACACTCATTTTGGTTTCAAAATTAACTTCGATGCCTCGTGCATCGTTCTCACAAGGATAATCTTTTCTGCCCAATGTAGGACTTGAGTAATAGCAACAACTACTTTTATTACCCATTTTGGAATATGGACTTGAAATTATCTGGTATTCTTCAAATTAATGAGTTCTGGAAAAAAAAATTTTTATTCACATCTTTATTCACATTAAAGAAAAATTAATTATGTTCTTTGCTTGAAGTGTTGTACAATTGCACTATAAATGATTAAATAGTAAAATCAAATTGCTTCGTTTGAAATTAATTTCTTGGACAAAAATATTAAAACAAGCCTTATTCAATTTAAATTACTTTTTCACTTCCCACAAATAATACATCATGAAATAGCATTAAAAATAAAAATGAATTGTTTGCAAGAGCTTACTCAATCAAATAAATTCTTATTACTTTATTTGAAAAATAAATAATCAACTGCACACAATAAATTAGTAATTTACATGAAAAGAATATGTAAAGCTCCCATGATAATCCAAGAGGCATTGGCGAGAGAGCAATCAAATTAAATATCTATACATACTGGGCGAAGAATCAATATCCACTTGTACACAAACTGCTCAAATTCAATAGCAATCATGTGAGCATCGCAACGAAGATGCTAAAATTTCCACTCTAATTGTTTTCTCGTTTATACGCGATCGCGGAAAAACGTATCGTGTAAAAATAACACAAAAAATTACAATGCGTATACTCACGATCGAGAAGCGTTCCTCGGAGGAGAAATTGGATTTCTTTCAAAGATCAGCTGTGGTGGTGGTGGTGGCGGCGGCGGCGACGAAAAATAACAACCATGAGCATGGAAAAAGTGCAATTTTGAACGGGAAGGTTACCCTCGGACCTCGGCCTGTCATTTTAAAGGGCGGCCGACGAGGAGCCTCACCGTCTTGGTCGATGATTCGACACCGATGATGATGCACTCGGTCGTGCACAGCATGCTTGCGTGCTTGCTGCTGCTTCTTTAAAAAGCAGAGATAATCGGAGGCGTACGATTGATAATAATAAACTGACAGATCTTTGTCGTCGTCGTCGCCGTTGTCGTCCAACTCTTACAGCTTATGTACAAATCGTTTTTTTTTCTTCAGTCCCCCATTATACTTGCAGGCAGGGGGGTGTGCGGTAGGGGATTCGAGCCGTAAAGGACTACGTATATCATTAAAAATCGGAGAGTCCCCGGACGTGAATCGTCGTCGCTCGCGAATTAATAATTCATCGGTGACTAAGGTGTGCGCTTCTCTCCTTGGCTCGCACAGCACAGCACACACGCAAAGCAGCAGCTAGTACGCAGAATTGGTAAGAAAAAGAAGCCGAGACACATCGGAGCAGCAGCACACGGGGGAGACGGAGTAGCGAGTAGTAGGTATATACAGAGCCGCAACACAACACAGCCAATCTCTCTCTCTCTCTCACTTCAGTTTGACTTGTAAATATTTATTATGCTCGGCGATAAAGTGAAATTTTCGATATGTAATGCCGTGCTACGGGCGCAGAGCGAGACCGACTGCGAGAGAGAGAGAGAGAGAGCGAGAGAACCAATACGCGACGAGATTGTGTGCGTCGTCGTCGTCGTATATGGGCACCTATCGGCGACCCTACTGCTGCCGCCGCTCCGCTGCTGCTGTCGCTGACTGGTGCTGGTGCACTTAGACATATATAGGTACACACAATACATACATACGGCCGAGAGCGGTACAAAACACGACGGCGGCACACGGATGCGAGATTGGAGACTGCTCTGCTGCTGTGCCAATGTGTGTAGAACGTCACGGACGTTGCGGGCCTATTGTGCAGACGTGTCTGTATTATACATAATGCGCGGCGCGCAGATGAATTGGTCTGCGTGTGCTGCTGCATACATAGCGCCAGTAGGAGTGTATAATACACACGTAAGAGAGGAAATTAAGGCAGGAAGAAGTGCCTGGCGAAAAAGATGTGCGCGCGCCCGTCGCTACGTCTGTCTGCGTTTATATCGTCATATTTGCGGAGGCGTTTGTGTATGTGTGCGCGGAGCAGCAGTCCACTGCCGTGATGTACTAATAAGCTCGCCGGTACATCAACGTGCGAGCGAGGGAGAGCTCTCTACAAGACGTTTAAATTCGACATCGGTATTAGCAGCTTGCTCCGTTTATACGTCTTCTATTGTATATGAACTATTTGCGATCGTAGTTGTTTAACGATCGTGTAATTGCTTTGTTGCTTCGAAGAAAAAAAAAAATATGAGCTCTCAATTTCATCGATCAAGTCGTTATACGCCGCGCGTATACATTATAATTACGCATTAGTTGTCGGTCAGCGGCATTAAAACCTTAGCTATCGTATCGTCTTCCTTACTCGTATTAATTTCAATTGATTTTTACATTTGTACACTCCTTGAAATACTCCAAGAAGTCGCTCTGTATTTAAAACGTTGTCTACCTCGAGGGATCAGCGCGATGCATCGACCGATATGAACACGAACTGAAGCTCGAACTTGGTCTCAATCCAACTTATAATACGTAACTTGGGAAATTAAATAGTTACGGAATCAGACATTTTCATTGTTGCATCGCACAACAGTTATATATGGAGCAATTGTTACGATGCTTTGACGCGATAAGTGTAACTTTCGTTCCGACGAACGTGTGCCGTGCACGTGAGTTATCTACGCCAAGCAATGAGCGCATCTGCTGCGCTGCGGCCTCTTAAATTCTAAGCAGCTCAGAGTAACCGCGCTTCGCCTGTCATATAGCCAGAACTTTTTTCCAACGATGAAACAGTTGTAGTAAAATTGCGAGCAAGTGTATCAACGTGAATTTTCTATACATGTCTTGGTGTTGGTCAGGATCGATATACTATTAGAAAATCATAATTAGCGAGTAAATGCAGGTCGAGGATGCGCTAATTTTGAAATTAAAATCTCTCGACTCTTTCGTTTCATGTACAAGTGAAGTAGTAGGACACAGAGACGATCAAATTTGCCGAACGATCGATCATTAGATTCGACGCGACACACTATCCAAGCGCTGAAAAATTCATGGCTTTATCTACTTCAAACAGAGCCGCTAATGTGGCCGATCCATTGACCTAATTTTGGTCAAGTTCGGATGAGGGTCAATGACCTTGAACGATATTGCGCTCGAGTCGGCTGCATAGTCCCTTTGATATAATGAGATAGTAATGAAAAGAAATGATAAAAGCTGGATTGTCTCAACTATTAATCCGGATTACCAGACTTGAATCACCGTAACGATCAATTCGACGATATAATTCTTTTGTGGCTCGAATATAAATATTGATTCGTCTGAAAATCGTTGTATGCTTATTATGTAATAATCATACTTCTAAGCATTAAAATTATATTTTCTTTTTGTATTTTTACGGGACCAATATAATCATTAAATAATCTATAGCTCATAGTTAGCGCCATTATGGAGTTATGAGTGGTAACTATTTGCCGATCTTTACATTTCATTATTTTTCTTCATTTTTTTACTGCGAAGCTGTTGGCGATATGGGACTACAAAATAACGATGACTCGCTTATCCTTGAGTTGGCGCGCGCGTTCGCTCATTTTTAATTATCGCGGGCAGCTATTGTGTTCTCGAGAATCAAAGAGTTCGCTCCGAAACGGAAAGGCGATCTTCTCTGCCGAGTACATTGGAAAGATGTATTTCCAAAAATTCGGCCTGTATAAAAAGATACAACATCGAGATGAAAACCAATAAGGGCTTCCTCGAACACATAAAGATCCGAGAAAACGAGAATAGAGAGACGATGACGTACCGCGGTCTTAACGAGGTTAAAGATGTATGTAACTGATATGAGCGGATATGTCGGGATGATTCATCGGCGCGATTTCACACGAGAAAATTAAATCGATTCGTTACGATACGTAGCTTTGATAATTATACAAAGCGAGATTTGCGGCAGTTGTACTAGTGAGTTTGATTATCTTCTAATGATTTTGCGCGTTAATGGCCAAATTACTTATTCTTGATCGCGTATGAATGCGTGTAATCGAATGTACATCAGACTCATTATTTTTTAAGAAACACGGCTTGATTTTCTAAATGGAAAAATTTAGTATGGTTTTTAAAAATAGTTGTCGTGTGTTCAGTTCAAATGAATATTAACTTACTCAAGTATCTAGATGAATTGATTTGAAAACTTGAACGAAATGAAATTTATTAATTCCTTCGTAATTTCATAAGTTTTTTTACGATTATAGTATTTGTAGCTTTTTAAATTTGAATACTTTCTTAGCATAAACGTTGGCTACATTGTACAAGTCGATAAAGAAGATTTTCTGCATTGCGATGCATTTTGTTGCAGTGCCCCGTTGCAGGCAACTCTGTGTGCTCTTTAAGTCACAAGTAGCGACGTCTAGACGATTCTAAAAGAACCTCGAGAAAAGAAAACCAAAAATTATACCGTTTCGAATTTGTGCTTTAACTGGTCTAGAAAAATGTATAATATTATGAGCGGCGATGTGGTCAAAATAATTGAAGAAATTATTTGAAAATGTCTCCATCTTCTCTCCCAAACACCAGCTGAAAAGCCCCTTGTTTCTGCAACTTCACACACACATATATATTTACATTCAATAGATTTTAGAGTTTGTACATATATTGTCTGTGAGTATAGCAGTACACACGTTACGAGTTACGACGGCACAGTGTGAATGAGCAAAGACGGAGATCGCATCGAGCGCAGCAAGTGATTTTCGTGTAAAAGAATAAAAATTATCTTTCGTCGTGCGTCGTGTGTGAGCGAGTGCCCGTATAACGATGCCCAGGTCCAACGACAAATCCGATACAAGCTTTTATAACCAACAAAAGTTGGACAGATTGAAGAGCTTACGAGAGAATGTCAATTGGGAGATGGAGGACGAGCGACGCGAACTGTTCCGTCAAATTTATCCCTTAGTCAGGGATTGGCACGAGCAACTTCCGAATCTCCGGGACATCTTTCAGGCCGAAGAAATGGATCATCTTCTCTGGCACTCGATCGATTACAAGCGCAACAGTTGGGACAATGATCCGGGCGAGCTATTCGTCAAGTTCGTGGCTCGCAGCGGCTACAGGGACGAGGCCGGAGTCGACGAAGCTGGAAAGCAGTCGTTGAATCGCACCACGCCGATACATCGCGTGGCCAGAGGCAGGCCCCCTTACTGGTGTTTGCGGGTCGCCGACCTCTTCCAAATATACCAAAGGTTCGACGCGAATTACAGCGACGAGTCGGGCTTCACACATTTTCACGCGGCCTGCATGTCCGGCTGCGAGAGAAGCGTGGAGAAGTTCTTGGAGCTCGGTCGGGTGGATCCCAACTTGGTCTGGCGCGAAACGGGCGAATCGCCGCTGCACCTGGCCCTGGAGTACAAGCGCATGGAGGTGTTCCAATCGCTGATGAGATACGGCGCCGATCCGACTTTGGCCAACGAGGACGGATCGACGCCTCTGCACGTCATGTGCAAGACCAAGGTCGATCGCACTTGGGTGTCGATGCTGTTGGCGCTCAGCCAGGAGAAAGGTCGGCCGATACGGATCGACGCCCGGGACAAGTCGGGCAACACACCGCTGCACCTGGCACTGGCTTGCTGCAACAACGAGACCGTCGAGTGGCTGATGCGAAGAACCGATCTGAACTCGGCCAATGCGGAGGGATCGACTCCGCTGCACCTCGCTTGCCAGAGAAGACGCCTCGGCTTGGCGGGGCTGATATTCGAGATCAGCGACGAAAAACGTCAAGCGGTGCGGCTCGATGCCCGGGACAATTTGGGCCGGACACCTCTTCAATGGGCCGTGGCGAATCTCGAGCCGGACGCGATCGACGTGCTCTTGAATCGTGGCGCCGATCTGTCCAACTTGGTTTTTCCGACCGAGAGCTATTTCGGCAAGAGTTCGGAGCTGCAGTGCAGGTACAGAATTTCGCTCGATTTCAAAGTGGCGCTGGCGGCCGACGCTCTGGCCGTCGTCGAGCGCCTGGAGAAAAGAGGGTACGAGCTGGACCGAGGCGACGCCCTGACGATCATGCGATTCTTTGCCGAGAACCGAATGTTCCAGAAGTCGGCGGGTCTCGAGAGACTCTGGTGCGACGGCAAAAAGTTCGCCGGCCGAGCGAAAAAGATCGCGATACGTCCGAGTCTGACGCTGTACGAGCTGATCCGGCTGCGACCCGAGGAGGCGGCCAAACTGCTCACCTACTCGGACTACTACCAGCTGTGGAAGCATCACAGGCTGCTACTGGGGCGCCACGAGGCGGCTCTGGTGGTGCATCTGTGCGAGAAGATGTCGAGGGGATTTTTCCGCAGCTGGGCGCTGGATTCCTTCGCGGAGCTGACGCGCCAGAAGCTGCCCATCGAGCTATGCCAAATCATCTTCGGCAAGCAGCTGATGAACAAAGATTTTCGGAACATTTGCTTGGCGGCCTCGGGCCGCGACGCCTGATGCCGATTGTGTTGCAGATTTTTCATATCATTCGAATAAATAAATTTTTAAAAATATTCAATTGCTTGTCTCAAATTTTGATTTTTTTGCGTTCGAATTTCATTTCAGTTTTATGTACAGAAAATTACGAATAAGTTTCACAACTCGCAGCTGCTCCCATCTCGTACTTTTCATCAACGAAATAGTTCCTAGAATCTCGATCCCGTTGACTTTTTCAACGTAAAAAACAGCCGCTAAAGCGTGTTTTGCCTCTGCCGCACCTCCGAAACATAAAACGCCGTAATAGTTTTATTTACCGCGTGTTGTAAGCCGAGCAGCGAATAACAATGTATATATGTAACGACGTTCGAGTGGCGCTGCGGATCAAAACATTGCAGCAGTGCGCACGAGCTTTCCCCCCCAGAATTACAACCTACTGCAGTGTAGTTCCTTTTGCAGACGACGACGACGACGACAGTGTGCGCGCGATCGTGACATTCGCGACTCCGAGAGATTTATATAAAGAGCCGAGCTTGGCAATTTTCTTCGAAAAAAGTTCCGCGCAGTCAAGTGCAGTGTAAGCGCTGCACATTTATAACTTGTAAAGTTTAACGCTGTCAACAAAGAGGCGCCACGCGCTGTTATTGTGTGTATGTGTTTTTTTTCATCCGATCAGCAGCAGTGACACTGCGACTGTGCGCGAAACTGCGCCAACACAACTCCGATCTCAGTACACAGACTGCTTTTGCTCGGAGCTGGCCGCCGCGGCATTATAGCAGCGCGTGCCGTGCCCCTGAACAAACGATAAAACGCGTATATAAGCCTAATATACACCACAAGGCACATACGCAGCAGCGCGACGACGACGAATGACAAGTCCATGATCGTTGTTTTGTCAATCTGCCACTGCTGCTTATAGTAATAGTATATAAGCTGCTGCTACTTCTCGCGTTACGCCGACTATTCAGTTTTCATTATTACATACGCATCAAAAGCACAGCTATACTACCCTCCTCGCTGCTGCTGCTGCTGCTGCTAGTGTTGTTGTTATCAACGAAGAAGAGAAGAAGACACTCGACATAGCTGTATATATACATACTCCTGACATAGCATACATTGCGAATATATATATTTTAGCCAATCGACCGTGTCAAGCACATTATCGCACACAATCGTCGTCGGACGCAAAAGAGAAAGAGAAAGAGAGGCCCGAGCGAGACACACAGGCGCACACAACACGGATTAACTATTGTATATCGTCGTATGTACGCAGCGAGGGGCAGACGATATAAATATATATATCACGCATCAATCGACACACGCATCGAAGAGCGAGGAGTTTCGAGAGTTCGCTCGCGATTTAACGCACGAGTCATCATTCGCGACGAACGACATGAATATCCATGATGGAGGTGGGTTTTTTTAATTTTGCACTCTCCGCGTTGACTTTCATTGTGATATACCTTTCTTTGGGGTTTTTCCATGACACTTTTTGAGCACGCGCTGTTATTCCGATACACGTACTTACTTCCTCCGAAAGACATAACTTGTCCAACCGTGCAGCGACGATTTTTCCGCGATCTCTTATTTTCGCTTAACGTTCAATTTGCGATTTTTATTCAATATATAATGTTACAAGTGCCTTGTTTGTGCGCGCGGAATGACCACTGCGAGATAAGACGGCGATTTATTTCTTTTTTTTTCTTCGTTCGCGAGCAGTTTCTATGGATTAATCAAATTTTAATGAGATAATTGCTGGCCGTCCGTGATTGTTTGCTTGTCTGCTGGGTCAATACATCGGTGCTTATACAAAATACACATGCTTATTTGTCAACGAAAATTATACGTTGCGGCATATTTCGTCTTTAACGAGCGCGCATCGCACACACGACTTGCGTGAGTTTTTTTTCAAGTCGAAAGGAAATTGCTATGTTGTATCGATAAATTGGTTTTTCTTTAGTGATGCCTGAAAATCACGTATGTTGTCGAAATCGATTTTTTTTTCTATTATTACATCGTAACGAATTGTTTATAAGAAAAAAGAAACATGGAAAAAAAACATTGCATGGATATCATTATTTTTTCTAATTCAAGGAACTTTTTTCATACAAATATTTGAAAACTTTTTATTTTACTCTATGAAACTATTTTTTTATTTGTTACAGGTGGTAGAATTAATAAACAGGTTTAACGATAGTATTGGATCCTATGCATTTTCACGATGGATAGGTTATTTAATTAGTGAATATAGAAACTCAAGCACATTGCTAGCAGTATCAATTAGTACATTACTAATTATTCTGGTAGTATCTGTATATATTTTACGAAGATGGAAAACCAAGGAACTCTTGCCCCATGTGAGGGAGTTTGTTGGCGCAGGCTCTCGGCCAAGATTCAGAAAAAGGGACAAAGTCCTATTCTATGGACGAAAAATGTTGCGAAAAGTCAAATCCATAAGTGGTCAAGTACATGGCACAGAAAAAGGAAAGAAACGGAAAGCAGTAATGAGATTTGCTAGAAAATTATTACAATTAAAGAAAGAAAATGCTCCACAGCAATTGAAAGTATTAGAACCACCTGCAGCATATTTGGAAGAAGATATAGGTCCTGGTGATAGAGTACCGCCAGATGCACTGTACATTTTACAAAGCATTAGAGTCTTTGGACACTTTGATAAGCCTGTTTTTCTTAAATTATGTAAACATACAGAAATAATTAACTTACCAGCAGGAACTCCATTGTTCAAAATTGGAGATCCTGATGAAAATGTGTTTATAGTTCAACAGGGTTTAGTTAATGTTTATATTACTGGATCTGATGGGTCTCAGATCTCACTTAAAATAGTCAAAACTGGAGAATCAGTCACTAGTCTTTTGAGTTTTATCGATGTTTTAACAGGTCATACCAGTACATACAAAACAGTAGCTGCAAGAACTGTGGAAGATTCTGTTGTAGTGAAGCTGCCTATGAGTGCTTTCCAAGAGGTAAGTTAAATATCTTTTTTTTTTTAAATTTTTGTATCTTTTGAAAATAATGAATTTACCAAACATTATCTTTGTACAGGTATTTCAAGAACATCCTGATGCCTTTGTCCGGGTCATTCAAGTTATTATGGTTAGACTTCAACGAGTTACCTTCACTGCTCTGCATCAATACTTAGGGCTTTCAGCTGAATTAGTTAATCAAGGAAGAGAAAAAAAGAAGTATAGCACTGTTGGATCTCCAACAAAATCAAGACAGCGTGAAAGTTTTATCATGCCTCCATCAGACAATGTAATAAATTCCCAATCTGGAGTTTCTGAACAGGTACATCTTGATGCTCCATCTAAAGAGCTTGCAAACATGAGTACAAGTTCATCTCAGCCAGTTCCAATCAGTTCGGGTCGCAGGTAAGCTTCAAATTGATGGAATTTATATTCAAAATATGTATAAATAAATATTAAATAATTATTTTTCTGTAGGTCTAAAAGTAGCATCGAATGGAAACTTCCAATTACTAGCTCCATGCTGAGCCAGCACACTCCTGATATGGTACCAGAAAGTGATTCTCATTGGCCAAATTCTGCTACTTCAAATCCTTCACCAGCAAATCAATCTGCGGAGCCACCGACTGAATTCATCAGTGCCGGCAGTGGTGGTGGATTGCACTCTGGTAGCTCGAGTAGAAAACATTCTAAAATGGAGCAACAATCGCAAACACCCCTTGACGAAGCAACAATCGTCCAAATGGCTACTGAAGCCTTTGTCAAAGAACTGGGTCTGGAAGATGACTCGCTTCTAAAAGACGGCAAAGTTTTGATTCGCGAGGTACCCGCTGGTACTTATCTTATGAAAGAGGAATCTCATAAGGTTGGATATTAAATTACCATTACTCTTATGGCAATTGAATTATATCTCAACTAATAAATTCTTAATTGATTTTTAGGATGTTGCTCTAGTGTACGTTGTATCAGGATCATTAGTTATAAGTCAACGAGTTTCCGAAGGCCCTGACGCTGGCGATGATGTACACATGTTTAGTGCTCATCAAGGAGAAATAGTGGGTGGATTGGCTGTGTTAACAGGAGAACCATCATTTTATACAATTCGCGCGAAGCACTCAAGTCGAATAGCTTTGCTCAGCAAATCCACATTCTTTTTTATAATGCGTGAAAAGCCCACGGTAGTTTTGCACGTAGCGAATACAGTGGTCAAACGTCTCAGTCCCTTCGTACGTCAGGTAAGCTCATCCGATTGATTTCTCATTTTTATTTCACAACGATAAGTTTCTGTATTTAACTGAAAAAATTAACTGCGATCCTATCTTCTTAGGTCGATTTCGCTCTCGACTGGCAATTCTTGGAAAGCGGCCGTGCGGTCTATCGTCAGGGTGATGAGTCCGATTCGACTTTCATCGTCCTGAGTGGTCGCTTACGATCCGTCATCACCTACGACAACGGCAAGAAAGAACTGGTCGCCGAGTACGGAAAGGGCGACCTCGTCGGAATCGTGGAGATGGTCACGCAGACGGCTCGTTCGACCACCGTCATGGCCGTGCGCGACTCCGAGCTTGCCAAGCTCCCAGAGGGATTGTTCAACGTCATCAAGCTGCGCTATCCCATCGTCGTTACGAGACTGATAAATCTGCTCGGACATCGGCTGCTCGGTACATGGAAACAGTCGCGCCCGAAATCGTCATCATGTACTCAAGATGCCAGGTTAATTACAATTTTGAATCAATTAATATATTTCGATTGCTTGAATTCTAATGCTTACTCATTGATTACGATTTTATTCTTTAGACAAGCGACGGTGGATACAAGGCCATCTCAAGTGAATTTTTCAACAGTTGCCATAGTTCCAGTTTCGGACGATGTTCCTTTGACCGCATTTACCTATGAACTCTATCACTCTCTTTGCGCTATCGGTCCCTGCTTACGACTGACTTCCGATGTCGTTAGAAAAGTAAGTCCATCGTCGCTTGATTCAATTTCGGAAAATAAATTTCCAAACTGACGAACGTTTTCTCTTTCGCTCACCCTCAGACTCTGGGTACTTCGATCATGGAGCCGATGAACGAGTACCGCTTGACCTCGTGGCTGGCTCAACAAGAGGACCAGCATCGCATCTCGCTGTACCAGTGTGACGCCAATTACACGGCGTGGACGCAGCGATGCGTGCGACAGGCCGACTGCATTCTCATCGTCGGTTTGGGCGATAGACCGCCGACCTTGGGCCGCACGGAGCGCGAGGTCGAGCGGCTCGCCATGCGAACCCAAAAGGAGCTCGTGCTTCTTCACAAGGAGCAGGGCGGACAGCGACCCACCAACACGGTGCAGTGGCTCAACATGCGCTCGTGGATCTCCAGTCATCATCACATACAGTGTCCTAAACGCATGTTCACTCGAAAGTCTCAGTACCGAATCGTTAGTACTTGTTTTGGAATTGATAACTTATGACTTTCGACGATCTTCATCGTGTTGTTTTTTTTCCCCAACAGAATGAGTTGTATTCAAAAGTCTTGATGTCGGAGCCGAACGTTCATAGTGATTTCAGTCGTTTGGCGCGATGGCTGACCGGGACATCGGTTGGTCTGGTGCTTGGTGGCGGAGGTGCTCGTGGCGCGGCTCATGTCGGTATGCTCAAAGCCATCATCGAGGCTGGCATTCCGATCGACATGGTTGGAGGTGTCAGCATCGGTGCCTTCATGGGAGCGCTTTGGTGCATGGAGAAGAATATAACCACAACCACACAGAAAGCTCGCGAATGGTCGCAGGTAAAAACACTTTACACATTAATTTCGATACTCTAGAGTTTTTTTAGAAATGAGTATTTGATTTCGTAAATAGAAGATTTTTCTATAAGATTATAGAAATTATATTATTAATGGTAGACCATTAACTTTATTACAATTTGTAACTCTATTTATCGCAGAAAATGACACAGTGGTGGCGGCAAATTTTGGATCTCACGTACCCGATGACATCGATGTTTTCCGGAAAAGATTTTAATAATACTATCCACGGCACATTTGGGGATGTGTATATCGAGGACTTATGGCTCCCTTATTTTACGATAACCACCGATATTACCGCTTCTTGTATGCGCAAGCACACACACGGTCTGTACGCAAGTCGTTTGGTCGAATTTGCTTTGATTTTCTTGCATCAAGTTATTTTCATTATTTGAAAAAAAAAAAAAAAATTGTTTTGTGCTTCCTAAAATTTTACAATGAATAGGCACATTATTAACATGGTATAATTGTCAATGATATCATTGTTAAAAAGTCAGACGGGCCAAAAATTTAAGAAATCAAAAAATTCCATATTCACATTCTTAATTTGATATGTTATCATAATTTTGCACTAATTTGTAGACGCATTTTTTTTCTTCAAATAATTAGATTGCTTGATTACTTGAGTATTTAGAGCGGGAGTGAGCTGTGTGATGATTAAAAAAAAAGTTATTGACGTACTCTCCGTTTTGTGTCTCTGGTTCAGTCTCACGAATTGGGAAAGTTGTAAATAAATTTTTTTGTTGTCATTTTTATTCTATTTCAAGTTGACACTCTGCATACAGAATAAAGACACTTCCTGCTCTCTTAGGAAACTTCGTGGGGATATCGGTGTATTTTTTATTTTACTTTTTTTTTACTGTTTTTTTTTGTTCGTACGACCGGTCAGAGGTGCAGGAAGAAAATCTCGTGAATCCAAACGACACAAGACAATCAAAGATTAAAAAATTTTATGAGAACGAATGAGAATCGGAGAGAATGAGTGTGAAATTGCGTGCGTGAGTGAAGAAAAAACGTCTCGGGGTCAAGAAATAATAGTCCGGAAGGAAACGAAAGGGTCCATCAATTGGCTAACTTGACTATCTGAACGTGTTTAGGGTCGCTTTGGCGGTACGTTCGGGGTTCGATGTCTTTGTCCGGTTATATGCCTCCCATGTGCGATCCCACCGATGGCCACCTTCTCCTCGACGGCGGGTACGTCAATAACCTTCCAGGTAATTTGACTTGTACAAACACACTGAGTGCTCGTTGCTTTTATTTAATGCTTTTTTTATTTATATACTCATTTTTTTTTATTATGATATATACACATTTTAAAGTTTTTTTTCATTCCAAAGATATTGTCTGTATGTGTACGTTTATTTTTCATGTTATTTTTTGTCACTCTGACGATGGTTACTTTATTTTGCATTATACACGGTTTTTATTTACATTTTTACTCATTTCTTTATTACAAACTTAAAGTTAAGGTTCTTTATGAATGGTATATTTTTGGTCATTAATTGTTGAGAAACGATGTTGATTGTACAAAACATATTGCCATTTTCATTTTTCAGAATTACTCTTGACTCATAACAGAATCATACCTGTGCGAGTAATTCTGACGATAATTTATTTATGGCTAGAAGTATACGTCTTTAAATCCTAAATAATAGCGCTTTGAAGCAAAAGAAGCCCGAATTAGTTAGCGCTAGAGTACGTCGATTAATTATCAGCAAGCGTAACGTAGGAAAGCATTAGAGTTGACTTCTTGCCTATAAATAAAGTATGAATAAATGAATGACAAAAAAAAAAATTACCTAGCTCGCTCCCGTTGATAGAAAGATGCTCTATGTGATTGCCGCTTTGTTTACTTTAAATGAAACAGTATAAGTAAATGCTTGAGTTTGTACCTTGATGTATTATGCTAGGCTTGCTATGGAAGTATTGTCGTGCCAGTATGACATTCGCTGGCGTCTTCCCGCCTATGTGCGATCCTATCGATGGGCATCTTTTGATCGACGGGTGTTACGTTAATAATGTCCCAGGTATGAGTTAAAAATAGCCCACTCTCTTTACTTTCTTTATGAATCGTTAATTTAATTAATTTTTGTTTACGCACTTGAGGGGGACGTTGGAGTACATTTATTTTCATATTTTTTGTGTACGCTTCGATGTCTTTTCACAGTCATGCATTTATATATAAAAGAAAATACTAACATTTGACATTTGCACCGCGCACACACATAATTATCCGACGAGAAACTCGAGAAATCACTTGCGACAGAAATGCATCATCGAACGATTTGACTTTTGTTCATTATACACGAGGTGCCATTTTTGACGTAAACACAGAGTTATGGCTTTAGCTACTCGCTCACTGTATATCATACTAACTCATGTATATATAGAGATATCGTTGTAGCGCGACAACTTGCGTCGAGAGCATTCTTAATTATGACATAATATGCACACGAACAAATGTCTTTGTTTTTTTCCTCCTCCTCCTCCTCGTGTACGCGTGGCGCTGCGTGCAACGCGAAGCTGACGAAATGTTGAGGCAAGGCGCGCACCACATCCTGGCCATCGACGTGGGCAGCCAAGAGGACACGGACCTCACGAACTACGGCGACTCGCTGAGCGGCTGGTGGCTGCTCTGGAAGCGCTGGAATCCCTTCGCCACCCCCGTCAAGGTGCCCAATCTGCCGGACATACAGTCGCGGCTGGCCTACGTCAGCTGCGTGCGCCAGCTCGAGGAGGTCAAGAGCTCGGACTACTGCGAGTACATCAGGCCGCCGATCGATCGCTACAAGACCCTGCAGTTCGCCAGCTTCGACGAGATCAAGGACGTCGGCTACAATCACGGTTCGTACAATTAGCGAAGAAAAAAAATGAGGCGAGAAAAAAATAATCCATCAAATGACCGTGCATGATTTTGCAGGTAAAACCTACTTCGAGGGACAGTCGAAAGCAGGAATACTACCGAGATTCAATGCCGATCGCGAGACGGCGCGTGCTCTGCGAGCCAAGCATCACGCGGCTTCGCAGCAGCAGCAGCCGCCCTCGTCCTACACCTTCACCGATCTCGCCCAGATGGTCTGCAAGGTGTCGCGGGGCAATTATCCCGATCTAGACTCCGACTCCGACGACGGCATGGAGGAGTACGAGGCCGACCTCGAGGAGGACGCGCAAGAGGTCGGCGGATACGCATCCGAGCCCACGGTCGGCATCATGGATCAGGTAGGAACGATCGTTCTTTTTTACTTAATCTTATCGTTTTGTACTCGTTGATGCTGATTTCCTCCGTTGAAATATTGCAGAGTCCCGACGAGACCCGTTTACGACGGAGAATAGGAGTTGTGAGCTTCTCTGATACCGAAGCCGAGACCGACATGGAATATCATCATCGCTTGAGCGACAGAGACGCTGCCCACCAAAAATTTTTCAAGTACGGCAATTCCAAGCTTGAAATGTGACGTTTTATTATTCGAATTTTCTTAAGCTAAGAATAAAACAAGGTTTCTTTTTTAAATAATAATACTATTGATTCGAGTTATTTTTAATTTAGCCACTATAGAACCTCAAGCTATCAAATGATTCAAAGCTGCTGAAAACATTTTAACAAATTGACTATATTTATGATTTATACAAAAAAAAATCTATTAACAATTTGGTATCGAATGCATATCTATCTACAAAGAATTTACGATCCTCGATTAATTTTGTCATTCGAAGAAGGTAAAACATTTGATCTTTAACAATTGAAAATTTTTTTAATATTTACAAATGTTAAATTTTAACATTACGGCGTGTAAAATTCCACACTGTTATTCATCAGTTGCTGATTTTAAAGAGTCTCTGAGTAGGTAAAAAAAATTCATCACTTATTCGACATGGACCACTGATGAATTACACTCGTATGATAATCGCGGGTCAAAACGTCGAGGTCATTGTGAATTCCGGATCGACCACGGTCAGCAGCGCTCCGACCAAATGCAGAGAACCCGTGACCAGCACTTGCGGTTTGCATTCGTTGTCGTCGTCGGGTACAAGTACGTCCGCCTCGCTCTCCGTCTTGATGTAATTGAGCGTCTCGTAGACGCTCTCCTTCACCACCGAGTTCTCGCCCCACACCTCCGAGTTCTTCCAGCAGCGCTCCAACTGCTTGGCGAGCGGAAAATTGTGATTCTCTTGATCGGCGTTGTGCACCAGACCGGCGAGATTCGGGACGAATATCGCCTTGTAGAAGTTCAACGTTTTCAGCGGCGCCAAGAGTTTGGCCGAGTCCCGATCGCCGGTGGCGTTAAAAATGAGATACCTTCGTCTCTCTTTTCTGCAACGACAAAGGTGTAACGAATGTTTACTCGAACGATTATATAATTGAATTACTCGAGGAGAGCGGAAAAGCAACCTGGAGGAAGCGACGATGCCACGGAACCAGGCGACGCAAGAGTCCATGCTCTCTTCCGTGTGAGCGCCGTCGACGTAGAAATCCAGCGTCCTGCCGGGCAGGATCTGAGTTCGTCCGGGCCACCTGCAGGACTCGAGCGCCGCGGCGATCTTGGTCCACGACAGGCTCGTTCGCTTTGGCGCGGCGTGCTCCGGTGTCACGATGTATCTGCTGCAATCCTTGGTCTTGGCGTCGAGCTTGTTCTCCGTGCTCGAGAGTACCACGCTCGATTGATGATGACGTTTGGCCGCTCCCCCCTGAGTCCTCGAGAACCAAGCCTGGGCCAGCTGGATGGCCAGCGAGGCGTTGCTCCTCTGTACCTCGCTCTGGATACCCAAAACGGGCGGCTGTCCCTTGCGCCAGGGATAAGACTCGAGGGCCGGCACGACGCTGAGCTGGCACTTGCGCTCGCGGGCTCGAGCCTCCAGTACCCGCATCGCGTCGTTGCTGCTCTGCTCCACGGTGAACGCCGCGGCGTTGGGCTTGAAGATGCCGGCCTTCTGCCAGGCGATGGCCTCGATCGTGTCGCCGAGCAGGGACGTGTGATCGATGCCGAGGCTCGTGATGCCCGAGCAGCAGGTGTTGCCGAGGATGTTGGTGCAGTCGTGCTCGCCGCCGATGCCGACCTCGAGGATGGCCACGTCGACGTTGGCCTTGCAGAACACGTGAAACATGAGCACGGTCAAGAACTTGAAGTACTGCGGCATGTCGCGCTCGTGCTCGCGCAGCTGGCTCAGCCGGTCGTAGACGTGCCAGAAGTGCCGGGCGAACTCGTGCTCGTTGATGGGCCGGCCGTCGATGCGGAAGCGCTCGCGCACCGTGATGAGATGGGGCGAGCTGTAGAAGCCCGTCTTGAAGCCATGCTCGCGCAGTATGGCCTCGGCGAAGGCGCAGGTGGAGCCCTTGCCCTTGGTGCCCGCCACGTGGATCACCGACAGACGCTCGACCTGCTCGAGGCTCAAGCCGGACCTGCGGATGGAGATTTTTTTTTTCGTGTTATCGAAACGTTTCTGCTTCGAGAGACAAATTGTATAGATGGAGTGCGATGCGACACGTGCTCCGCATCGCGTGTTGTCACTATCGACCAACGGCTTATCCGAATTATTAATGCGGAGACAAGACGCTCGATTAATCGAATTAATGCGTGCGGCAAAAAAGCAATTGACTATCGTAGCTCTGCTTATGTATAGGCACTCACCTCAGCAGGTACTTTTTCGTGTCTTGCAAATTCGTGTTCTGCGTCGTGGAGTTATTCAATCTGGCTGCGCTTATGTAAGCTGCGTTACTCTGTAAACTGTTCAAGGAGCGTATCGCCTCCTGGGAAAAAAGAAAAAGCGTCAATGCTCGTGTCAATGATGAACGTAAGTACTAGCATACATCATCATTATTATTATAATTTTCATAGTTTGTAAAAAAAGTAATTGAAAGACGCAACAGCGATGATATCGGGTCAAGAATGTCACTCGCACACGATCGTTATACCATGATTTTCATGAAGATCGACGAACTCTGCGCAATTTTGGTCGCAATTTTGCCGGTATCTTGGAATTAATAATAATAACAATATGATTGACCACCAAAAATGGAACACACACACACACACACGCACCAAAATGTATAATATCCACACGTCCGTCAAACACGAGCGAGAAGAAAAGTACCGGTAGGCCACAGCGGCAGCGCACACGCGAGCTCTCTCGTTCTCTCTCGAAGAGAAGCACTCGATCGCGTGCTGTTATCGTCGTTTGACGGCCGCTCGATAACAAACGCTCCGCGCGCGAGGCTGTTCTACATTATGACGCTGCTGCTGTTTTTCTTTTTACTTCAATTTTTTCAAAGTTATTATATACGCGAAACGCAAAATAATATGCGTGCGTACGATTTTTTTGTGGTCGCTTATCGCTTTAATCCCGACTCTTTTTTTAGGTGCCTTGTGCGAGTTTATAATTATAGCACAGATCGTGTGCGCGAATGATTTGCGCGACGCCGAGAATTATGAATGAACGATAATAACATTTTTTGTGGTCGAAAGATCGTTATGTACTGATCTTTCTCGATCTCCTTCTGAGTGACGATCTCGGGTTCTTTTATTTTTCTGGTAAACACACAATTAATAGGGACAAACCTTGAAAGACTGAGGCTTTTTTTTATTTCTGCAACTGGCCACTGGTTGCGAATGATCGCTCGACTCTGGGGAGAGCATCATTTCGGAAAATTATGCTTACGCACTAATTCACACGTAATTTTATAAAATTCTATTAGAAAAATCGTTCGAATAGTATATCACTGACAATTTCTCGAGTTTGTGCACATATTATTAGTAATAATGGTATATAATGCCACAATAAATGTATGCACAATAAATGAGCATTAAAGGCACTGCGAGCACTAAAAGCAACTTTTCGCAATGAAGTAGCCGATTGCATTCTTAGCTCCCACTTTGTGTTCTTTGCCCCGCGTGCGGCGGCTACTTGTATTATATCTATCACGCTTTCACGGCTTCAACAACGTCTTCGCGCGCACTATCGAGAAACGAAAAAAAAATCTGATAACGATTACTTACATACATTATTCGATGCGCAACTCTCTCGTCACATTTAAAAACAACATTGACTCATGTTACGAATCGTGTTCCGACATTGCAATAATTCAGGGTGAAATTACACATATTCGAGGACTCACCTCGTAAGAAGACGTGGCTGCATGAGGCGACACTTTCTGCATGGCTCTCCTCGACAAGATCGCGAACATGTGACTCTTGGTCGTCGACCAGCAGCAGCGTCGTAGCAGCAGCGAGTTTTCCGCTCCGTTGTTGTTGGCCGCCGATCGAGCCGACGCGACGACGACGACGACGCTGCCTCCGCAACACCACTTGCCGATCGAACCGGTTTTCTAGAAATGGAAAAAAAAAGTTTTAAATGAAACGAAATGTCGTGTACGTACATCGTGTCGCAACTGAAACGAGACGCCTATGTATTTCGCGAGTGCGTAATGTATACGTGCGGTTCGCGCTATACGTGGGAAAGCGTCGCCCAAGTACTACGCGTACGCGAGAACCAAGAGAGTAGAAATTCCTCGCGTTGTACCTCTCGTGTACGAGAGTCATTGGTGTCACGAGAGTCTGTGATGAAAGTGTCACTACGATTTACACATCAATTTCTTGAGACATTTTACTCTAATGAATTTATTTATTTCAGTCTAGACAATTAATAAATGGCATTGTTTCATTAAAATTCCATAAAAGGAAAAAATTAAAAGCCAGCCTAAAATCCGTATAATAAGAATTAAAGTTTACAAACGCTCGATTGGTTAGCGATAGCAATTGGTCACTCTTCCAAGAGCTGGGGTAGCATTTTGATAATTTCGAAAAATTAAAATCCTTCGTCCTGAAAGATTTTTCTCGAAAAATTCCAAGAATTTCATTAAATTTGTACATCGGCAAGTCGGTCAAGATGGCAACGCATAAACGTCATAATTAATAATATACGAGATAAGCAGAACGGGCGGTGAATGATAAAACAAATCTACCTTGAGCTATGCGCACGAGAGTCGTGAAAATCGAATTTTTCGTCCTTCCTCGTGCCTATATGTGCTAGCGAGTATGTGCTTCGGCTGCGAGCCCACTGCGAATTTTTGGCCGCAAAACACGAGGAAGAAGAAACATCGAGATAAGATCACGTGCGCGTGCTAAACTACGGACAACACTACACGAGTTCGGAGCAGTAGAATATTGGGCCAAAAACGCGGGAATGGTCGCGCACGCGAGTCATCTCCTCTGCAGGCGACGCGCAGAGACTATAATGTAAAGGTCATTTTTATTATGGTTATACGCGAAGAGCAATAATTTCCCGGTCTAGGGCAGTAATATACATTACTTGCTTTTATAGTCAGCGCGCGTAGGCACGCTACGATCTTTCGGTGCTCGAGTAGAGGGAGCCAATGAAATCAGCTTCAGCGCGCGTGGCGAATAGGGCGTTTTCAGATTGTCACGAAGTGGTCACTTTACCGACCAGCTGATTTGCCTGGAGGAACAACAAACCGCGCGCCCCTATACTTCCCGTGTTAAATTAGCTTGTTAAAAGTACTTGTAATTAGTTTATAATCAAGTAAAAAAATAAACAAAAAATATCTGGAGAAAGCCGAAATCCTCGTGTATCGAAATATCGAAGCGGTTTTTAATTAAAGTCTTTAGTTTGTAAATTAAAAAATATTGAAATTTCAGTTTTTTTGTCTGAGATATTGTCAATAATCTCTATTAAAATGATTATTAAATTTGCTTTTTCGGGTTGCAATACAAAATCTCAAGCGGGGAAGTTATTATTCTTTCAAATGACCAACGAAAAACTAAGAAAGAAGCGTAATTCCGAAAAATTATGAAAATCATCTCGCAATCGTCTTCCAACCCAAGTCTGCTGTTGGTGGAAAGATAATATTCTTAATTACGATTGTTTCTCAGTTTTTCGTTGATCATTTGAAAAAATAATAACTTCCCCGCTTGAGATTTTGTATTGCAACCCGAAAAAGCAAATTTAATAACCATTTTAATAGAGATTATTGACAATATCTCAGACAAAAAAACTGAAATTTCAATATTTTTTAATTTACAAACTAAAGACTTTAATTAAAAACCGCTTCGATATTTCGATACACGAGGATTTCGGCTTTCTCCAGATATTTTTTGTTTATTTTTTTACTTGATTATAAACTAATTACAAGTACTTTTAACAAGCTAATTTAACACGGGAAGTATAGGGGCGCGCGGTTTGTTGTTCCTCCAGGCAAATCAGCTGGTCGGTAAAGTGACCACTTCGTGACAATCTGAAAACGCCCTATAAGGCAAAAAAACTCTGATAGCAGAAAGCACTTTCTCTGGCTGCAGCTATATCACAATCCTGGTTCTATGAAGATTTGCCCTTCAGCTCAAAAAACTCAAATTTTTAAGTAGTTTATTTTATGGAAACTTCTAATATACTGTATTTTCATTTGCAGTCGACTGTTTGACAAAGGATTATGGAAAAGTTAGGTCAAGTCGATAAAGACCATAAAGAGAGAGACAAGTTGTCTGTATATCGCAGGACAGCTTTTACAGAGATCTCACGCCATCAGAAAAGATCAAAGGTAGTAGGAAGAAAGTATTCGTGGATGCGGACCCTGACACCAGGCTGGCACGGATATGTAAGCAAATTTTCCCATCAATGTTTTTCTCTCTATTTTTCACTGCAAATTAACAATTTGAAATTAAAATTTCAGTAAAGCGAGACAACAGCGAGAGAGGAAGATATATAGAAAATATCCTATCAAGTTATATGAATACAACAAAGCCATGTTCTCACAAGTATTGCTATTCTACAATCGCATATGCCGATGTGATAATTCCTGGTGGAGCTAATAATGCCGGTAAGACTATCATGTTAGTAAATTATTATCATTGTTTGAAAAAAAAAATATATGTTCGCTTAAAAAGATCGTAAGTATGTGCGTTGGAAAATAATTAACACACTAGAGTGTCAAAATTAATTTTTATGTTATATAATTATTGTATTACTTGCATGAAATACTACAGTACATGGAATCCAGTTTAACAAAATTACACGCATTTTTGGTTGTTAATCATTAAGTAGTTTTTCAAAATAATACATCATCCATTTATTAATGAAACTTAACTTGGATTAATAATCATTCAAGTCAATTTTATCAAAAAAATGTATTCAATTCAAATTTAGTCAGTATCTTCAACAATCAAACCTTATATCTAACTATCTATTTCATCCTCTGAGGTATGGACAACTAGAGCTAGTAGAATTATTCCACTAAGGAAATTGTTAATTTGTATGTTTACAATTCAAACTATTCATTCTCACTCCCCTTGCAAGAACACTGAAGAAATTTACTGTCCTTCTAACTTATGTGATAAAAATTCATCTAAAACTTGAATAAATGCGAATTACTCCTTGTACTTCACTGGCTCGATCTTTGTAGAGCAGCTTTGCCCTTCAAGTCAATCTTTCAGAGTTATTTTCTGCGAATTGATAACAATTTCTAACAATTGATATATGTTATAGTGGCGATAGACCTTATAGTTTACCACATCTGGGATATTTTGCATGATTAAAATCCATACATTGAGCATTGACGAGCATCAACATCATTAGTGGACTAAGCAGATGATTATTATTAAATATCATCAGTAGCTTTTCATCTGTTGTACTTGATTCATTTTCATATTCCATAGTTTTTTTAGCATTTTAAATGAATAAATTTTTCATGTTATAGAGTTGGAACTATTAACTCAAAACATTGCAGAAGAAATAAAAGTAAAAGGAGAAAACATGAAATAAAATACTTTTGTGATTATTTTTGCAATAATACAATTAAATATGTATTACTTAATAGTTACCTCTAGAATTTGAAAATAAAACCTCTTAAAAAAGGATACAATCTTGTAGTCTTATATGATCTTTGTAGATGGTGTACCTCTTTTTCAGAACAATTTTATCATAATGAGTTCCAGTTTGGGCGGATATCAATTTTTCGAGATCACAAACTGTATCATCTGGATTACATTTCACTCTGACTTTTTTTCCAAGATGGTCATTGCATGTGATTTCAATCATTTTTGTATGATTGGATGAACAAATAGATGCAGCGCAGAGCTAGGAAATTTAAAATTTTGTTGACAATAAGCAGTATAATTCTAATGCTTTAATTTTTGACAAGAAGAGGGTTAAAGTCTTAACAAGAAGAAGATACTCATGACAAGAATCTTATATTTCATTGATATAATCAATTAGTTTAGTTTAAATGATAAATTTCTAATATGAACAGTTATATTCACTTAAAATGAAGTAAATAATATTTTTTTTTAAATGCAATTGAGACTGTACAAGATATTTGTGTGGTTTTTTGTTTTAAAATATCCATCGATAATTAAATGTTCGTAAAAAATGCAAAATCAATTTTAAAGGAATTACTGGTTATACATGTGATACTGTAAATAGAGTTTAACAAAAATAATATTTACTTAAATATTATTAACGGTAAACTGTAAGTCAAAACAGTTTAGAGCAGACTACCAGAAATTTCCAGTAATCTATAACAACATGGTAACATGACTTCAGTCTTTACAGAAGAACACGCAACTCACGCCCAAATCATACAATATCATCAATATCACATAATATCATCGACAACGTAAATTCGTGGTAAAAGCTGTTCTTTTTTTTCGTTACAGCGTGTTTTACATTTTCTTATCTGCGATAATATGCGTGCATATAATATCAATTGCGGAGACCTTGAACTTGCGTCCACTGCAGTCAAACGAATATTATCTACCGCTATACCGCCACTCGAGGCACGCTGCACGAGGATGTCATATTTTTCTCGAGCGCTGTCAAAAGTCATCGTGATTCCTATATCACGGGCAATGAATGAATAAATTTACGTTGATACAAAATAAATAATAAATCGATTTTTCATCTAAGGGCATTATAACAATAAAAAAAATCAAAACAAAAATGAGATTTCGACAAGCGCAGTCTAGCAGACGAAAAAATGTCTCCAGTCTCGGCTCTCGATTGACAGCAGACATTTTATAGCAGACAAAAAAAAAGAGAGAATAGAAAAAGAAGACAGTCAAAGTCAAGAGCACGTGGTCGTCTGCCAAGTGCGAAATATCTATCGATGGCTCTCGAGTGAATTGCGTTTCGGAGCATAGGTGTAGTTTCTCGAATCACACCCCATCCATTATCATTAAAAAACGAACGGATGACTTCTGGTGTCTGTTCCTTGCAAATTGACCTATCTATTCTAGACAAATCAATCAAACGCAAGCAAGCTAACGTCTTATATATGTGTAATCGTACTATTACATGCGTAGCTGTAATAGTGGGGACGGTCGCACCGCAGCAGCTCTAATTACGTTCAAATTTTCGTACATAACACCGAAAAGCAGTTTTGACAGCGCATGTGTATATGTGTTGTGTGCCTCATTATTAAATTACCCCTTGTTATCTACGATCGTACGATCTTGGAGCCATCATAATCGTTTACATGCAGAGCATCAATTGGAAATACGTAGCGCAACGCGTTAGGCCGTCATTACTACTCACCATCGTCAGTGGCAGCAGCAGACCAGTCCAGCCGCCCATCTCCGTGACCGTAGCACCTGCTGTAGTAGCTCATTATAGTAATTGCCCAGCTTTGATCGCTGAGACTTGGAAAGTTGCCGCAGGCAACAACGTGGTTAGCTCAGTTCGACTTTGGACACAGCATCGATCACTGCAACTAGCACCTACTCGTCCTGCCTGCACTGCAACTGCTGTACTGCTGATAAAGAAGAGGCTGAAATCGACTACTCGTTTCGTCGCTGCTTATACAGCTGCTGCTGCTGCTTATAGCTGCCGCGGACTCGTCTCGGTGCGCAGTATAAAATTGCAGCCGAGCGTGCAATTGCCACAGTTGAGATTGTACCACGGCTGCAGCAATAAAGAATCGTCGACGCTGATAAACGGCGCGATGGCGGATATCACGATAAACATGGGCACCACGCGCAAGCTCTCCATGGGCATCAACGGCAAGCTGAACGGCGTCGAGGCCAAGACGCCCTTCCTCATCGGCGTCTCGGGCGGCACGGCCAGCGGCAAGGTAAGACGATGACCGATTGTTTAATTAGGCGCTCAATAAATTTAGATTGTATGCACTCGTGACGAAGGCTCTCATAATCTTAAATGTTGATGCAGCTAAATGAATTCGCTTTAACGTGGTGCAGTCGTGGTCGTTCTATTTTGATATGAGTGCACTTCGATTGTTCTGCGATTGACACGAGGATAACCACTACGACCGAATGCATTTCGATTTTTCGTTTTCTTTCTTTTTTTTTTGTTTTTTTGTTTTTTTTTTTTTGATTGAGGCAATTGCTGTATTACATAATTGTCAACTGTTTTATTTTATGGAAACTTCTAATATACTGTATTTTCATTTGCAGTCGACTGTTTGCCAAAGGATTATGGAAAAGTTAGGTCAAGTCGATAAAGACCATAAAGAGAGACAAGTTGTCTGCATATCGCAGGACAGCTTTTACAGAGATCTCACGCCATCAGAAAAGATCAAGGCTGAGAAGGGACAATTCAACTTTGATCATCCCGATGCGTTTGACAATGATCTTATTCTGCAGACTCTTCAGGATATATTGGCTGGAAAGAAATGTGAAATCCCAGTATACGACTACAAGACCAATAGCATGTAAGTACCAAAAAAGTTCATGATAAATGTAGTATAACATATAATCAAAAGTACAAAAAAAAATAGGGATATACTTTTTTTGAGTCTCTAAAGAGAAACATTTTCTTACGTTTAGAACAAATCATTTTTTAACCAAGTTCAGTGTCGAGTAATGTGTTCACACTATTATTATGTGTTTACACTAATAAAATTACTAACAAAGTGTAATAGATGTTATCAATGAATACTAATTGTTTATGTAATTTACCAATTTTTTTATTTTTTAAAAATTACATTTTTCATTTTTTTCAATAATTGCAATCATAGGGATAAGATTGATGACCTCCATATGATCTTCTGTAAGAAGGCTGGAAGAGAAAAAAAAAACAATTAATTTTTTGCTCTTAAATTGAGTTTTAAATTTTAAATTTGTTCTGTGAAATTGTACTTACTCTAAACCGTGGTGTATAGGATCTTGGCATATATCCAAGTGATCTGTAATGTGGTAGGGAAGAATAACTTCGGGCACCATACATATAATGTGGTGATGACATGCTTCTCATGGCTGATGCAGGTTCAGAGTAACTCGTATAGTCCATTGATTGTGTTGGGGGTACGTAGTATGATGTTGGTGCAGCAAGTTGAACTACCGGTGCTGGTGATGGTGCTGGTAGATAGACCGTTTGGGGTTGTTGATAAAATGGTGACATAGCGTACCTTGCATTTCCTGCACAGGTGCAAGCTCCATTTTTACAAGCACTGGTTTGCTGCAAAACTAACACCAAGAAACTAGACACTAAGAAAATTATTCTCTTCATGATTCCCACTGAATCGATTAATTTGAATGTTTAATTGAAATAGTAATTGTGACAGTTTACTGTCTTTGGAATTTATTAACTCAAAAATTAGTTAATTAACTGATGAAGGAATTTGGTGTTAATCGCTCCTTTTATACCTGTCGTTTTTCCTGAAACGCGCGTGTTTGGAGTCGATCGGAACCAGGAAGCTGTGACGGCGTCACGAAACGCGATAAGCCGCATGAACATTTTTTGGAGATGTTATTTATACAAATTGAATGTGCGTGTCTTTCGATTAAAATTCGCCAAGACAGTCCTCGAGCATGATTTTGCTTATCTAACAGATAAATCATGGCTATACTTGTTAAAATATTAATTCATTATTTATCGTTTGTTTCAGAATCCCGAACCAGACAACCACAATTTATCCTGCTGATGTTGTGCTTTTCGAAGGAATCCTTGTATTTTATTTTTCAAATATAAGGGATCTATTTCACATGAAATTATTCGTTGATACGAACTCTGATACCAGGCTGGAGCGGAGAGGTATACAAATTTTCCCATGAATTTTTTTCTCTCTATTTTTCATTGCAAATTAATAATTTGAAACGAAAATTTCAGTACCGCGAGACGTCAAAGAGAGAGGGCGAGATCTGGATTATGTATTGAATCAATACCTAAATTTCGTCAAGCCAGCGTTTGAAGAATTTTGCTTGCCTACGAAAAAATTTGCTGATGTCATAATTCCTCGCGGAGCTGACAATACAGGTAAGACGATCATGCTACTAAATTATTATCATTGTTTGAAAAAAAAATTTATGTTCGCTTGAAAAGATCGTAAGTATGTGCGTCGGAAAATAATTAACACAATAGAGGGTCAAAATTAATTTTTATGTTATATAATTATCGTAATACTTGCATGAATTACTATCATACATGGAAACCGGTTTAAAAAAATTACATGCATTATTGGTTATTAATAATGAAGTATAAATCTTTTTAAACTTTTTTTTTAAATAATACATCATGCCTTCATTAATGGAACTTAGCTTGCATTAATAATCATTCTAGTTACACATTTACCGAATAAAATGTATTGAATTTTATGTCCAACAATCAAAATTAATTATTATCTAACAGGCATTTTCAAAATTCCCTGGGGTATTTTTTACAACTAGAGTTGGTAAAATTATTGCCTAGAAAAAATCGTTAATTTCTCTGTTTATTATTCAAACTATTTATTCGTATTTTCTGCACACTTCATTAGACACGGGTTTTCAAAATTATTCCCAACAATTCCATCTTGTTGACATTTACTTGCCACTTTGTTTTCTTCTTGGACAAATGCGAAGTACTTCAAGTTTTTCTTCGCCTCGACCTTTGTATAACATTAATATTAATGAATATGGCATACGATAATCATTTCTTCCTTAGGTATCTTTTAAGAGCTCGTTCTTACTATTCGTGAATTCAGAATAAATCGTAAAAAACGTCCACTTACTGGCTTGCACGGAATTTTTTTAAAAAACGTTAAATATGATTTAATATTCTAAGCACTATGAACTTGACAAACAATTTTTATGAAGGTCAGAATTGTCTATTTCGTATCAAAAAATTCAAATGATTACGTCATTGTAAACATGAATATTATATTTAGTTTTGCCCTTCGAGTCAATCTTTGAGAATTATTTTCTATGAATTCTCTATTGATGACAAAATCAAAAGAAGATATGAAGCATACATGGTTTTGGTTATTTTATGTTTACAGTGGCGATAGACCTTATAGTGCACCACATCTGGGACATTTTGCATATTAAAAATGGGGAAATCGCATATCAGCAACATCCATACTTCGAGCATAGACGAGCATCAACATCATCAGATGGACTAAGCAGATGATTGACATATTATTAAATATGATCAGTTGCTTTTAATCTGTTGTTTTTAATTCATTTTCATATTGCACAGTCTTTTTTTAGCATTTTAAATGAATAAAATTTTCATGCATGCAAACTTTAATTACTAATCTTTGTACGTTGAAAACTTTTTGTGGATAAAATCTTGCGTTTAATCATAAGGAAAAATCATGATACCTAAGTAGATATTACCTATAGCATTTTACAAAAAAATGACTAAATTTTATGTTGCATAATAATTTTGTATTTTCTCTATCAGATATAAAGATCAAAAGAATATTTTGTATGTTTTCGTACAGTGGAAAATTGTTTATATTAATATTTGTATTATAAAATCAAGATTATTGTCTTACAATATTATAAGCCCTTTTATACTCTCAAACCTTTGATAAATTATTTAATAGAGTATACAGTGTAAAATTCATAAACAAAATTATGAATCATCAGTACAAGTAAATTTTTTCAAGTTAATACCTAGTTTAATTTGTGTAAAAATTATTTACTTTCAGGTCCGTAAAAAGTTTACTGACTTCTATATGAATAAGACTAAAATTGTACAAAAAAACTCATAATAAATCTTGGGATTTTGCATATTAAAACAGCAAAAGATTGATTCTAAATACCTTCATTTAATACATTAATGTATTAATAATTTAATTATATTTATTTTGCATGCTCAATCATTAACTGCATGTTTGGAAGCAATAACTTAATAATTTTGATGATAATATTTGAATGTTGTTAAACTTTAGTCAACTTAATAACGTAATTTTCCTAATTTTTTCTCTGTTTTAGTGGCCATCAATTTAATTGTCCAGCACATAAGAGATTTCCTTAGCAACCGTAGTCGAAATGTAATTGAAGCTGAAAGTCCTATGAGTCGTTCGGATGAAGCAATAGTAAAAAGGCCTCATTGAAATGAAAAATTCAATTTCAAACTAAAAAAGTGAATGCTTCCTAAAATAGCTGATACTGATGCTCTAAGTAATAGTCATAAATTTTAAATATTTTTTTAAACCATACATTTTAATTGATCAAAGTACTAGATAAATAAATGTTTATAATTTTAATATAAAATAGCAAAGGTTTACTAAAATAATGGTAAGATTTAATGCGTCACAATCAAAGATTAGAAAAAAAACATCATCGAGTAAAACACAAAACGCTACCAAACTAATTGTTATTAAGTATTCACGTTATTTTTAAGTTATATATTTGGTTATATACATTTTAACATATTATTTTTCAACCAAATTTGAGGTGTAAACCAATAAGTATATTTTGAGTACATACTAAAATGCATTTATTAACATCCATTGCAATAAATTAAATGTCAACTAAATATTTATAATTTATACAATTTTAAGTTTATTTTATGTATAAAAGAGCACAAAGTGTTTAAAAATCATTACAAAAATTATCCTTACATAAAATCTTGATTTCAATAATATTTGACAATGTGTGCATTAGGGTGTACCCCTTTTTTAAATATTTCGAATAAAAAGAATAAAATAAAATATATCTCAGGAGCCGAGTGAAAAACTGTAAGATGGTATATTTTTGCAGGTCTGTGCACAACATGGGTGCTGAAATCAAAAATTGTCAGCTCGGAGTAGCACGAGGCAAATAAATACTAATTAAGCTTTGCGATTTTTTTTCTTCCATAAGAAGGGTTTAACGAAAAATTTTCTCTGAACAAAAAGTGCTTAATTTTGATCAAAGAATATGTGTGAATTTTTTCAGATTTTTTCGGACCATTTTTGGATTTTTGGAAATATTGACGAACGCCAAAAATCCAAAAATGGTCCGAAAAAATCTGAAAAAATTCACACATATTCTTTGATCAAAATTAAGCACTTTTTGTTCAGAGAAAATTTTTCGTTAAACCCTTCTTATGGGAGAAAAAAAATCGCAAAGCTTTTCATTTCCACATTAGTATTTATTTGACTCGTGCTACTCCGAGCTGAAAATTTTTGATTTCAGCACCCATGTTGTGCACAGACCTGCAAAAATATACCATCTTACAGTTTTTCACTCGGCTCCTGAGATATATTTTATTTTATTCTTTTTATTCGAAATATTTAAAAAAGGGGTACACCCTAGTGTGCATGATGCCTACTGATAGTAAAGTTCTAAATTCATGCCATCATGAATTTCATCTATACATTTGTGTTAAGGAAATTATTTTTATAAAAGTAGTATAAGATAGAATTATAAGAAATAGAATTTAATATTAAGTAAACATGAAATAAAATACTTTTGTGATTATTTTTGCAATAATACAATTAAATATGTATTACTTAATAGTTACCTCTAGAATTTGAAAATAAAACCTCTTAAAAAAGGATACAATCTTGTAGTTTTATATGATCTTTGTAGATGGTGTACCACTTTTTCAGAACAATTTTATCATAATGAGTTCCAGTTTGGGCAGATATCAATTTTTTGAGATCACCAACTGTATCATCTGGATTACATTTCACTCTGACTTTTTTTCCAAGACGGTCATTGCATGTGATTTCAATCATTTTTGTATGATTTGATGAACAAATAGATGCAGGGCAGAGCTAGGAAATTTAAATAATATGTAAATAAAAGTTCAAATTTTATATCCTGAAATGAATTCATTTAATATGCAGTAAATGGAAATCATATCATACATTTCTTAACATTTACATGACATTATAAACTAAAATTCCATTGTTAGTTTTATTTTTAAATAATTTTTTTTGACAATAAGCAGTATAATTCTAATACTTTAATTTTTGACAAGAAGAGGGTTAAAGTCTGAACAACAAGAAGATACTCAAGACAAGAATCTTATATTTCATTGATATAATCAATTAGTTTAGTTTAAATGATAAATTTCTAATATGAACAGTTATATTCACTAAAAATGGAGTAAATATTTTTTTTTTTAATGCAATTGAGACTGTACAAGATATTTGTGTGGTTTTTTGTTTTAAAATATCCATCGATAATTAAATGTTCGTAAAAAATGCAAAATCAATTTTAAAGGAATTACTGGTTATACATGTGATACTGTAAATAGAGTTTAACAGAAACAATACTTACTTAAATATTATTAACGGTAATTGAAGTCAAAACAGTTTAGAGCAGACTACCAGAAATTTCCAGTAACCTACAACAAGACGGTAACATGACTTCAGTCTTTACATCAAGAACACAACTCACGTCCTCTGTGGTTTGTTCTAATGCACATGAAGATTTTAATAACATAGTTGAAAAACACATGGAAAGTTGATGTTGATTTATTTTAATTTCATTTTTTTTACACATATTAAAATTGAGAGATTGAAGCATCAGATCATCCTATTGTAAATCTTAAATATATATATTCAAATTTTCCAAAAGATCAGTAAAAATTAATTTATTAGATTCTTTAATTGTTGTCGATCAAATCAAATTACTATAGGTAAAACTTAAGTTACATTTACAAATTAGTTTTTATTAAATCATTGAACCAACTTTTTAAAATGTTAAATTTAACTTTAAAAATGTTAAATTAACCAGCATATTCTTTTAAAAGTAACTTGTTATGCTTTCTGAAAGTTGTTAACAATAAGAGCTTGCATTAATTACCCAAGTTTTCAGTACTGAAGTGTTCAGAAAATAATCATCAAAAAAGAGTAAAGAGGAATTTTCATTTAAATAAGCTGACATTTTGATCATGAATGGAGTTATCAGAATCAAGCTCTGTTACTTTAGAGTTGACATATTAATAATTTACAACAGTTGTAATTGGGTTTAAATAAAATTAATTCACTATCAATCAATATGAAGTGAAAAATTATAGTTTTTGCAAATATATCATTTTCTAACAATATTCATCATAGCATAAGTTATAGGTGACAAATAAATAACAAATCATATTTTGTTTTTCAATATTTATTTTGAAAATGTAACATCATTTACTTCCTATTTTGCTGGCCTTGGCGCATATCCTGAAAACAGAAACGACAAAAATTGTAAATTCAATTTTTTGCTATTAAAACTTGTGTGTGTGCGCGTAGCACATGACCAAGAACATGAAATCAATTCGCTTACCCTTGGGAAGTTCCTGACTGGTGGAGTTCTGATTCTTCTGTCGCTCTTGGAACGATTGCGAACAACCTTGGAGTGAATTGCGCAGGATACGCAGTAGTGCAATTTGGCGTACAATTTGGGCAGAGTGTAGGACGAGTAGACGCTGGCGTCGGTGATATCACGTACAGCAGCGGCTTCGACCATGTTTCTGATGACGAATTTTTTGATCGCCTTGTCCTTGGGGACGCATCTGGCGCAGTTGGTGCAACGAACCGGGTTGACGTGACCACGGCCGTTCTTGGCGCGTCCTGCGTTCCTACGTTTGCGAGTCTGTAAATTAGTTAAAAGACATTTAGATTCTGCATATCTCACTCGGAAACACGTTCGTCTTGGCGAAAAAATTGAGTAACTGATTAGCAATTCGGTTGACAGGTGCCTTATATTAATTTTATCACGTATAAATAAATGAACGATGCAAGTCAAATTGAACAAATTAAGGCGTAGCAAAAATGGAGTTGAAAAATGAACAACTTGAGATTGAAACGAAGATATTTTGCACTAGGTTCCATAACCTACAACGGATTCACATGGCTTTGCAACACTTGTTATAACAAAAAGTTGATCAATTTTTTCAATTCAGAGCACTGATTGCTAACCATAATTGCTTCAGTTAGTTTATTCAGATTGTAACAAAATAAACTACAATTTTTATATATTTAGAATCAAAAAACGTATGAATTGAAGACACGTACCATTGTCACGCAGGAGATATCTGGAAAGAAGAACTTTTCGGCTGTAGAATTAGCGGCGTGAAGATGGCGGCCCTCGTGGAGGGAGAGCAGAGAGAGCGCCACCACCCGAGCTGCGTAAAAACATTAGACCGCCTGGCGTTCAAGACCGTCAGCTAATGTTGGGATATATACATATACCGTGGTTCTCCGTGACTGCCACTTATTATGATTTTGCCCTAGCCGCACTTGAGTCAATGCGCAATGCAGCGCTTTATCGCCTTAGTTTCCGGCATTCAAAAATTGTTGCATAAGAATAATAACTTTTATTTGGACTTTAAAAATTCATAATAATTAAATGTTCATAATTCTTCCCCTTGAAAAAATTTCTTGTAGGAGAATGGAATTTTGTCAATGGTCATGAATTGATTCTTTGAATAAATGATCTTTTAATTTGAAGAAAAAAAATTGATACCCAATAATTCTTGAATAAATTATCATTTCTTACTAAATAATGAGAATAGAAAAATATCGATCATTTATGAGATCGGTTTCAATGATCCGAAAATTATTAAATACTACTGCAATTTATTTTTATTGGAATTTTTATAAAATTTTACTTTAAAGTAAATCTAGATTTCAACTTCGTTCAGGTTCATTTTTAACATTCAAGGTATCAGATTTTATAAGCCGATCAAATAGTTAATTACACTAAAAAACTTTTTTCAATTTATTCAAATTTACAAAATTCAAGCGAATATGCAGTAGTTCAAATTACGAAAAAATATTCAAAAAAATTATTATAAATAAAACTCAAATATAATAATAAAAATAATATTCAAACTTGAAGTGAATGGAGAGAGATAAATGATGAAGCAAACGAATTTTATAAAAAGCTAATTATTGTTGTTATAAGATTATAAAAAATTTGTGATCACTAACAACGTAAACAATATTCCATAATAACATTTTTACACTTTTGTTTACCTAATTTATAAATATCAAATAATGATTGAGTCATGTCTATAAACTTTCGTAAATTTAGTAGATGCAGGTTGTCAACCAGACTTCAAGGTTTTAAAATAGTGACATATTCTAATATAAATACAAACTTGTTACTTACAAGCTTCACAGTGGAACAATTTTAATTGACAGTACAAAATATAACAAGACTTAGTTATTAATAGTTAAAAGAATACAAAAAGAGATTATTTAAAATCATAGTAACATTACCATTTTTGCTTCACGTTGCTACATTTATACATAAAAACAAAGGGACCTTAACGGAGTTAGACAAATCATAAAGCATTTCGTAATTTTTAATTTGAAACAAAAGTTTTAAAGAAATGAAAAGAAATTTTTTTTTTTTTTTGTTATCTTTTAAATTAGTTAGCTTCCGATGAATCTGTGAAGTAATGTGCTTGTAAGGATAATCTCTTGTTGTTGCTTGGCTTGAGAGGAGACTTGAAATTAACTGATTCTGGAAAACGTTCGTGGTAACGTTCCAGTCTCAAGTATTTAACAGTAACTAAATGACCTAAAAATATATGAACAATAAGTTTCGAGTTTAAACAATTATTTATAGATATTTTAAAGAATTAATCGTTACCATCAAACCAACATCCGTGGACAGCTTTGTAAGCTTTACCAGCATCTTCTTGAGACATACACTTCATGTACACACATCCTTCTCGGCTTCCACGATCGACTTTTATGTGTAAGATTTTCACGCCTTCACCGCATTTCTCTAATATGGCATCTTTAACTTTGACTTCCCAATCATCTTCAAATTCACTATAAAAAAATCAGATTAATTAGGAAATTCTTCGATGTATGTTCATATGTTCCAAGTTTTAGTTAGTCAAGCCCTATACTAGGTCAAATTTTAATAAATACCAATTATTGGTTGAATATCTGAACATGATCAAAATTAGGACTGAACCTTTACTAAATTTATAAAAATTGAATAGCTTACACATCTGCATCAAACATGTTGCGTATTTTAAGACATGGAGTTGGTGAACAATTTAGACTATTCACAGATCCATCCATTGTTTCAAAAGCACTGCCTTGCCAAACTTTCGACATTTTAGGGGATCCAGGAGCAGGAGATTGTGGAGTAGTTCCGTTGCCTAACCATCGCCATACTTGGAGTTCTTCTCCCGCTACTAATTGAACTTCTCTTCGAATTCTGTTAACAAAATTACGTTTATTGAGTTTGTTTTAAATTATTCTTCTTTTGAGAATTTATCAAGTTATAATTAGTAGATATTATATTATTAAATTAAAATTAGGATGCAATATTCATTACCGTGATTCGTTTTCGTCTAAAAATTTAACAGCTTTATCCCAAAGCTTTGCCATTTTTTTTCTGTCTTTTGGAAGAATTATATTGTCCCTTATATGATTAATGGCAAGATAGCTTTCTTGAGTGCCTCCAGGACTACTTGTAGCATAGGTTGAATGGTGCAATTCAAGTATACTTATTATATCACCTACTATTGAAAAAACCGCTCGTTCTGAGTTTTTCTTGTAATCTATATAAGCACGTACCATCTTGAGACTTCCAATAATAGTAAGAGCACCTAGAACATAAAAGTATTTTTTTTTTTTTTCCAAATTCCTAAGTGATTCATCATCAAATGAACATTTTTATAGATACAATTATTTGAAAAATTTTTAATTTTTTGATTAACTTACTTGAAAAAATGTTTGTAATCATTTTAAATTAATTGTATTTATAATTAGCCAATATATTTATGTTTCTAAAGTAAATAAAGTAATAAAATATTTATGTATATGTTTTATTTTAGGGAAATGGTTCTCAGTAGTACTATAAAACTGTTAGTGGATTTATAACAGAGTCAAGTGAAAAAAAGTAAAAGAGTTAGTGAACTAATATATACATACTGTGGTTCTACAATAGGGATAACTACAGGGAATCAAAAATAACTTCAGTAATAAATTTACCAAAAGCTGCAATCAGGAGTGCAGAAACTACAGTCAAAATTTGTTTCCTAACAAGACATTGCAGAGGCAAATTAGGTTCGGCAATCATTAATCCTAATCGTTTGTCTAATCGGCTTACAAACACTTTTTCCTGAAAGAAAAAAGAATTGATTAAAATCCAAATTTTTGCATCAAGAATATTTAAATGGCAAATTTAGAAAATTTACCATGTCATCGAGTATTTGCGTAGACAAATTTCCATCTTCAATATCTACCAGAGATATACCCCACTTAGGATTTTTAAATATAAGTAAATGTGCCATATGTGAGTTCTCTTTGAGCTTGGTTTCTTGCTGCTTTCAAAATTAATGTTAAAATGTAATAGAAACTTTCATATTAAAATATTAGTTTATGAAATGTATTAAAAACTAACCATGTCCGAAGAAAGGAACATTTTAACAATGTCATGTGAGTTTATAAATGGTGGTTCTTTAGAACCTTCACATTCAGCAGCTATGGCTCTTTTTGTTAAAATTGGATGTAGCCTCTTTATAAGCTGCAAAGTATCTTTAACACTATCTTCAGGAACACAATTTGTGCCAGGATATGGACTTGCAATTTTTAGCATAGAACAAATTGGTATGTCACTATCTAAACAGATGCCATGAAAATTGGAAAAATTGTTATGAGTCAGTTTAAGATTTGATATGATTTTTTTCAAAAATCATTTTTATCATGAACGTTAAATGAGAATATCTCAATTACGGGTTTTTATAGAAATTTCGGAAAAAAGTCTGTCATTCAAATAATGATAAGATCTGATTTGAAAAAAAAAGAAAAAAAATTGTTACAAGATTATGACTAGGATATGTAAAAAATTTAAAAAAATATTTCAAGTACTTATTATTTATTGAAAAACAAAAAGGACATAGAAGATTCAAATCAATTTATATTCAAAATGATATATATTCTAGTTTATCTAGAATTATCTTCTATTGCCCGTAAAATTAAGCTGGAGTTTACATGATTGGTGCCATAAATTAAATGTATAATGATTTTTTGGCTTACACTCTTGTAACATTTTTTTTTACTTAATAATAATAAAAACCATAATATGTATCAAGCGATGATAATTTGTCTGAATGATAAAAAATTTTATAAACACAAAAGACATTAAAACATACCAGCGGGTAAAAGAGGATATTCACTTTTTTCTTCAAGTCTAAAATATAAAATGCCCAATACTACGAATACTAGGAGAAAAGCACCAATTAACGGCCAGTTCTTGTTTTCTTTTATTGTTGCAGTTTGGGACTTGTTTTGTTCTGTTCTTATTCTGTTACTCTTGTCCAAAGATGATGTAACGTAAGGCATACTAAAAATTTAAAATATTAGAAGACATTATTTAGTATGAAATGTATGACAATTGTATCAATTATGTAGCAAGAATGATTTACCTGGAAACTGGTAATATAGGTCTTGTAGAGTGACGGAAGTGCCCATTAGAGTCTGATTCTGTTTCTTCATTTGTTACTCCATAAGTTGAATAACGATATTTTGATGCTATGAAATGAAAAAAAAAACGTTATTCATGCCCTATTTTTTCCGCAAAATAAATATTTTATGAACCTTTCAATGATCCCTTAGACAGAGTGGGGGAGTTCAAGGATGCTTGAACACTTAGTCTCCGAGTGAATTCAGATAAATATGGTGTTTCATAATTATTAAGAATATCGTCCGGTTTCAAATTACTTGGTAGATGTTTTATTCTGATATCTTTTATGTTTGTATTTGAGCTGCTTGAAGGTAGATTTGATTTTGGTAAATGAACTCCATATTTTTCATTTTTTGCTGCTAAAGTGGCGCGTAAACTAGATTCTTCATTTTCTCTAAGATGTCTTCTCCAGTTAGCATCAAAAGGCTTTGGAGAATTAACATCAGCTGCTGTTAACCCAGTAGTGCGGTCATTTTGTCCCTTGGGTGTTGCAGTATTTATTTTACTACTTACAGGAGCCTTTTTAGGAATTTCCTCAACAGCATCTGAATCTGAGCCAGTTTCCAAATCATCTTTTTCTTTTGATGATCTATTATTCTTTGTAGCATTTGATCTTTCTGGCTTGGCAATTGTAGGTGAATTTCTAAAGTTTATACTCGGTATTGCTGGTAATTCATCAGTTACTGGAGGATCAGCAACAGGTAGGTTCCTTGTCAATCTTTTTTTGGATGGACTTTTAGTCACACTAGGTGCTGCGATAGGTACAGTTGAAACTGGTGGTGGCATGGGATTTGCCAAAGTTTGTCTACGGTTATTTAGAGGGGCTTTTTTCTTTTTTTTAGCAGCAGCTGAAGAATCATCATCTGTATCATCACTGCTGAATCTGCAAAACAAAACAGTAAGGAAATTACACACTGAGGATAATTTTTTATCAACTTGATTATTCATACAAAATAAATATTACCTTGCAGCCATGGAGTGTCTTGAGCCTGACCCACCCTTAGTTTCCATAAGATTCTTAAGTTTTTTGATAAGAATTTTTCTAGTGGTTAAGGTGACAGGTCCAACAGGATAGCCATACTCCAAAAGCTTTGTTCTTAGCTCTGAATCACTGAGCGTTTCCGCAGACATCTTTAAAATATAACTATACTTCTAACTAAATCTTTCAAATGTACAGAGCTGAGAGCTCAAGTCAAGTACTTTATCAGTCTCTTTTCTCACTGGCCTTATATTTTATTCCCAATATAAACTGTTATTCACCTGCATAAAAATAAGAGCGTTCATTAGTACTTCACAATGAAAGAAATGCAAGACTCTTGGTTTTTAATGTTATTTGTAATAGATCAAGAAAAATAACACATCGATACGGAGTTAACCTACAAAGCAAAAAATACTCTCGACTTGACTCGTCGAAGACAAAATTTGTTTTTGCACGCACATACATTTAAACGCGCGCAGCAGGTTGACGCCGCGAGGAGAGCCGGTGCATCGAAAGAGATACGCGCGATCAAAATAACAAGAGTACTAATGAGCCGAAAACGGGCCAATATGCACTGACTGCTGGAAAATCGGCAAATTGAGGTGCATGTCTCGTTTCATATACCCCAATAACATATATGTATGCGTATGTGACATATGTGTGTATGTGTGCGTACTGCGTATGTGTGTGTACAGCTACGAGGCGTCTAATAGGTTGGCGCAGCCGGCGCTGATGCTATTGTGGTCACGATGTCGCGCCAGACAAGATTTGTGCGCGAAGATTATGACGACGTCGACGACGATGCATGCGTGGTGCGGTGCAAAACACACACACACACATGCACATGCAGACACAAGTACACAACGAAAAATGCTCCAAAGTGATATACGAACTATGCGTGTTAGCTACTCGCGCGTATGTGTGCGTATGTATATCGTAGCCGCCGGGCGGCTGTAAATAAACAAACACAAGTCTCTCTCGCGCGCGCTCGCTCGCTGCTGACTTGCTCACGTTATATATACACAGGCACTCTCTTTCTTTTCCATCGTGTACACAGTTTGGCTAATGTATAGAAAAACGGTTCGAGCTGACGCAAAAAAAGGCACTCGCGGCTTGGATCGCACGATGACGCCGTATTTCTTTTCTCAAGGACACCGGAGGCGTTTTCTCTCGAATCGAAAATAGAGATGCACCGTGTGCATTATAGTTGGTATACTTACGCGCTATGTGTACACAGAGACGGGAGAGACGATACTTGTATCGTACGCGCGCGAAATAAATGAACGCGCGAGCGACCCTCTGTGCGTAATATGACCACAGAGGTGCGTGTATAAGCGTGAGAGAAAACTGCCGAAAGCGACGAGGTAAACGTGTCCCCACCGTTGTCGCGTGAAAACTGACCCGATCTTGGAACACACGAGTTGATCGAAAAAGCGCTCGCGATTCGAGTGAAAGCTAAAGCACGAATAAAAATTATTTACGCTTCATCCTTAAAAAGCAGAGGGCGAACCAGCGCGTCAAGTCGGAGCAGCATAATAATGATAATACCTATTATCGAGAGAGGGCCGGTGTCAGACCGGCGCCCGACACTACACAACGACGACTCCGAAAGTCTGTTGCCGCGGAGTCGCGGGGCTCCGTAAATATAGCGCGCGCGCGCGCTCTCTCTCTCTCTCTCTCTCGCGCCCCGTAAGGTTAACGAGGACGCACTATTTTTTTTGCAGTTATTGCACCGAGTACGATAGCTCGTATTAACGTACGACTGACCTTTCCGCAACAGCTCCGAGATACTTGTATAGGTACACGCGATCGTGGCAGAAACTACTGATTTTCATTCAAAGTAACGATGCGAACATATTTTCCCAGATAAGCTCCCTGCGGGCAACTGGCGAGGGGGCAGGCAGAAAGTAGAGAGAGTCGGTTGTACGATGGTGATATATACATATATAATATAACACGTATTACGCGCGGTACCGGCAGCAGCAGCAGCAGCGGCGGCGGCAACGCATCGGCATATAACGGTCTTTTGCACGCACCTATTATATACACCAGAGAGTCTGTTGAGATATTCTATATATATCGGTGCATATGTACCGCTCACAGCAACACACGTTTTCACGCACACGTTAACAGCACGCTTTGCTTCATTCTGATGCTTGCGACGTATTTTTTGTTTCTTTTTTTGATTAGTATAAAAAATGCAACAAACGTACTACTTTTTTTCTTGTCTCACTCACTCTCTTTTCTCTCTAACACGTCGGGCGGTTGCGGCCGTTTACTTTATAGTTTTGCGTGTGCGTATCACTGCTACAACGCTACGCTCGACGACGACGGCGGCGTGGTGCTATATAAAGCTGGGCTTATAGTATACTCACCTACTGGCATGGAATTGCTCATTATAACGAGCGTCGCGTCATGCGTCGTCGTCGCCGTTGCCGCCGCCGATGTGGCGTGGTTGTTTGCGCGGATAAAATTCGCGTGGTGGGAGATTTTCTCTACTCTCTCTCTCTATCTCTCTTTCTCTGCAGTGCGTAATATCAACGTGTCCTCGCGTTGCCCGCAAGTATTTTCTATATAGTACATCCCTACAACACATAGATTCATTTGTTTCACGAGGCTCGCTCGTTATAAGGTTTTGCGACTGTCAGCCGAGCCGGGCCCCGCGATGCGGTTAAACTCACCGCAAATTCACCATATATGTTTAGGACACATAGCGAAAGATCGCAACGAGTGACCGTCGCTGATCCCCCGCGCGACTCCCAAGTATAAACTCCTTTTTATTTCTTTTTCTCACGAAAACGATCGCGTCTCGACGGTATTTCTGCAGCGCTCGCGGTCGAAGAAATATGCGTCGTGCATTTTATTGAGATTTTACAATGGCAAATTTTACCGATCCGGCGAATAATTTTGTCCGTTCTCAAAGACCGTTCGAAAAATGCAGACTTGCGATTAAAATTTGGAATTTTCGAAGCAGCTCTGGAATCATTTTTTAAATGATCCACGCTTGCTCCAAAATAGCAGATCGAAATTCATTAGAAAAAGGATATCTTGAAAATGTTTAATTACTCTAACAGTTTTGATAAGAATAAATTTCAAACTTTTTCTCATGTTATCTAATAGTTTTTAATGAGTATTTATCAAATAAATCTACATCAACATTGCTCACTCACGACCGATTAATAATATATACATTAAAAATTTCTTCTTGCGTCCTCTCGTTCGTGACGCGCGTATATATAGGTGCCCGTGCACATAATGAGATAATTAACGAAAATAAACTATTTGCACGCGAGTAAACGTGCCTATTTATTTTAATCATCGTCGCCCGCAATGATGTCACGGTATTGCAAGTATTTACAAATTAAATTACCTAATCTAAGTTCGAACATTATTATTGATATTCAATTGAGTCATAGGCTAAAAGCGCGTTTACATAATCGCTATATGATTTTTATATTTAATTAATGCGTATACAATGCATAGCGGCGGAGATATGCGTGCGTGACATTTCAGTTAAAAAAAAAAAAAAAAAAAATTCACATAACTCGGTATAAGAGAAAGGCGAACAGACTTGCTCGTGCTGCATGCATATGTGTTTAGCTGATTTATATCAAAGCTCTATTAGAAAAATATTCGCGAGCAATTTTTATTATACGCTCCTTCGATATCGCGTATCGGGATTTCTACAATAGGCAGGTAAAAGTCGAAGGCGATGCACTTGCAGCACCTATAAAGGTTTGTTGTGTATATATGCGGCAACGAAACATATAGATATACAGGCCAGCACTGCCTCGAGAGTCTCTCGAGTGTGTGATATGTTATGTAGTGCGAAACATATATAAGTATATAGCAGAGAGTAGTCTGGTATGTAACGTGCAGAGTTGGTGTATGTATGCTGCTGCTGCTTCTGCACAGACCGATAGACAACGATGGCAATCTAATTAGCTGACGTCTGTATCAAAGAGGCTCGGTGGTATACACTTCGTTCGGTGCGTGTGCGGGGATCTTCGGATCGTGTGGTGCTGCAGCCTATACCTACAGAAGTGCAGATTTCTACTGTCAAAAGTTTTACGACTCTGTGATCCGGCGGCTGCTCGTCGTATCGCGCGCGGGCCCACCCCGATCGTATAATAATAAATAATCATGGCTCTACGCAAAGTCAAAGGCAATTTCGAGCGGATGTTCGACAAAAATCTCACGGATCTCGTTCGGGGCATCAGGAACAACAAGGAGAACGAGGTAAAAGAAAAAAAAATCGACACGAATTTTTGCACGCAACGCACAAGTGGCTTGTGCTGTCTGTGTACGCGATACTCGCGTTGTACAAGGTGCTATCTAACTCGCGAGGTTAAAAGCCTTTCTCGTACGAAATGATAACAGATTTTGCGCTCGATTTTCTTCAAATTCACTATGAATCGATGAGCTTTCCTGCGAAGGGTGAACAATTTTTGACTGTTTCATTTTTGAGAATAGCTAGTGTCTATTTGACCGAATTTTATTGAATCGTGAATTTAGTTCAATTTGATTTTACTTGTTGTATATAAAGTTTTATTTGTATTTATGTTTTGATTTATTTTTTTTATAAAAAAAATTTACAGCTTAATTTCAAAACATTGATTTCATTGAGACTTTCATTTTATTTTTTAGGCAAAATACATAACACAATGTATGGAAGAAATAAAACAAGAATTAAGGCAAGACAACATTGCAGTCAAAGCCAATGCAGTAGCCAAGCTAACATATGTAAGTATGCACCATTCATTTTTCTCATTAATTTGTAGAACATAAATTAAATTTTATTAAATTATTTGTTTTCAGTTGCAAATGCTTGGATATGACATAAGTTGGGCTGGATTCAATATTATAGAAGTAATGTCTTCTTCCAAATTCACTTATAAAAGAATTGGATATTTGGCTGCCAGTCAAAGTTTTCACATGGAATCAGAGGTTTGATATCTTGTATTTATTTATTCAACAAGTTTGAATCAATGAATTGAATGACAATTTTATTTCAGCTTTTAATGTTGACTACAAATATGATTCGTAAAGATTTGAATAGTTCTAATCAGTATGATGCTGGTTTAGCGTTAAGTGGTTTAGCTTGTTTTGTTAATCAAGACTTGGCCAGAGATTTAGTGAATGACATTATGACTCTATTAACTTCCACAAAGCCTTACTTGAGAAAAAAGGCTGTTTTAATGATGTATAAAGTGTTCCTTCGGTTCCCAGAAGCTCTAAGGCCTGCATTTCCAAGACTTAAAGAAAAATTAGAAGATCCTGATAGTGGAGTACAATCAGCTGCAGTGAACGTAGTTTGTGAATTAGCAAGAAAGAATCCAAAAAATTATTTAAGCTTGGCGCCAGTGTTTTTCAAATTAATGACTACATCTACAAATAATTGGATGCTTATAAAAATAATCAAATTGGTGAGTATTTTCTTGTCTTGAATTTGGAAAATAGTTTATACTCGACAAAATTGAAATTATTAAAAAGTTTATAATGATAAAATTTATCCTCCTTTATCATAACAAAAATAAAATCAAAACTTAAGCTGAATGAATTATTCTCTTTTTGCGTGCTTAGTTTGCAACAATAACACTGATTGAACCAAAAATGGGACGCAGATTGACTCAACCTTTAATTGACCTGATATCGAGGTTATTGCGTTAAATGATTAATTTTTTTTTAAATTAGTAGGCTATGATTCAAATGTTTATACATATTCTGCTATAAAGCAAAAGCTTTTTGATAGTAAACGCTATTTATTTACTCATAATGCAAGTTCAGTTTCTTCATCATTTTATTTTATTTTGCTAGTTTCTTGAGATCATTTTTACATTTACAGTTTGGCGCATTGACACCACTAGAACCTAGGCTTGGCAAAAAATTGATAGAACCGCTAACAAATTTAATACACAGGTATTTTCTTAATAGTTTAGTACATTTACTGAAAATTCATACATAGTATTTTAAAATATTTTAAATGTTAGTGATTAGTAAAAAAAGATTCTAGCTACAGATAATTTATACATAAATATGGATTACTTTATTATTAAACTATTTAAAGTGCTAAAACTATGTATAGTTTGAATCAGTAAAAAGTAATATTCAATTTTTCAAACCTTTAATTTTATCTTCTCTTATTTTAGCACATCTGCAATGTCTCTTTTGTATGAATGTATTAATACTGTTATTGCTGTACTGATATCTATTTCATCTGGAATGCCCAATCATTCTGATTCTATTCAGTTGTGTGTACAAAAATTAAGAATACTTATAGAAGACTCAGATCAAAACCTGAAGTATTTGGGATTACTGGCAATGTCAAAGATCCTAAAAACTCATCCTAAAAGTGTGCAGGCACATAAAGATCTAATTATGCAATGTTTAGATGACAAAGATGAAAGTATTAGATTAAGAGCTTTAGATCTATTGTATGGAATGGTTTCTAAGAAAAATTTGATGGAAATTGTAAAAAAATTAATGATGCATATGGATAAAGCTGAAGGTACTATGTACCGTGATGAATTATTGTCAAAAATAATTCAAATATGTTCACAAAATAATTATCAGTTTATTACTTACTTTGAATGGTGAGAATCAAATATTTCGAATGCAATAGAGTATTGAATTAAACAATTAATTATAAATTTATTTATAAAGGTACATATCAGTTTTGGTCGAATTGACGCAAATGGAGGGTACAAAACACGGTCAACTTATAGCTACCCAACTGCTTGATGTAACTATTCGAGTTCGAGCCATTCGAAAGTATGCGGTTCAACAGTGTTCATTATTGCTCGAAAATGCGTGTCTTTTATCAGGCCAACCGAGAGCTTCGATGTCAGAAGTTCTTTACGCAGCTGCGTGGATTTGTGGAGAATTCTCCAGGTAAATATTATTTATATTTCAATAGCTAGAATTACTTAGAATTTTAACAATTGATAAAATTTATTATTTCAGTGAGTTAGATGATCCAACAGCAACGTTGCAGTCTATGCTGCGACCACAAGTATCGAATTTACCTGGTCACATACAATCAGTTTATGTTCATAATATTTTGAAATTAATAATAGCAATCCTGAACAAAAATGAAAATGACGACGAGTTCATGATTAGCGAGGTAATTTATTACGACGCATGTTAAAGATAACTAATAAATGATTTTATTCGTTTACATTTGGTTTTTCAGATTACCGATTTTAAAGAAAAATTAATTACGTTCGTAAGTAGTAGTGATTTAGAAGTCCAAGAAAGAGCAAGCTCTGCCGTAGCTTTATTAGATTGTCTTATAGAAACTCCCAGCTTAATAAAAGAAGTTTATCAAGCATTTGATGGTGAATTGAATCCAGTTGCTCCAAAAGCACAAAGAAAAGTTAGTATCTACTAGCTTGATTTTTCTATACAAGCGAAATTAAAATAATTCAAAATTTGAATTTTCCTTTACAGGTGCCAATTCCTGAGGACTTAGATCTAGATTCATGGATTAACGATCCTCCATCTGAAAGTTCAGATTCAGAAGATGTTGATATGAATGATATTTTTGTTAAATCGGATAAAGTAAACGAGAATAATCACAGTAAACGTCCGTCGTACGAACCTACAATGGAAGAATTAGAAAAAATGAGAGAAGCAAGAAAAATAGAACAGCAAAATAATCCTCATTATCTGAAAAACTCAGCTTCATCACAAAATAAAATCAAATACAACGATGATGGAAATAACGTCGAGGATTATGAAAATATTCCAATCACTGAATTGGATATTCCAATTTCTCTAAAAATATCTGATAAGTTTTACAATATGAGTGAACGGAAACTGCGAAAAAAGAATAAAAAGAAGAAATCTAAAAAAAGTAAGAAAATTTTAAATATAAATTCAAAATTTCATCGAAACTGATAATTTAATTGCTTTTTTAATATTTAGGTAAAAAATCGAGTAGCTCTGAAGATGAGAGCGCTTATCCCGTCCAAGTTGTCAATACAGGAGTTGGAGAACTTCCACCTGGTGCTGCTTTGAGTGAATCTGACGAAGACGAAACTAAAGATGTAAATGATCCACATCGAGCTCTCAACATTGACCTCGATGTTCCACTACGCGACGATGAACGTCTGCCTGTTCCCGAATATCGGTCACCTGAAGTTCCAACCATACCAGAGCTTAAGAAAAAAACGGAAAAGGTAATTAAAAAATTTAAATGACTTTTAAATTGGCTCTTTAATAATTATATCATTATTTTTTTTATTAGAATCGAAAAAAAGACAAGAAAAAATCTCCCAAAGAAAATTCGAAAGAAAGCAAAAAAAGAACTGAAAAGAAAAATAATCAAAATGTAGATTTATTAAACGTGAGTGATTTGAAAATAGAAGATGAGACGGAAACCGTTGTAATTAAAGATGAAAACCCATCTGATAATAAAAAATTAAAGAGTAAAAAAGAAAAAAGTAGCAAAACTAAAGGAGATAAAATTAACGATGAAAAATTAAAGAAAAAAACAAAAAAAAGTAAAATCAAAAAAACCTTAGACAATCAAGACTATGAAGAAACTGCCGGAATATCGACGCCGTCGAAAGAAGTTTTGCCAAGTAGAGATTTAGACTTTTCTATAGAGACTCGCAACTCTAATGGGTCGCCAACTACCCAAAAAGAGTTGGCTCATAATAAGACTATAAAAATGTTTTATGAAATTAAACACTTGGATCAAGATACAAATAAAATCATACTACTAATTTCTTTTATAAATAGAACAAATAATTTAATTAAAGAACTAGTCTTCAACGTTTTGGATTCAACAACTTTACAAATGGAACGAAGGGTAAAAATTTTATTAAAACATGAATTCATTATTGCATTCTTTAAATTTATATTTCATTTCGATTGTAGGTAAAAGATGAAGATGGTGTTAAAATGAACTTTTTACTGCCGCCATCAGGCTGTAATGAAGCGCATGTTGCTATTTTAGTAACCGATGTGACTTTTGCCCAAAAACTTCGTGGTACTCTTATATATATGGTCCAAGATCAAAATTCAACTACTCAGGAAAAATTAGATTTTACATTGCGTTTGCCATGCAGTAGTTTTATAATTGGTAGAATCTCACACAATGAAATTCTAACAGAATTATTGACTAGTGGTCAGCTTGTTCACAAGTCAAGAAGTGAAGTTGCTGCTTGCAAAGATTTCGAGCATACGCTTCAACGAATTTGCAGCGCCTGCAATCTTACCCTTGTTGAGCACATTCAAGATTCCGCTTCGGTTTATGGACAATCGTTGAAGGGTCACCACATCTGCCTTTTGATCAAAAGAAACGTAAGTATCTACAAATAAAATTTATGGTCATTAAAGCAAAGAATGTTTATAATGGACGCTTAATTTATCTTTTTAATAAATTTTAACAATACATTTCAGCCTGCTACAAACACTTTACTAATTGAGGGTAAAAGTGATAATAACTCGCTTTTGACAGAAATCAACAATGAGATAGTACAGATGTTGACATGAACACTTTAAACCAGAAATTAATGTTTTGTTACAGTTTTATTATTCCTGAAGTTTTGAAAAACTTTAAGGTCGATAATAATTACTGAGATATTTTTTCTGTAAAATAAACAAATTTTTAAAGAAATACTATACTAATATACCGTACATAATTTATTTAAGACAACTAAACTGATTTAAGAAAAATGTGTATATTATAGTGTTACATTACTATTTAGTATTTGTTGAATACGAGTATTTCTCCATGATGAATCTTTGTTAAGTTCTATTCCATAATGCTACGCTGTTTAGTTGTCTGTGTAGTATAAATACTAATTGTTAATACATTTTTGAAATGAAAATATTATTTTTCCGAAGACTTTCATTGAAGAGCGTTTTATAAACGTAATTATTGAAGGGAACATTTTAAATTTGTTTAATAATCTAATCAATTTAAAAACAATTTAAAAGAAAATAAATTTTTTAAAAAGTATATATGCTGTGCTGTATACATAATGATGAATTGTCAAAATTAGGAAAATGTCTTGATTTATAAGATTTGTTTTTTTTTATAATTTATATATTATTATATGTACTAATTATTTCAGTTGAAAAAAATATTTATTAATTAAATAAATCAACAGACTTTTTATCGATAATGTTTTTTCAAAAAGTGCTATTACATCTAGTTTACGATTGTTTTTAATCAAATAATTTTATTTAGTTACTATTTATTAAAATAAGATTATATATAAAATTATGATCCTACTCATTTTATTGCTTGTCAAAATTTTATCGTTTTGTGTATTTTTCTGTAACATCGAATTTATATTTAGTTATCATATACGTAAATCGTACATATTTTATTTACAGGTTTATTAATATTTTTTTATCAATTAATATATCAGTTTAATCGATTTGAAATATTAAAAAAAAAAAAAAATTATCATACTCAAGCATGTACTTTTGTTTTAAAATTTTCATCATTTATTTGGTATACAAAATTTTATAAAATACTTTGTGAAAGTTTTTAGACACTGTAAATGTTTTCTCTTTTTCTAAACTAACAAACAAATTGTTACGAAATATTTTCAAAGCATTAGTAAATTTTAGACAATCATATAATTTGTTGACTGTTGATTATCTCGCTGTCATTCACCAAACGAATCAATAGTGCAAGATTTCAACGGACGCTCGAAAGTTGATAACAGCTATAATTGATATGCACTAGAAATTAGTAAATCATTGTTACAATTAGTGATAATAGCAGAGGGAAAATTCGATAATATTTCAATGATACGCGCCGATGATAATTTGCCCGAAATAATTGTTAAAAGATTAACCGATAACAGGCGCGCGCGCGCAATAAACTTGAATAAAGACTATCGATAAGCTGTCCATGATGCCTAACTCGAACTCGTAAAAAAAAAAAAAAAAATAATAACTCTTAAACAGTGCACATATGTGTGTCTATCTTGACACCTTCTCGCAGTGTAAACATAGCGCCTAATAGGGGAGCCTCGATTTTTCATTTCTGTATTTCGTTTATCGTTTTGCCGACGTGTTAGGACGTGCGATGAGTCAGCGCCGACTCGTAATTTTACGATCAATCGCGAGCTTGCATAATGATTAGAATTTGAAGCAGCCATCCACTCGAAATCGATTCGATCGATCGAAATTTCACGCTTTATGGTCCCCCACACCTATCCTACACAGGCAGCTATACCTATATACATCGTATTTATCCAAAGCTCGCTCGAGTGCACGCACAGCTGCAGGTGTATACGTGTATGTGTACATACGATGTAATATAGACACGGCGTCGCGACGAGTTCGGGGGTTTTTTTTTCTTTTCTCACGTGTATACATCTTTGTCGACCTTGACACACATAACGCGAGCTTTTGTGCACACACAATAAATCCGCAAAATGTGTAAATAGCAAATTTGCGTTAGCCGAAGCGACTATCGAATTGCGTTAGAAGTTGTTGTACGAGTGCAGAATTGAGAATATCGGAAATTGTCGGGCCTTGAGATCGAGTGCAGCGGCGGTGGGCTCGTTTACCATCATCATCATCATCATCATCATCGTGTATACAGGGGTAGCTGATGCGTCCACATGTGTGTACTACTGTACTGTACTTTCTCGACTTTTATTTTTTCTAGGTAAATCCCCCCGAAGTTTTATCCGCCTGTAGTACATTGTGCAAGCGTGTCAAGTTTGTACTTGACCCATCGAACGCGCCGCGCACTGATCGTATTAGGCAGTGCAGAAGCGCAGAAGACGTTGAACGAACCGTGTACACACACACACACACACGCGCGCGTACGCCTATATCCATTCCATATATGTTGTAACGTTGTGTACGTGTAGTAAAAAAGCTCCAACTGTCGCGAGAGTTGAACGCGCGCTCGATCGTCGGGCAACCCTTTATCTTCGTCAAAGGCGACGTTGTTGTTGCGATACGATCACTCGAGGCGCATAATATATGTTATTTTTGGCGTTGAAAAACTGGGTAAACGATACTCCGGTACTCCGTAATCGATACGTTGACAATGTTTATTGTTTTCGTTTTTTTGAATTTCAACTTGTTGCATTTGCTCGTAAAACTACATACGTAAAGTCAAAAGTGTATACCAAACGGTTTGTAAATAGATAAATCGGCGGGTATAATCCTCCAAGACACGCACCTGTTAGAAATGCCGTACGAGATTATTATAATACTCGAGAGATCTCGTAACATATGCCGCGCGAGAAAAGATTAGCATATAAAACGCGTATACGGCTTTCAAAAAATTGTCGCTTAATATAAATACGGAATGGAGAGCTTTGTAAGCGGCGTACGATCATCGTTTACCGCAGGCGAATAGAAGGAAAAACGAGAGGCTCGTTCGGCGAGGTAAATGTACAGGTATGTGTATAGGCAAATGAGTAGCGAGCGCGACTCCACCCTGCCCTCCTCCTCTGCTCCTCTCCTCGTTCGATCGTCTCTGCTGCTGCATGTGTTTGTACTTGGTAAGTGTGCATGCGGATGATGCGGTAAACGGTATGCGCGTGTATGTGTTTGTTCGTCGTCGTTCGCGCACACCTCGCAATAACATCAACGTGAGCAGCACGCTTATAATACGAGCACACGAGAGGCTCGCGACATGTCAGTCGTGGAGTGAGCGGCGTCCACTCTCCCGTATTATGTAGAGTTCGTGCGACTCACAGCACACACACAGACACACATACACCGATCTCTCTCGCCGCCGCCTGGCTTGGCTGGTTGGCTGCTCTCTGGCGCGGCGCGCGACAACAGCAGCAGCACCACCACAGCATAGCCAGGCTCGGCGCTCGGCAGTCGGCTCGGTTCGCGACTCGACTCGCGCGCACTGCCAGTGCCAGTTCGCTCGGAGCGGTGCAATAATAACACAACGTATATAGAGGTAGTCCTACACACGGTGCACGGATAGTGTGTCGTCGAGCCGAGCGCCGCGCATTATTATCGCGTATTACATACACGCGTACCTGCGCTGTATATATTAGCACGTTAGCTGCATGTCTATTTGACACACCGCTCGCACTGCTTGCTGCAACGACGACGACGACGACGAAGACGACGCCCTATCGTTTTATATTTTTTTTGCAAGAAATATAACAGGATAATCGGCCGCGCGCACACGTTACACAGGAGCTGGTCTGGTCATGAACAGACGATCGTCGATCGTCGCGACTCGACGCCCCTCAGCTCCGACCTTAATAATCGTCCTAGCATCTGCTGCAGTTCCACGCTCGACAAGTCCATCCACGCATCAGGTACATCATATTGATACACACGTAATATTATATCGTATTTGAACGCCCGCTTACGACATACTTTTATATATATAGAGAGAGAGAGAGAGAGTGAAGAGGATCATTATAGCCCGCATAAATATATAAACCTGTATGTTGTACGCACCTATACGTAGGCACCTTATATGCCATGTATTATACATTCACGTGAACATTTCGCGTATACACACATAACACACTCACACTCGTCGCGAGCTGTATATTATAATGTAACCGCGAGCAACAGCAGCAGCAGCAGCAGCACATCCTAGCATGGTCACGAGAAATGAGATTGTTATATTCGCACGTATATATAATATACCTATGTATTATGCGCGCGCGCTCGTTCGCCGTTCTTTTTTTTTTCCTTTTTTTTTCTTTTTCCTCGACTCCCACCTATTCGCGCATAGGTGTATAGTAGTAGTAGAGGTGCATACGTACCACGAGACTCGATAAATGCAACTCCACTATACACGCAGACACATGCAACACTCGTACCAATGCACTTGCTGCTGTTGCTGCTGCTGCGCGCCGAGCACAGTAGGTATCTATATTCTATCTCTATGTTCAATTGCCGGTATTACCTGTCGACGCATCATCATCGTCGTCGTCGTCGTCGTCGTCGTGCTCTCGATCATGGCTGTGTGCATGTGCAAAAAAATCATATTAACACGCGATCGTGAGTCACTTTGCGCGATTCGTATTATATATTATACTTTATAAGGTCGTATATTTACCTCTCGTTTATCCCGAAATTATTTACAAACGAACGACACGGTACAAACATACGTATGCATATCTTTTTATCGTATCTTTAATAAAAATTTCTAGAATCTTGTAGATCGACGCGTTTGCAGTGCGTGTACTGCTGTGAGTACGTGCGAATTTGTTGATTAAAAATTTTTTCTGCATCCCCGCATAGTCGCTGCACACGAAGTATAATTTACGTGCCGCTGCGCGCGGACTCGCGCGATGTTGTACACACACACACTCACACAATTCGCTTCTTAATTACACGGTTACGCGCGTATAGCAGTATAGCAGCGGCAACTATCGCTGTTAGATAGGTTTCTCGATCATCTCGCGTACATACACGCACATTCACCAACGCACTATGCGGTATAGAATATAATATTGCAGCGACTCCGATGTGTGCGTATATATACGCGCATTGTTTCGCATATAAAAAGGATAATATTCGCGCGATGCCATCCAGGCAAGAGTTTATATTCGCGAGTAATTGTCGTCGACTATATGTGACATTTGTATAAACATCGATCGTCGCATGGCGTCGTGTAGAATGGAAAAAAATCATAGTCAAAGCGCTGTACATTTGATATACGAACAGCACAATGTGTATGTAGCGATCGATCGATTACTGCCCGGCGCGTAGTATTCGCGGCATTATACGTATGCTCTATATATGACACTTTTACGACTTGATGCTCATTCATTTTGCAGCTATATACAGCTATAGCTATAGGAGTATACATAGTGCGAACGATATTAATACGCGCGCAAATAATTTTTGCGCTATCTCGCGCGGCTACAGGCACGAACGTCACATAAATAATATAATGTAGCATTATAACTTGCAGCACAGGCCAAGTCAAGACGTTCTTCTGGTACACATTGTCTCTCGATGTGCCGAGCGCTTTTTCAGGGTAACTTATTCGTTGTACTACATATTATATCGGGCTGCACGCACGATTTTACATACGCACAGTGCAGAAGACTCCTCTATGAGTACTGCAGCTACTTTGATCTAATTTTAGCTCAAGTCGCTTCTCGGTGTTTACTCGTATGCGCCGCGAACGCTAGTCGATTGGCCGATTCTCCGCGAGACATCTATCGTACTCACACCACACATGCATCTTGCTGTGTATATACGAAAGATAAATACTCTCTTTGTCCATTTCTATTGTGTTGCACGTTTAAAGGTCCGACTCGTCCATACACCTTTGTAATTTAATCACTATTATTCTTAAATATATCTAGGCGAGAAATCGAAAATCGTTTGTGACCGATGGTCAAGAATTTTTAAAAGCGCTGGATTTTTCGCTGGAAATATTTTTATATTTGCCAACAGTAGTCATATGTTTTTTACATCCTTTTTTTGCTTGCGCTAATAATTACTCGAATGTTGTATTTTTCAGATTAATCAAAAATGAGTCTGCCAGTAGCAGAAGACGCCACTGACAATGCGGCTGCCATACCTTTGGGTGTTCAACCCAAGCAAACAAGAGAATGGGTGAAATTCGACGAGGATTCACCCGGTGCCTCTTCCACGCCAAAGAAATCAGACCAATCAGACACAAGCATTCCAGCTCTAATCAAGCCAGATTCTGTAACGGTTGACATTACCAAGATAAACAGGTCTTTGGATACGAGTGAGAGTGAACACAAGAACGCTGAAAATCATAGTGGTGCTGCTGTGATATCAGCCAATTCGGTGCATGTGAATTTGGATCGATCAGGCCTTAATCGATCAATTACGAATGAGGTTCCAGAAGTTAATGTGCAGCCATCGGCTGCTGGTGTTTTTAATCCAAAAAGTGCCTCCTTAAAAACTATAGATTTAAGAGATGCTAATAATGGTAGAAGTAATGTCATTAATACTCCTATTGGTGTTATAAGGCAAGGCTTTGCCAATGGTGATACAATAGTTACGCTGCTACCAGTAAATACTAAATGGCCATGGATTACCCCTGCCAAGTTTCGTCCAGAACTTGTGCCCGAAGAGTTGATGGCACAAGGTTTAACAGTGAGTAGAAATTATTCATAATTAAGATACTTTTTCACAAGTCATGTGTTTGTTTAATCTTTTGCAGTTGACTGTAGAAGATTATGTTCAGATAATGGAATTGCTCACAAACGATGTTCGATTTAATGTGTATAATATTTGCTATAAGAGAATTTTGGTTGCTTGGATTTGTACAGCATTCGCAGTTCTGCTTGGCCTGTTGTTTTCCGGAGCCACAGGACTGCCCTTGTTCGGTTTGGGAGTTATGTGGCTGATAATGAATGCGGTGGCAATATTCGTGTGCATGTTCATAAAGATCAAGATCAATCAAAATCTTGAAAGATGCATGGCTCAAGTGAACAAACATCTGCTGAGACACAAAATACTGCTTGGCCTCGATGATAGAGGGAAAATATCGTGTCACAAAGTTAATTTATGTTTCATATATTTTGACACAACTGACTGCATTGTGAGTATCTTTAATCGCATTGAACGATCTTTCTCTTGCGATTAAAAGTCGAATGGATTCCGAGAGACTGCGTGAATGATCGTCGCATGCTTGCACTCGCTGAGATATTATTAATTTAGAGTTCTTATCGAAGCTTGTATCGTTTCGATATCTAGAACAGTCTCGGATAAAATCTCGCATCAAGCTTCTCAGCCCACGATCCTTTTTATTTACAACTGCCGGATAATAGTACAAAATAACTCGATAGAACTAGATAAATCGGCATCGCGTAACCGAGCTCAAGTACGAAGGATTATAATAATGTAATATAATGTCTCGTGATTTTCAGAAAAAATTGCAGGAAGTAATCGAGCGAGAGGAGCGCGACGGACGAATCATCGGCACCAACAGCGACGAGAGCTCGAGAGCCAAGCGACAACGCGAGCTGCAGCAGCGAATGGACATCGACGACAGTGACATCGTCATCCAAGGCTCGACGACGACCCGAGTCTCACGCAAACAGGTTTGTTGTGTTCAACTTGTGTATAAATAATTTTTTTTTTGTTTGAATGAACAAAATGACAATCGTGAAAATTTAGACACCCACGTAATTTATGCACACTCGATTTTTCAATTGTCACCTCGCTGATTTTCGCTGCTAACGTGGATGTTTATGCACAGTGCGCACGTTTAAAAATGAACATTTCTACTTGTCCATAATTGAATGTATAGAAAGTGCACTTCGCGTTCCAGCAAGTTATAAATCTCTCATTTTTACAGAAGATAAGAATTGAAGAATAAAAATGCTTTCAAATAACGTTCTCTGTTCTATATATAACTTGGCTCGATGAGCGAGTGATCGCGATTTTTCATTTCGATAAAAAAGTATAATTAAACTTTTATACGCAACAACGAAAGTAATTTGCATGGAATCTCGATAGTAATATACGATTCTCGCGTTGATACGTTACAAGAGCAAACTTGACGCTCTCGCATTATCACTTTCACCGCACAACTTTGCGAAAGAAAAGCTTTCGAGTTGGTTGACCGTGTACAAAATTGAAAAACCTCGCGGATCGATCGTTTTCATGAAAAAAAGAAAAAAGAAGAATTATTAATAACGCAGAATTACTCGCGTAAAACAACTTGTTTCACATTCGTGCGTGTTTTGCAATGTACAACATTTCGTCACAGTGCTCGGCTCGAGTCGCAATTAAAACGAGGATATAGATATTCATATTCTAAAACAGTGCGAATCATTGTGTGCATTGTACACGCACGTCCAAGCGACCGTAAAGATAAGCATTTTACAATACAAAAAATGTCTTATCGTTTTCCGTAGTTGTCGTTCAAAGGTCAAAAACATCTTTATTCTAATTTTGTTTTGTTGATCAATCAAAACGGAGTCTCGAGAGAAAAAAGCACGCACAACGAGTTATTTTGACATCGAGCGTGTCGTATATCAAAGAAAATCTCCCTTTGCAACAATGCAACATTTCTAGCGCGAAGCTCTTCTAAGAAACAATAATAATAATCACGATAACAAGAAATAGCACGAACCTTTCGTCACCGAGAAAAAAAGCACAGAAAAAAAGAAACGAACCCGTAGTTGAGTCGATACCGTGCAGTTGTTACAAAAAAAAAACAGCCTATATCGTATGTATGTCTATATATCATGTGTGCCTATATATTGAACAAACGCGCCGCAGAACAAGAGCAAGGAATTATTGTGCCGTTACACGCAACGCTGGGCCAAGGATTACCTGAGGCGCCGGCTGGACTGGACCCTGGTGGAGGAAGGCGGCAATCCGGCCGCCCTGGCCAGGCATCTAGGCTCGGCGCTCTGCCCGTGCCAGTACATCGAGGAGTGGCTGCGCTGCAAGACACCCACGGACGGCCTGTGCCCGCAGATGAGCCTCTACCTGCGCGATCGCGGCCTCTGATGCCGCGAGATACTGCATCCCGCACGCGTTGAATGAGATGCGCGGAAAGAAAGAGAGAGCTATACGGAGAGAGAGAGAGAGAGAGAGAGAGAGAGGCAGAGTTTTTTTAAGCGAGTACTTCTAACTTTTTCCCCCTACGAATCTTTTACGATCGAGAAGCGTGATAGCGTACGAGGAAAGCACAATTTGTAAATAAGTTAATTAGGTATAGGTACTTGAATATGTTTTATTTATAACTAGCTTTATTTATGGATTTACTGATTAATTCTGTATTCATTCCGTCGATTGTACATTGTCAATATTTTAGTCCCAGTTCAACTGGATGTACATTCTGAATTTTTGTATAGATTTTTTTTTACCTGTGCAGAGTGCACACAGCGGGCCGAAATCGATTTACGCGCCGCACACAAACCGTGCACGTGAATTCAAATATCTCGATCGAAAAATTAATTGTTCTGCAATTGGCTCGACGCTGATCGAAACAATCTGCATTATTCATTCGTTAATCGATCGGTCTGTATTTGATCAAGCGAGCGATAAAGTTTTATGAGTGCGAGGTGTGCTGTGGAATCAACGACGATATCCACGTGCTCGCCCTCTCGCAAGCTGTCTATATTTCCGCCTCTCTCTCTCTCTCTTTGACAAATACGAGATACATATAAATTCTTCGCAATTAATTTTTTTTTATCATTATGCAGTCGAATGCATACTCTAACAATTTATACGCTTGTTTATTTTGTTGGCGATCGATTGGTTGAACTTCTACTTGAGATTGTTATATTTGAAAACTTGATTGTTTAAATATCGCGTAGATATTTTTTTATTATATTACGAAATTGCTCATTGCGTTATTTTAATGTTACTGCAAATGTATTTCCACATATTTTTTTATTCTTTATCGACTAATTTAAAAAAAAACGAAAGATGAAGTTTTTATAAAGTACTTAAAACAAGTGCTACAGTCGTTTATTGCACTCGTTGCTCATATTTTCGATGTAAACACTTATAAGCGGTACTTAAAAATATAGTTATTAGACGTTAACGTTTAAGTATTAAGTTTGAGAGAAACTTTTATCATGTTAAGTTGGAAGAGTTATTAATCACATTTTTCTCGTACGTTGTACTTATCGACGAGCTGTAGATTTTTTTTCAAATTGTAAATCGAAATAATCATATAAGAAATTACTATTTAATTGATGATATGGCAAAAAAATTGTGTCAGTAAACATTGATAATAAATATAAACAGTAAAAGTTTTCCAAACGACGCTCGCGAGAGCCGAACGATGTTATTATCTGTTTGAGAAAGTAAATACGAGTTATAACATTCCGTCCATTCATGTTACGAAGTTGATTTTTCGAGGGATTATACAGTACATTACGATTTTGCATGCTTTACAAAAGTGTGTAACTGTTAAATGCTACGTGAAATAGTTTTCATGTTTGAAAAATCAATATTTTTCGTAAAAATTGATTAAAAGCGATTTAATTGCACATAACATGTTTTCACACAATCAAAATTAGTCATATGTTTTTGTAAATCTTGAAGCTTTGATCATGTTATCAAATATATTTTATTTATATTATATTTAAGATTATAATGATATGAGTAGAACACAGATGATGAAAATAAAGAATTTTTTTCCCCCATACAGTACATGTTATATACTTCTTTATTATATTAATTTTTATGTAGTTTCCCATTTGTAGTATTTTCCAATATACAACACCAATAGTGATGATAAGCAATGTAATTTTGTTTCTTTTCTTGTAACATAGTGCCATAAATGAGAAAAATTACCAATTAAAAGTAATTTGATAACTTTTTTCTGTAATATCACATTCGTAAACGAAACGAATATCGATTTTATTACAAGTGAACTATTGTCAATTTTTGATCAGTACGAAACTAAGCAGAAAATAATCATAATAATAATTAAATGGATTCAATTTTATCGAGGGACTCAAATCGCCTTATCGAATGCGTAATAATTGCAAGCTTATCTATATCCTCTGTGTACTGATCACTGAGAGTATAAAGGTAAAGTGTCAACGACATGATCGTGCGCTACCGTTGCTACATATTTTAACCGATTTTTGTGACCTTGATAAACCGGTCGAATGTTAGCGTGTCTGTGTGTGCACTGATTACAATTACGATCGAGCATTTGATTAATCTTAAAAAAAAACCAAAGAATCGTAATTGACGTTGTTGATGAAAAAAAAAAAAAAAAAATGTATATCTTTACGACTGTGGACGATTAAATCTTGTGAAATTGTTGTAACCATTCTTTGTACTTATCAAAAAATAAACAATCAATTATGAATTTATACAATTTTCAATCATCTTCATTAATTTGTAAATGAAAAAAGTAAAATAAAAAATGAAATCAAGTCACGTGAAAATTATCATGCGGTACATTGCACTGTCTTTTTTTCTGTGTGTCTGTGCAGGAGCGCGCGGAGATGCTGCTGCTGAGATACGCGTCGCGCTGGTCGCATCACTACGTGCGCCACCAGCTCGATCTGTCGATCGACTCGCAGGAGCGACTACATCGCAGGCTCAACAACGCGTCGTCCTCGGCGGCCAACAACGAGACACGAAACATGGCCAACAACAGCTCGATGGCGACGCAGGTGACTACGGCGACGGCCCCGCGCCACTGCATCAGCGCGCGCTGTCCCTGCCAATTCATCGAGGAACACCTCAAGTACAAGCCCAAAGGCAAGTCATCCAAAATTACTGCTATTATCGATTTTTTCAAAATGCCCGACTTTCGATAGTTTCCGAGTATATTTATTATATATAAATTATTTATTATTATTATATATACTGTGCTTGCGTCCAGAAAATTTTTTATGTATTTTACGATCTTGATTATCACGAGAACGCACAACTGCAAAATTGTATATTGTACCTTTGAAGCATCATTGTTATACAAACTTTTGTGAGCATCTTAAGATTAAGTGACGTAGCTTCTTAAAAAACAAAAAGTATAACGAGTTTATGATCATTCACAAATTTTCAATTATGAATGGGATTTTAAATTATTTGTACGTACATATTCAGTCATTTGTTGTTATTTTTTTTTATTTTATCAAATAAAATCAAGACTGCTTGTTGCTAGAATGATAGTTTTCACGCACGCTTTGAATTAGTTAAAAGTCTCGACAGAGCAAAGACCAAATATTTTCGAAACTATTGTAGTATTGGATACCTATTAAATTGGGTCTATTCGTGTTTCAATTATAAATATTCACAATCTATACGTGGGTGCTTATTAATATATACATATTTATATTAATTCTTGTTATTACGATATTTACTTAGTGTTTTGGACACTATTTTATAAATTCAAAGAAGCTAAAAATCAAAGTTTTTATAAATTTATACAAATATAACATATATATATTTTATATAAAAAATATTATAATTAGATAAATTATTATGTGTAACAGTATTGGTTTGAAATTATTAGTTATAAATTGTAGCGATATAATTTTCACGTTAAATAGTTTTCTTTTTTACGTTGTGGTTGATATTTTTTTTTGCAACGCCATTTATGAACCAGTGATTTGTTTGTATTTTAAAGAATTAAACATAATTTTGTGATTTGAATACCATTCCCAGGCAAAATTTCGACTATCTTACTTAAAAAATATGAGAATATCCAATTAATTAATTAGTTAAGGTGCAAAGTAAAATGTGAGTAGTTATGCTATGACGAAATGTTGAGTTAAAAGTTTGACCGTGACAAATCTACAGTTTTAAAAAAATGATACAAATAGCTAATTATGTATGATACGTATAATAAAGTTTGTCATTTCGCAGTCAAATTTTCAATTCAACATTGCTCATTATAGCCTTCTACATAGACGATAAAAACATGACGTTACAATAAGCTTGTTAATGAATCTTCGAGCGACAGCTTTCACCATGACTCGTCGATCAATGAATATTTTACATGATCTATATTTTGTAATTAAAAAATGTTCGAACATAGAATTGTTGAAATTTATTGCAACGACGCTATGGTGACGAAACTAGCACAAGTAACCTACCCCAGTAACACGAGACTTGAAAGGCACAACTAATTGAATTAATCATGCTTCACAGACTGATTTCTGAGTAGATAAGTCTTTTATCCATAGTGACATATGATACAGCTACAACGTGTTTTTATCCCTACACGTGACTAGTCGCGAAAAAATAGTTACTGATCGTCGATTATTGAATGGACGATTAAAAATTGTTCTTGAAGTCGACTTATACAATAATGAGTGCGTTTAGTTTAATTTGCTTATTACGAATTTAAACGAGTCGTGATGGACTTGCCGCTGCGGAGATTCATTATAATTGTATTGAGACCTAAGATGCGGAAGTAAGATGATTACATCATAAAACGTGTACGACAGATGCTATGGTGCATCTTTAATTTTTTGTCAGTGATGAATGATAGAAAAATTTCAACTAAATATTATCAATCTGTTGTAAACAACCGTTCGATTTCTTTGCTTGGCTAGTTCTAACAAACTGCACCAGCTTCTAATTTTCTTCAAAAAAAAAAATATTTCAATTAATCTTATTATTAATTATTTTATTTTTATTTTTTTAACGAAACAAAACTACTTGAAATAGTATGTAGAAAAAATTTTTTATAAATATGTAAAAAATTGGTATTGAAAAAAATGTATGTTTTAATGATGGGTTCATTTTATATGTTCACAATAATATTTTATGTATAGATTTAGTTTGTGGTACTAATACTTAAACCTACTAACGTGGAAAGTTTTACACGTAATTTTAATAGTAGAATTATGAATTTTCAGAATTACTTAAAGTTTTTTTTAATGCTTATACTTTTATGAAAAAAATATCAGATTCTGAAAGAAATACATTAAAAACCATCATATTTTATCAAAGATTTGAAAGGAAAAGAATAACTTGGAGCAGCATACTCTTGAATCGATACTTTGCACACCAAATCGGAGTTTTGCGCGTTAGTGAGGTACGAATATCTCAACTTTTTGTGTATATCATGTAATCTTAATAAACTTGAGTACAAAGAAAACATATGGTAAAATAAAATTTCAATACGAGCATTGCCAATAATCAAAATAAATTGCATTAAAAGTTATTTTTAACAAACTTCTGTATTGAAAACATCCTTCCATTATAAATTAAAAATAATTATCGAAAATCAAAAAATAAATCGACAATAAGATTTTTAAATACACCAAATTTAAATCTATCAAGTGGATTTTTCGAAAATTAATAATTTACAATGAATACTGCTACAATAATAGGATTGTTCTTTATCTTCAAAAAAATGATTGTTTAAAGTAACCGTTTTGATAGCATTTAGTAGCCATGATTAAAAATACTTTTTTTGAATGAAAGTTTACACTGTACAGTGATTTAACAAAAAAATTACATTCTCATCTAACATTTATTAAAAATTAACGTCTGTTGAAATATTTTAAAGATTGCTTTTGTACTTATCTATTAAGATTATAAAGAATTTTTGTCAGTACATTATAGACAAGGGTTGAGATCAACAAGATATCAACTGTGAATATTTTTAGATGCTTATATAGTATTTAAAGTACTTAGCTTTTGTAAACAAATTTTTTTTTTGAGATTTTATCAATGTATTTGCTTAAAAATTAGCTCAGTTATGTATACAATATATTTGTGATTAATTTACAAAAGTCACTGTATTACTCAATTCCATTATTGAATATCCTTTTCTAAATTCCTTTGATCATAGATTCAGAACTTTATTTCAGTGGATCTTTCTCCGCAACAAATAAAAATGTAAGTTATTTGTTTCATAGAGTGGAACTTCACAATTAAATATATATAATTTAATGGTGAGATGGAAAACAATGTTTCAAAAATCATTTAGCACTTCTATCTATGGACATATCTTCTCATTTTTGAAACTGTTCCTATTTTTATACTATATAACTAACATGTGATGGCACATAGCTGGACAAAAAAGGTGGCACGACTTTCACTATTCTTCCATCTACACTCTCTGAATGTATGAATGATAATGATTTGTTGAACACAAGTTAATACATTAAGGTACAAATAAAAAGTTTTAAAATAATTTTATACAGGAGGTAGTTATATCTCCAATTATGTAGTTATAATACATAATTAATTGATTATTGATTAATAAATGTTTAAAATTTTGCAGGGTATCCTCCAGGCTTCACTTGGTGTGCTTATTTAACAGAACCAGCTGTGCGGAATGATTTAACATCATATTATGATTATGCTCGTTGATTTTAATTATACAATTTTAACATCGGTTTGAAAAAATTAATGATGAAAATAAATTTTATGAATGTTTAAAAAGTATGAAATTTATTATAAATTCACACCTTATTTTATACATTTATTTATGTTTAATATATAATTTATGTACATTCTTTATATTTACATAACTTTTACCAGCAATTTGGATTGGATTTATAACATTGAAACTAATTTATATAATTATTATTGAATTAAAGCTGCTTGTGCCTGATTTTTGATATCCTTTGTTAATTTCATCATATCTTCTATGTCAGCTAATAATAATTTCTCATGTTCGCTCAACGAAAGTTTTAATACTTTTAATTTTTTAATAATATCAAGGTAGGTCTTGACTCTTTCATAAGAGCTACTTGATTTTCCAAAATCATTCTGTGACGATTCATTAAGACTAGAATCTGCATAATCTGTTGAAAAATAAAATTTTGATCATATTAATCATGATTCAAATAATGAAAATTTAAAAATAAATAAATATCAATAGGTATAATTAACTATTTAAGTCAATTATTAGTTTCAAAATAATAATATTTATTAATATTACACAATTACCTTTGGCAAAAAGCTTAAAAGCGACATCATCACAATTTTCTGCATTGTTTAAATCTTCCAGTATTTGCCTGGTATCCGGGGGTTTCGGCCTTGGTGGTAGATCATTCACTTTATTTTTACTAGAAAACATTGCTTTTGCTTTATCTAAATGTTTTATTTTTCATTAATTGACGTTCTCACGAGGTTAGGTATAAGTTTTAACGTCAAACATTCAGAAATACGATCGTATGGGTATCAATATGTCACTGAACTGAACACTACTTCGTATGAGCATTGAGCGCCCGCAAGTCAGATTCCTATATATCCACGCGCCTATATCTACCATATTTTTAATTTATCGAGTGAACTGCTCAAGCTGCATAAACACGCCTCCAATTCCGTGCGATGAAAAGTCAAAACAGTTTGAATCAATTCATACATCAGGCTATGTGTCTGTGTGTGTGAGAGTCTGTCAGTGGTTTATCGGTTTTTATTGTTTCGGGGTTACGTTCATATTAATAATAAAAGTACTATTTGCAGTTTTTTAACATAATAGACAGATGTACAATTAAACATTCCAAGGCTAATTTTGTACTATAACTTCGCAATACAAATAGTTGACATCATGTCTAGAAATGTAATAAAACTAGATGCAAAAAAAGTTGTAAGTTTTCTCGTTTGTCCTGTGTTTGAATATAATTATATCTGTAACTACATTTTATAATTTGAATGTATTATCATTTTATTTTTCAGAATTCTGAACTTTTTACATTAACGTACGGAGCTCTTGTGTCTCAATTATTAAAAGATTATGAAAATGTAGAGGATGTGAATAAGCAATTAGAAAGAATGGGATACAACATGGGTATTCGATTAATAGAAGATTTTTTGGCACGTACTGGATCTGGAAGGTGTTATGATTTCAAGGACACCGCAGAAAAGATCCAAAGTGGATTCAAAATATTTTTAGGAATCACTCCGAGCATAACTAATTGGAGTGTTGCTGGTGACGAGTTCAGTTTGTGTTTTGAAACAAATCCTATGTCTGAATTTGTAGAATTACCAGATCATTGTTTGAGCTTGAAATATTGTAATTTATTACCAGGAGTATTGAGGGGTGCTTGTGAAATGGTACAAATGGAAATAGCTTCTTGGTTTGTGCAAGATCAGTTAAAAAATGATAGTGTCACTGAACTAAGAGTTAAATTTATCAAACGATTAGAAGATGCTATACCAGCTGGTGAAGATTAGAATTAAATAAATTTGTTGAAATTATTTTTAGAACTTATGAATTAGTTATATGTTGTAGTCACAAAAATGATTCAAGATAAACTGTAACGGAAATAGTAATTTTATATTGAATATCAAATTATTACAAAAGAAAAACCTTTTTATTTAATTCTCGCATGAATATTCACAATTTACCATAAAAAATAACAGGGCAATGGTCACTACCATAGACTTTGTCTCTGTTGACTATGTCACATATTTTATTTTTCATTCTTTCTGAAACCAAGTAGTAATCCAATCTCCTGGAAGTCAATAAATTTAAGTGGGATGAGTTTATATGAATTGTTTTAAGTTAAAATTCAGATAGTGATGAAATATTTACCATCCAACATTTTTTGCTCTAGCATTATTAAAGTAAGCCCAAAATGTGTATGCATCAGTTTTATCAGGATATAGAAGCCTGAAACTGTCAACAAATCCAGATTCTAAAAAGTCAGTCATATCGTCACGTTCTTCTTTAGTAAAACCAGCATTTTTTGTGTTAGTTTTAGGGTTTTTTAAATCTGTAAATGTTAGATTTTAATGCGTAAATTAATCGTTTTAAAAATAATGATTAAACATTTCTTTGTACCAATTTCATGATGAGCAACATTCATATCTCCACAAATAATAACTGGTTTTTTTTTGTCGAGTTCTTGAACATGCTTTTTAAAAGCTTGATTCCATTCCAAACGTTTAGGAAGTGTCTTCAACTTTTGACCAGCATTTGGTACATCTGTAATAAAATATTTTAATCATATGCTTACTTTATAAGAATAAGGATGAACCAAAGAACTTACAAACATTGATTAAATAAAATGTATCAAATTCAGCAGTAATTAATCTTCCCTCTATATCAAACTCTGGATTTTTTAAACCATTTGAAACTTTAATAGGTTCTTTTTTAGAGTATAAAGCCAATCCGCAATAACCAGCTTTTTTGCCTTAAAAAAATAAAATTTTTTTTATAATATTTCTGAGGAAAATCTATGTAATTATTTATGCTTACTATCAACAAAATAACGGTGGTAGCCTTTGAGCTTTGCTTCATTGGGAATATCTTTTAAATTGCATTTTGTTTCTTGTAGAGCAATTATGTCTGCATCTTCTTTTACTAAATATTCTATCCCTTTTTTCTGAATTCATAATTTTGTTTTATTATTATTAAAATTCAAATCCTATGAAAATTTTAAGAGAGTCCCAAATTTACCTTTATCACAGCTCGAATGCCAGCAACATTCCATGAACAAATTTTGAAATTTGCCTTCTCACCATCGGCATTTTCTTTATGACACTCATAATCAATGTCATTAAGATTTGTTTCTGCTTTATTTGTAGTTGTTTGAGACTTATCATTTGCCTGAGGTGCTTTGTCAGTAATTTTGGCCTCAACTTTCTCATTTTTCTTAGCTCCATTTTTTTCCTTAGAATTGTCATTCTTTTCTACTTCAGTGCTTGAATTATTGACATTTACATTTTGATCATGGTTCGTTGATTCAGGAAGTTTTTGCTTTTTTTTAACAGGTTCTTCAATTTCAATTTCATGTTCACTTTTTTCATTAACACGCTTTTTCTTCGATTTCCCTTCTTCTTCATTTCTTTCTGCTGCCTTTGCCTGAAGAAACACAAATAAATAAATCAATTAAAAACTCATGTACATTTTTTTCTTTACAAAAGTGAAAAACGATATAAATACAACTTTGGGAGGACGTCCTCGTTTAGGTGGCATTTTTTCCCGATGTTTCAGACGGATGAACTTTTTTGAAAAGTTCTCAACACGTTTTAGTCTAAATATAATGATTAATCATCTGAGATTCTTAGCAAAGTAAGGAGTCGTTACACTTCTGCTTTGTTGTGTTGATGAATACCGACATTTTCGCGGCAAATGAATGCTTTATAACTTGCCGGAGTCCTGCGCGCGCATTCGTGACCCAGTCGAGACAGACTTTGTCAAAAGCAAAAAATTATTTTACTGATGTAAAAATTAAATAATATCCTATCGTGAAAGCCATATATACAGTTAGCTAAATCAACATTTTTACTTCCCTTCGTTAGTTATGAAAAATTCAAGGAGTGCATGGAAAATTCAAGTATGCGTGCACGCGTAGCGATTACACTGCTTCAACAATTTCAATAATTTAAAATGTAACTTTTTTTATTAAAGAAGTAGGCTTAAAGCTGAAAAAGGAATAAATGCTTAAAAAGATATATGAACCATAGCAATTTCGTGTCTTTAATGCGAGAAAGTTTATATCGTACCATTAGGTGACGAGCTACCGCTCGAACGTTGAGCATACAATTTATATCATAGGTTTTTAATTTAAGAAATATATATATCAAATTCATGGCTGAATAACAGCAGCTGATGCTGTACAGCAGACGTGTGTAGTGTGTACAGCAAGAAACAAGCAGCCGGAGAGAGGCCCATACGCTCGCCGTCGCCGAGCTTCGGATTCCACCGCTAGAGGTCATAATTCAATCCAAACGTAAAAAATTAAAGTTCTGTAGTTAAATGTGACTAAAAACTTAGCAGCAGCATCGCTTCTCGGCCTTTTGGCTAAGATCAAAGTGTAGCGTCTATTAATCGACTAGATTAATCGGACCCGGTCGGGTGCGATTCTAGTCGATCAAACCTATATATACGCTCTCAGCGGAACGAACCGTGACTTTTACGTCACGTGCTCTTGTAATTAAGCAACTTGTTATCCCTTGGACGCTGCAGCTTTGGTCTGGCCCGAATGGCAGTAGAACCACAGCAGAAGGTGGTGTTGGAGGGTGGAGTGTTTACACTCCTCCTGCCCGTGAGCGAGGACGAGCGGTTAGTCTGCCCGGCCTGCCCTGCGCGCCGTGGATACTCCGGTAATTCGAAGATAGAAAATCTTCTTCGGCATCACAAGGAATGCCATGCTGATGCCGCGGTCGTCTTTCAGTGCTGGGGATGCGGTTATACCGCACCTCCCGATAAGCGTTACCCTCGTAGAGAGGTAACGAAGCACTGTGGCGACTGCCTGCCGGAGTTCCATGGTGTGCGGGCGGGTCTGGCGGACGCTGCTCGACGAGCTGGGATTCGTGGGGAGCTTCGGGGTGATCTATCGCCGGCTGAGCGACACAACAACGGTCGCAGGGTTGCTGCTGAGCGTGCTCGCACGCCATCTCCAGCACCAACCCAGAGCGGAGAAGTTAGCCTTGTGCCAGACGGTGACGCGGTCGCGTCGCCGCGGCGCGAGGTTGTATCTCCGCCAGCGCACGGGGGCTGGCCCCCAGCGCAACAGCCGGTGATAGTGAGTCCCCGGAGCTTACCCGCGTTTCCTAGCTCTTCCTCGGGAGCGGGCATGGAGCCCGATCCACCGCCTTCCCCCCCTTCCCCCGATGCCCCTATACCCGATCCGACTTGTCCCGCCCGGCTGCTCTCAGCGGCCGAGGACCCTGTCAGTCAACCAGCGGTGAGGCGGCGAGCGAATCCGGAGGGTGCCCGGCGACCGAATCCTGAGCGCAATGCGCAGAGGGAATTGGTCGCTGAGTTGCGCGCCATTACTTCCTCAGACCAGCTTGAGGAGGTCATGGGTCGGGTCAATACCTTTTTGGCCCGGCTCACCCGGAGACGCGAGCCAGCCCCGCGCCGTCAGCGTAATGTCCCCCCAAGACCGGTCGATCGGACTACTGAAGCCAAGAGGCTCCAGCGGCTCTATCGTCTTAATAAGAAGAGGGCAGCCCAGCAGATTCTCGCAGGTCCCAATCGGGCCTGCGAAGTCAATATAGCAAATACTGAGCGATTCTTTACGAATCTGGCTGCCCATAGAGTCGGTGGAGAGGAATGGCCGAACGTGTTCGATCGACCTGGTCCAACCCCGGAAAGCACTGAACATCTGTGCAGGCCCATTGAGATCGGTGAAGTACATGCGTGCCTCGGAAGACGGGCGAATTCTTCGCCCGGTCCAGACGGGGTTACGTACGCCGATCTCAAGAGGGCCGATCCGGGGTCCCGTGTGCTGGCTGCGTTGTTTGACGCGGTTTGGCGCACGGAAGGGGTCCCCTCTTGTTGGAGTGAGTCGAACACCATACTCCTCTACAAGAAGGGTGACCCGGGCGACATTGGCAATTGGCGTCCGATATCCCTCGCGGATACGGTGCCAAAGCTATTCGCGGCGGTTTTGGCGGACAGGGTCAAGGAATGGGCCGTGACCAATGCTGTTTACAGCAAATCCCAAAAGGGTTTCTTGCAGTTCGAGGGTTGCTTCGAACACAATTTCATCTTGCAGGAAATCCTGAGGGAAGCCAAGGACCGGAAGAGAGAGGTAGTGGTGGCTTGGTTGGATTTAAGCAATGCTTTTCCATCCCTGCCCCATTCCTCGATCTTTCGGGCCCTTGAGGGTCACGGCATGCCATTGAAGGTGAGGAACGTCATCTCCTCCCTTTATGCGGACATGAGGACGAGGGTACAGGTGGCTAGCGGTAGCACAGATCCCATCCACATCCGCTCTGGAGTTCGTCAGGGGTGCCCGTTGAGCCCGGATGTGTTTAACCTGACCCTTGAGGTCGTGCTTCGATGCATGGCCAATACAGGGGAGGGTTACACATTCGGTGACGTGCGCTTTAACAACTTTGCGTACGCCGACGATATGGCACTCGTCTGTGACTCCATGGGTGGTATGCGGAGGCTGCTGGAGGCAGCTGAATTGGGAGCGACAGCTGTTGGACTACAATTTAATGTAGCAAAATGTGCGACTCTCCACATCGTGGATGGTCAGGTCCAACGGTCCTCGCTCTCAATTCAGGGACAGCCGATCCCAGTGCAAGACGCCGCCGACGCCTATGAACATCTAGGCATCCCTACAGGTTACCAGGTGAAACAAACACCCGTTAACACCATACGGGGCCTTCTCGACGATGCACATTCCATCCATACTTCCCTGCTTGCCCCATGGCAGAAGCTGGACGCGGTTAGCACCTTTTTGCTTCCGCGTCTAGACTTCATAATGCAGGGAGGTAAAGTCGAGAAGGGGTACCTGAGCGAGGCAGACAAAATCCTAAAGAGACTAGCCCGACAATGGCTAAGTCTTCCCCAGAGGGCCAGTGCGGAACTGATCTTCCTCCCTCCGTCACAGGGGGGTGGAGGTTTGATCCCGCTGGCCGATCTATACGATGTATTCACCGTGGCTCACGCATACAGAATTCTGTATTGCGCTGATGCCGCGGTGAGCAACTTAGCAAAAATGTTGCTGGGGAAGACCGTCACGGAGAGGATTCAGAGGCAGGCCACGAACACCGACATGGCCGCCTACCTCTCCAGTGACCCTGGGATGCCTCGCTCCAGCGCTCGGACTTCGTTCTGGGCGCAGGTACGCGCTTCAGTCGCAAGACTTCATAAAAAGCTTGGACTGAAGTGGAGATGGTGCTCCGATCAGGAGACGTTTCATCTGGACTGTGGGGACGGTGCAGCGTTCTCTGTCTCGCCAGGCCAAAAACATCAGGCCTCGGCAATGCTGCGGAAGTGCCTGGTTGAGCACTATGCGGGATCACTACTTGCCAAAAAAGACCAAGGCAAGAGTTTCGAGGTCCTCCGGAAGTCAAAGGTGTCCAATCACTTTCTCCGGAGTGGCAGGAATACCCGCTTCTGCGACTGGCGCTTTATCCATCGCGCTAGACTCAATGTCCTCCCTGTCAATTCAACCTTGCGTTGGCTGACGGGGGCGGACAAGAGATGTCGCAGATGCGGGGCTCCATCCGAAACGCTCCCGCATGTGCTCAACCATTGCACTGTACATTCAGCGGCAAGACAGAGACGGCACAACAACGTCCAGGATCGGCTTGTAAAAGCATGTGCTCGCAACCCCTGCCCGATCCGCGTGAACCACTCCGTTCAGGGAGTCCACGGCACGCTGGCGACTTTGAGACCTGATATCGTCCTTAGGGACGAGATCCATCGCCGCATCCACATCGTCGATGTATGTATCCCCTTCGAGAATCGGCTAGTGGCTTTTACTGAGGCCCGTGAGGAAAAGCGTACAAAGTATGCCGCCCTAGCCGAACAGCTCCGGGGCCAGGGATACACGGTCGATGTGGATGCCTTTGTCGTGGGCGCCTTGGGCGGATGGGACGGTCGCAATGAGGCTGTCCTGAATCGTCTCGGAGTAAGCAGTCGCTATGCTGCGATGATGAGACGATTCATGGTGAGCGACACGATCCGGTGGGGACGTGATATATATGTAGAACATTTGTCGGGGGAACGGCAATATAGACAGGCCCAGTGATCGCTATTTACTGTTATTGTGTTGTCCTGTCCAATGTATAGCAACTTGTATTATTAGTTTATGTTGTGGTGTCTTTTTGCCAAATTCTAGTCAGACCTAGTCATCGTGGTGTCTTGTGAAGTCCTGTGTACATGTAATTTAGTGTATATTGGTATATGTTCACATTTTTATATTTCTTTTTTATTTGTGCCCGTGCTTGTCCATCTATGTTTGTTTGTTTATTAGCAACAGAGGTCGACATATGAAAATAATCATGCCCTATTGGAGGGCATGAGGGCACTAGATTCGTTCTAGAATCAAGTCTTTTTTAAAATCAGCCAACCCTCTGTTCTTATTAGCTTGATATCTAATACGAAGTCTATATGACTTCTAGCATATCGAACTGATTTTTGAAACTCGGCATGGCGCCTGGGGCTTGCTCCGGCCTTGCCACGGGTCTTCTCTGCATTGCAGTACCGCAGAGTTAGGCCCAATAATCTCAATACAAACATAATTAACAGCTCTAGAAACTGTATTAAACACAGGACTTTTCGAACTGTGTAAATAATTTACACCGGCGTCCGAAAAAAGTCGAAAAATCGACCGCACGACGTCAACATCGACTATGCGCTTATACGTGTTCTTTAAACAAGTAAATGCCTGGTAATTATGTCGGGTGATGTCTATGAAAGGTACATTTGAACAGTCTTTTTATAGATATTCACGAAGTCGTCACTTTACCCAAGAATTGATTTGCTTGGTGGCATAACCGCGCGCCCGTATATACTCTACGTATTAAAGTTTATTAATACACGTGCTTGCAAATTAGTTCTCACTTTAGTCAACAAATAAATAAATAATATTACAATAAAACCCAAATACTCCTCTTTCCAAATATTAAATAATACATTACACTTACGAATGCGCGAAGTGAGTGATTGTCAACGAATCCAGTTTGAACCCTCGCTCGCTACGCTCGGGCATCAAACTGAATTCATTGAGAATCACTCACTTCGCGCATTCGTAAGTGTAATGTATTATTTAATATTTGGAAAGAGGAGTATTTGGGTTTTATTGTAATATTATTTATTTATTTGTTGACTAAAGTGAGAACTAATTACAAGCACGTGTATTAATAAACTTTAATACGTAGAGTATATACGGGCGCGCGGTTATGCCACCAAGCAAATCAATTCTTGGGTAAAGTGGCTACTTCATGACGATATGCATAAAGCCTATTATAATGGTTCCGTATCCCTATTTTTATAGTTTTTCAGAGAGAATACTTTAGTTTAGATACACAGCGGTGAACGTCGAAGATTGCGATTTATTTACGCGCGCGCGGCAGCTGCTTCGGTCGCGTAGAACCCTACACGGCGCAGAATTTCGAACGCTTGTAACAATTTGTTTTGCTGTATCACGGGCCGATGTCAAGATTGTTTACAAATAAGAGACGGACCCGTCTGTTTATATTTTATCAAACGTTCTATTTTGTACTGCGGTCTGTGACTGAGTTCAAGCGGAGAACACTCACGGTTGATTTGCCTGGTGTCATAATAAAGCAGGCGCCCATAATTAATTTCATTCCATTTCATTCAACAGTTTTTCCGGAAAACGGGATCGAAATTTTTAATGGGCATGGGCTATGGGGCATTAATAAATTTACGAAGAAAATTATTAGGCCTCATTCGATGCCTAATAACGAATTGCTTGATCTCATATCTAAAGTACCCGATGACGAAGAATTACTCAATTATAGGTATTTATCGAACTAGGTGTAAAATGTATTAGAATTTGACATTTTTCATTTCTGACATTCGAAGCGTTCTTGCCACTCATTTTTATTTTTTTAGGGAACTTCGACGCCACCAACGGCCGACGGGGAAGGTCGCGAAGCGCGGCCAGTCCGTCGAGCAGAGACTGTTAAATATTATAATATTTATGAAATTACATTAAAATTATTTCCACGACCAAACGGATCATAAACGACGCCGAACTCGTCATGGAGCGAGCATCGATGGACGAAAATAATTTGGACACGTTTATCATTCAGCACTTGAAAGACAATGAGCAGCGGGCTCATCGTCGGACAAATTTTTCATTCAGTTTGAGTGCGTGCCGGCCTCGAAGGAGAAGCGTTCGAACGAGGTGCTCGACTGATCGCTCTGCGGCCCGGAATCGTCCAGAAAATCCATCCTGCGAGAGACCACCTTCGTCCTCATACTGGCGCCGAGCAACGTCAGCTTTTTGTCGACCACCGTGATGCAGGCTCGTCTGTAGGAGGCCCTGAGATCGGGCGCCATACCGGTGATCCTGGGCGGCAATCGCTTCGCCCTGAGCTACAAAAAGTCGCCTGAAGAAGAACATATTGATCAATTTTCGTTCTTCACTTTCGAGCTCAATAAATTAGTTCATGATTATATTTTTCTATATAGGCAAGGGAACTGACGGCGCGGGCGAGGAGTTCAGCCAGGCACTGGGCGTCAATCATCCGCGGGAGCAGTTCACCGTGGGTATACTGACCTACGAGCGCCAACAGGTCCTCATCAATTCTCTGGCTCGGCTGCACGAGCTGCCCTACCTGAATAAGGTGACCGTAGCGTGGAATTGTCCCAAGCCACCCGTGGAGGACCTCAGGTGGCCCGATAATTGTGGTCAAAGCCAAGCGCAACAGCTTGAACAATCGATTCCTCGCACTTCTCTAAGACTTAAAGACACAAATGCGTAAATTTCTTTGAGTCTTCTTAAACTTGACGATTGTAAATTTGTACTGTCTGTAAATAGGTGCAATAAGGTGTAATAAAAAAAAGTAAACAACAAAAAAACTATTGTAAATACATTTGTAAATGTATAAATGAATATTTATACATACGTGGGCTAAGCCATAGTTGGCGTGATGGTCAAAAAAATTTTTTTTCTTAAATTATGGTCTTTTTAAGAGTACATTGAAAAGTGAAAATCGTGAAAGTTTCAGCCCTCAAGGTCCAACCCTATTGGATTATCAGGTCCTCAAAGTTGAATTTTCTTTTTCTGCTCATATTCTGCTTGCAATTCTGATTTTCTGAGGTTTATATGAAAAAATTATTGAATCATGGTTTTTAATGTAAAATTTGATGTAGAATTCAAATTTGTACTTAAAAATCATATTTACATCTTGAAACCCCATAAAAATGATATTTTCCGGCATTAATCATATAACTGTACTAAAATAGATGTGTTCGTATCCTTCGATTAGGCCCATATTGTAACATGTTCATCGATATATCAAAATACAACTTCTGATAAATTTTGGTTATCGGCAGACAAACAGAATTCATTATTGAGCTTAATATCAGTCAAAAATCAAGGAAAATGAGAGAAAAACCATGTTTCTTGACTCATAAGAAGCTCAATAATGAATTCTGTTTGTCTGCATATGAGCAGAAAAAGAAAATTCAACTTTGAGGACCTGATAATCCAATAGGGTTGGACCTTGAAGGCTGAAACTTTCAGGATTTTCACTTTTCAATGTACTCTTCAAAAGTACATAATTTAAGAAAAAAAATTGTTTTGACCATCACTCTAACTATGGCTTAGCCCATATATATAAAAAGTAATATTCCGCACATGATCGCATATTCGAGAATGTCATATCGATTACGACAGGGTATGATCCTGTAAACCTACAAATTGAAAAAATCAATGCATTTTGGTAAAAATAAAATCAAAACTTTATGTGACCACTATTTTCAGAGGGTCGCTAGGGGATTAATGTAAATTATTTAACGTAATGAAAATGTTTTTTATTGAACTATTTCGTTTTTATTACTATCATCCTCACATTCTTTCTAATAAATTTCCTAAAGGAAAAATTCCATACTTACTGTTAAATTTTCAGACAGGTACATCCCTCGTACATAAAATCGAACGATTTGATTTTTAAAAATAATAAAAAAATTAATTAATCAAACTTTGAAAAAAATAAATTTTTTTGAAAAATAATAAATAAATACAAATAGTTTTGTTCCATTTTCTATTAAGTTTATCTATAAGTTTTTAAAATTATCGGTTTTTATTTGAAATAATTTGAATTTATTTAAAAATATTTTTCATATCTTTCGCTAGGGAGAGCATATGAAATTCGACGATGCTCGTGAACAAATTATTATCAGGTTCTGGTCAAGAGAATTGCGCCAAGTCGTCACTCCGCGAAATCACATAGACGACGATGACTTGCTACATGATCTGAAGAAAAGCAACGAATCATCTCGCAAAACAATGATAAAAAGAGTTTGAAATGAAATACTTCGGTGAAAGCTACGTCAGCCAAAAAATAGTCGAACCTCGACGAGAGAAAAAAATCACCGACCAGAAAGTTTCTGGCAGGAAAAACGACAAAGACTCGAGGAGTAGAAACTCAGCTAGAAAATTATAAGCTCGCAAAGTAAAAAGAGAGTTGAAGTGCTGAACATGTAACTTCTTCACCAAAATAAACGAAACAAAAAGCACACAGTAAACCTCATCAAAAACTACACCTTCGGTATGACGCAGAGAAGACCGAATACATGCAAAAATTGACAGTAAGACAGAAGGCGTGCACTAAAGTACTTCTGTGTGCAAAGCTCGATGGACACAAAAAAAGTTATTTCATTAATCAAGTTCAGACTGCGAAATTAAGCTTAGCCTTTGTGCTAAATGTACAAAAGCGTTGATATCGTAATATCATATTGACGCGTTTTATGAAATAAGAAGTCACTTCTCAATTTCTTCTTAGCCCATTAGCTAAGACCAAAGTGTAGACATTTTGTAATCTATTCTTTATGAAAATATCTTAGTGGGCAACGTGCACAAAAGCGATGACATCGTGATGTTACGTCGTGAGACGCGACATTTAATAATATTGTTTTTATTCTGGCTGGGGAGTATGAAGGATTATAAAAGATACACCTGTCGTAGCCCACAATTACAATGGCAGACGAGTACAGTTTTATTAACGGGTACTTATATTTAATTACATGCGTTCTATCTACTCAAGCTACTTA